ATGCCAAAAAATATCGATATTTTGTGGCCGATGTATCTTTTTCCGGTTTATCGTAGAAGTGGGCGATACAAATCGTATCAGATATGAAATCTAGATATTAGTACAATATCCGAATATCGCTTACTGGCTCGTTCAATATCTATGTATTTTACAATATCTGATATTTCCGAAATCTGATGTACCGTGCTCGCTAGCTATACCGACACGAATCGCGATATCATACGGTTTGCCACAATATCTGATTTTTTACACAGATTTCGAGAGACAAAGCGCGTGAGATACAAATACTCACTAGTTAGAGCGGGACGGCAAGTAATGAACGATATCAGATATCGAGCGACAAAGCGCGTGAGATATAAATACTCACTAGTTAGAGCGGGACGGCAAGCAATGCACGATATCAGATTTTTAAACAGATTTTGAGCGACAAAGCGCGTGAGATACAAATATTACACTAGTTAGAGCAGTACGGCAAGCAAGGCACAATATCAGATTTTTAAACAGATATTATGAATAAGTTAAGTACTTTTGAATCTTAAAATCTTGCAGATAAGATCCGTTTTAATTAAATACTACAACGATATTATTATATTTTTATTGTTTTGTTTAGCCTTGAGCCGTAACGGGCGACAAAGCGCGCAGTTAAGTAATTTTGAATCTTAACCGCATGGAAAAAGAAATTTTTAGTTGCATTTAAATACGAATTACGATATTAACGATGTCTTTAAATTTTGTTTAGCCTTGAGCTGGATTGCATTGGTACCTAGCACGTAATGGTTAGGGATGCCAACTTACTACTTAAGAATTTTCTGCCAAAATTAAGGAAGAAAAATATAAATGGAAATGTTTTAGGAGGAAAATTTTTTGTGAATATTTTTATTAGTTAAATTTTATTCATATTTTTGGAAAAAAATAAAACTACACAAAAAGAAAAATATAATTTAATAGTGCTGTGCTGCTTGGGTGGAAATCAGACCAAGGCTTATGTGCTTTGTGTGTATATTTTAAATTCTTCCGCCCTAAGTTATAATACTGAATGTATTATTTCTTACACAAATTATAAAAATATTGTCACTCATGATTGCGTGTTCTAAGAATATGTTAAAGTCAATTATTAAGCGATATATAAGATGTTAAAATCAATCATTTTTACATTACTTCAATTTCTGTTTTTAATGAAATTTTTAATGTAATCAGGTAATGTTTTAATTTTACCTTAATAGTATAAAAAAATCGTGATTTAAAATTTAGTCAATTTTAGTGGGTTTTCGAATTTATTTAGAAGTATTCTTTTGGAACAGTTGGTATCACTGGTATTAAGTTTCAAATATCACGAACATTATGTATATGGAATGAATCAACTTTTAAATACGCCTGCACAATTTATATTCCGAATGAGTATAAAATATCGTTGAAAACATTTTTATCTTTTTTTTTTTTAGAATTCAAGATACGTGACCGTAAAATATCTAGATATTAAAATACATAGTTTCGAAATCTGATATTTGAAATCGAAATCTGATTCAGATACGGTACTCAGAAAAAGCGATACGACCCATCTCTAGTTTATCGATATTAAGTTATTGTTGAACGTGCATGAATAACGTCACATTGATCGAGTAAAGATCAGTGACAATTTTTAAAAATAGAAACGCGAAAGTAGAAATACTTTTACTACTTCTTGCAGTTAAAATTCTTATATGCTAGTTAGGGACCAATATGTAGTAAACGATAGCGTGTTTTAAAATGGGACACCGCCATCTGTTGTCAATTTTAAGAGTAATCTCTGATCTGACTCTTGCACTTTTGAATGAGTTTATTAGATACTTTAGTTAATGACATTAAGTTTAAAAATACTATTCAATTTTTTAAACGTAACTAGTGTTACAACGTGATTAAAGACGGGGTGTGCTACGCATATCGAAATTCAAGCATCGTACGATCTATGTGCGAGTAAACTTTAGCGATACCAGATGAATGAAAATTTTTTTTTTTTATACTTCTTCAGTTTATTCATTTATTGAATGCCAGAAAAACGCTGCTGCAGTCGGTATGTAATTCAATTGAATGAGTGTGTTGTAAAATGGTACCTACAGAGTTTTCAGGTTAATTTTAATGTACACTTTTACATTTAAAAAGGATTGTGATTTCAATGCTATGAGTAGTATGTTAATGGGTCGGAAAATCAACGCTCGGTCACTACTCCAAAAACATGCGCAGATCTAGAAGCAAATTTTTAAGGGGGGAAGTTGTGGTTGAAGTATCGAAAACGCAGCATATCTTTTAGTATAAAGACGGTCCCTCCGGTAGATCCCTTTGTATCGTTATGGTCAGTTCGTGGTGGAAAAGATAGAAAAAGAAAAATATAAAAGTCTTTTACTCTATATGCTCCTAAGACCGACCTCTTGCGTCACTGTACCACAACTCTAGATAAAGCCGTGAACTTGAAATCCTAACTGATATACCGGTTCTGCTGTGGTAGGGCCACGCAACGGTTCGTTGTTGCACGAATTGGTAGGTCCGTCCGGGGAAGTACCACGACCTCGCAGAAGACCGGCGTGAAGAGGAATTGTTATACTTCCGCGTGTGTCTGAAAAGGCGGCAACGCCATCTGCAACAATACGTGTGTTGCAAATGTCCAAGGGCGGTGGTTATCACGAGCGTTACGAAAAGCGTGATCCGGCAAGGCGAATGGATCGGTTACGCTAACGGTGATTTCTCGATTATTAATTTATCAATGAAAACCCATAATAAATTAAAATATTTGTACAAAATTATTATACGTATATACATGTATACATTATACATTTTTTAATGTGAAAAGTTGCCAAACGAGCAGACGGTTCACCTGATGGTAAGTGAATACCGCCGCCCATGGACATCTGCTACACCCCAGGGTTACAGATGCGTTGAGAACCTTTTGCTCCGGCTACGTCACTCAGCAGACGAAACGCGAAAGTATTTGTCATACTTCCACTTTACGCTGGTCTTCTGTGATGTCGTGGTACTCACCCGGACGGGCCTGCCCATTCGTGCAACAGCCGAGGCTGCTGCGTGGCGCTCCCACCGTTAAATCACACATATAAATGGAACTAAAGAAGTTTTTCTTCAGTCGTGTGGTCTAAAGCACACTCGTTTTTATTAGATAACGCGTAACACCGTTCGCCGTCAATCAAAATTCCTCGTACTTATCGCGAACGGGCTAATCTTGTGATGTTTACACGACTATGTTATACGTTTAACTCCTTTTGATATAGTGTGTTTGTTTCTTCGCTCTAACGACATCAGAATACTTTTAGTGGGGCATGTTTAATGTCATCTTGTGCTGTTCAACCAATTTGTATGTCGCGATGTTGTAAATAATATAATTTGTGATGTCTTTTTCCTTTTTACTAACCGACTTCAAAAAATGTTCAGTCAGAAGTGAGTGTCAATTCGACTGTATTTTATTTGTATGTTTGTTACCTCGGAACTTTTGATTGAGCGAACCATTTTGAGCGATTTTGATGATTATTTTTTATTTGAAAGCTGATCCTTCCCATGTGGTTCCATATTAATTTCATTGGTATTGGATCTTGGGCTCCGGAGATACGCAGGGAACTCCTGAAAATCGATTATAAAATGAATACAGAGCGAGATATTTCAAGTCGGTTTTGTTTTTCGTCAATAAAAAAGGACTTGTCTCTTTTTTTGTAATAACGTTAATAAAGTTGCGAGATCTTTAAACACATAAATTTTATGCAGACATACAGATCCAGTTCTGTACTATTATCTGCAGTTGAAACTAATACTTGTTCCATATCGTATCGAACTCTATCGTTTTTGTACAATCAGAATCGAAGTTAGGTGATAATATTATCTAATACATCAAATACACTAGTTCCAATTCAAATGACAAAAGTCCCAAAGCTAACCTATCTAATCTAGCTAATGCTAAATTATCCTATCTAATCTTGTTCCAAAATTAAAACAGATTGAAAACAACGTCTGTTCACTTTTCCCTTGAAGAACGAGAAAATTTAAATCCGATGGAGTCTCGGACGCCAGAAAAACAACTCTTGCAACTAAAACAAAGCTGCAAACTGTTTTTGAGAAAAATCACATTTTCAAGTAGGGGAAAATAAAGTATTTGGAAGAAAAAAAAAGTATTTTTCAAAATTTTATAATTTATTTCTTCTCTTGAATCCTTAGATATTTTTGTGTACTTCTAGCGTACAGGCAGTTTTTCATTATTCTTAAAAATAGTATTTAATGATAATGAAAAACATTCCAGAAATAGAGTATTTTTACCTACTTTATTTTTATGCAAAAGTATAAAGTATAAAGTTTGTCAAAATAAAATAGAATACGTTATTATTAGGTATGGTTGGCAACCCTACATGCAACTAAAATCTTTTGCCTTGTCCAAGTAACGGAAGCAAGGGGATACAGTTGAAACCTGTTCATTCTTATATCGGACTAGGACCCGCCACGGCTTCGCATGGGTGCAATGTATTAAACATACAAACCTTCCTCTTGAATCACTCTATCTAGTAAGAGAAACCGCATCAAGATCCGTTGCGTAGTTTTAAAGATATAAGCACACATAAGGACAGACATACAGCGGGACGACTTTGTATTGTACTATGTAGTGATTAACCAGATTTAATTATTGGATCACGTCGTACTGAGTTGCAAACTGTATTTTAAATAAAAAAAATGTGTTGTAAATGAATCTATGATAACATTACAATTTGACACAGTAGGCTGTCGATAACTAAGTTTACTTATAGCGAATACTTGTTGACTCGTGGCGCCTTTGCTAAGCCTGTGGGTAATTGCTGCTACTAATACAATTACTATTACTAATACTCCACTGTCTCTCTGTCTGTCCGTCTGTCACCAGACTTTATCTCATTAAATAACGAAATCATTTCGGGGCATTATAGTACCCAATAGCTTTCTGGGAATTATTCATCCCACCTTGAGGTAGCGTCGACATATTACTCTGTTGTTTCCAGGATCTCGATAAAGCGCGGCTGCGCCCTGACCGCGCTGGGCTTCGCCTACTTCATGTCGCTGTTCGAGCTTTTCACCTTCGCCGCGCTGTTCACGGCCTCCGGTTCCCGGTTCCGCCAGAAGTACCGCCTCAACTGCAGCGATGTTCTGGACATCAACAACAAGTTAGTACTCCGACAGTCATTATGTGAGAAAGTGGCAAACGAGCTGGCGGTTCACCTGATATCAAGTGATAACCGTCGCTTTATGATTGATTATCATAATGATTTACAACATGTATCAAATCAAATCATTTATTCATCCAAATAAGAAATATAATTTTCATCTATCGATAGTGATTTTTTTAAATCTACCACCGTTTCGTACTGAGGTTCCTCTAACGGACAAGAAACTCCGTAGGTATCCTCTTTTTTGTCATTTTTTTTCTCAAACAAATACATTGTTATACTGTACAATTTTTTTTTATTTAGAAACAGCTTAGGAGCAATACATCTTATTCCCAGGGGTTATTATCGTTAATTAATTTATTTATATTATTAAAAGCCTTTCTAAAAAGGTTTTCTTTAATAAATTTCTTAAACCTGTTAATAGATAGACTTTGCACATGAACTAGGATTTTGTTGTAGAAACGTGTACACCGTCCCATGAACGAGTTACTCTATGGAGTCTAGTAACTGGCGTAGGATTGCAAATGCGTTGCCACCCTTAAACAAAGTTGGCCCCGGCTACCTCACTCATCAGACGAAACGCACAAGTAACACTTCTACTTTACGCCGGTCTTCTGTGAGGTCGTGGTACTTACCCGGACGGACCTGCCCATTCGTGCAACAGTGAACCTACCACCGTTCGTCATTAGTCTTTAAAAAGTAAATAGGTAGTTCATGGGACAAAGTGTGCCCGAGTGCAGTATAATATCACAGTCTAATTTAATATCGCAGTAAATGAATACAATCCAAATTCGATATTAAGTCTGCCACTTGATCAATTTAAGGCTTAAGCCTGTTATACCATTGTAGAATATCTCGATGACGCCAATGTGCAGGTAACACTGCTGATATCTCATTATTTATGTGTCACGAGCAACAATAAAACCGGCCGCACCGTTATCTATGAAAACGGCCAAAAGACATGTCTGTTGCATGGGAGGCCCCCTTAAATAATTTTTTATTCTTTTTTTAGTATTTGTTTGTTTATAGCGGCAACAGAAATACATTATCTGTGAAAAGTTCATTTGTCCAACTATCACGGTTCATGAGACAGCCTGGTGACATACAGACAGACAGACAGACAGACTGATAGAAAGGCAGAAAAATAAACAGACACACAGAGAGACAGAAAGACAGACAGCAGAGTCTTACAGTCAGTAATAAAAAGTACCTTTTGATGGTCTTTCTCCAGTAGTAGTAGTCTATCACTAGGGAAAAAGTTAGTGTGCGAGCGAGACAGTGGAACTCGTGCGTCTCTTCCAGGCTAGTGTCTGCCGTGCAGGCGGCCCTGTGCTGCGTTACCGGCGCCGTGGTCTGCTTATGGTCGTGCAACCGTGACTTCATGCGCTCCTCGCATTTCATGTCCGAGGCATACGCCTGGTTCGGCGCCGCCTACTTCTTCTACGACATATGGTCCATGTACCTGGTGAGTGCGCAGCTGTTCTTAAAGGGGCGTTGAAAAACGTACAAGCTGTCCGTCCTCCTGATCACCACCATTTGGACACCGCAGATTGTTTTTATGTTAAAAGACAGCAAGCGAGATGAGGAAGAGAAAAGGACCAAGAATAGGTCCCTATTGTACCCCCATATTTATCAGGGCCTCAGGAGAGCTCTTGCCATTCTGAATTAGTGGTGTAGTTTCCTGACCATAGTCTCGTGCTGTACACAATCAAAAGCTATGGTTAAATCGCAGAATATACCTAAGACATCCTGCGACTCCTCCCAGGGTTCAAAAATATTCATAACAAGCTTGACATTTATTGTTGAGCGACCCATGTTACTTGTTATGCAATAAAATGTATGTGAATTAAAAATTTACAGAGAATTGGCAGTACAGAGTCAAAAAATTTTGTGGTCCAAAGCACTACCTGATTAAAATACCGGAATGATTTGAGTATGTTTCATAAGTTCAGAAAATTCACCACGCTTTTATACAAATGTTAAAAATAACGGCTAGGTAAGGTGATATTACATCAGTAATAGAACTGATCATCGTGACAGAGACCCCACGTACATCGGCAGTTATTTTAACATCAAGAGACTTACGCCCGGTTTCTGAAACACTGATCATCGTAGATGTCAACTAATCAGCTGTCCAATGGCTTTCCAAATTTCAAATGGTTAAACTGTTTGAATTGATCATTCTAATCATTAAGATCATTCTGGTCTATTATATATATAGAGAGTTTAACCTTTTGGCAAGTCAAATTTGAAAAGCCATTTGACAGCTGATTAGTTGACATCTACGATGATCGATGTTTCAGAAACCGAGCGTTATATTTGTTTAACAATTACATAATATTCTTGTTTAAAGTCGTCACTACATTCCATGACATTTAAGTTAAAGAGTCGATCCTGTCGGACAGGTGCACGTGCGCCAAGTGGGCTTCGCTAAGGGCATAGGGGTCATTGGCGAGGGACGCCCGCAAGGGTCCGCTATCTGACGGTCCGGTGGAGCCCGGGGCCAGCCAGGACGCGGGCTGCATGGGGCTGAAGAAGCCCCGGCGCGGCCCCAGGTGCTCCGCCTGCGGCGACTGCCTCGGCGAGGGCGCAGCGCCCATCTCGTTCCTCGCCTACTGCCGCCACGAGCCGGTGATACTCTTCCACCACCTCTTCATCGGCGGCTTCGGGTTCCTCGTGATAGTGGTGGGTGCCTCGTGGTGGTGGGGTTTTGATTATTTCACGTTTTGTTTTCTGAAGGGTTTTTTGTTTTTCACTAACATAAAACCACTCATTTCAGTACCTTCGCGGCGGCTTGGGCGACTGCGTCTTCGGCTTCGTCTATCTCATGGAGCTGTCCACGCCGTTCGTCTCCTTCCGCGGCATACTCTCCCGTATGGGGCTCAAGTCTTCGCGCGCGTACCTTCTTAACGGGCTGGCGATGCTCGCCACGTTCTTCGTCTGCCGAGTGCTGAGCCTGCCCTACGTGTGCCTGATGTACAGCCGGGTCATCGGCCTGCCCTACTTCGAGGTGAGGGGAACTCCCTCCGATGGACTAAGGATTTTATTGGCGTAGTGGGTGGCTGTTTCTTGTTTTTTCATCAAAACATTGCCCGCAATGTCGTCGTCCGGGGAAGTACTACGTTCTCGTAGGAAACCGGCGTGAAGTGAAAGTCATTACTCTTTCGCGTTTCGACGGGTGAGTGAGGTACTCCGGGGCCCCACTTTTTAAAGGTTTTCAACGCATGTCCATAGGACGGCGGTGTCCGCTTAAAATCTAGTATTCAATATCAATGCCCCCCACCTCTCTTTCCTTCTTACTCAGTATATATGTGATGGCTTTGGAGGACATCGTTAAAAAAACCACCAAAAACATAAAGCAGAAACTTGTTTCCGTTTTTAACTATGCGCCTACATCTCTGAACTTGCAGGCCATTAGATCACTGCCGACCGGTTGCAAGGTGTCGATATGCATCCTGCTGCTGCCGCAGCTGTACTGGTTCTACCTGATGTCGGCGGGCGCGGTGAAGGTGTTCCTCGGCGGGGCGAAGCCCGGGGCGAAGGCGGGCGCTCCGCTGGCGGCCGGCGACAACGGCAAGCGCAGCTGATGCAGGCGACGGCGCGGGAACAGACGCTCGCAAACGTAAGCACGCCGCTGTGTCTAATCTGTGACGCGCGCCGCGGTAAACGACAGTTTTTTTTTATTTATTCGAAAAGCAAGCTCTGCCCTGTGTTTAATCTGTGACGCGTGCCACGGGAATCGAGAAATGTCAGAATTTCGCCTAACGTCATTTTTTTTATTTCACCGACAACGATTACATCTCAACCGATGGTAATTAGTTGTGCACGAAAAAAGAACAATTCATACATGCCTTAACACGCTCACTTTGTTTCTTCAACGGATGATTTTTCCATTATTAGAGACTTAGTAAAGCTTCTCAAGTCATCGAACTAGCTTAAATCTAAACATTGCACATAATTAACCACTTGTATGTATGTCGCCTCTAATTTACTGATACAACTGGCATGTCATTGCGCACAATTTAACTCATCGTATGTGAAAAAAAGGAATTCAATACGTTCGTATTCCGTTGTTTCATAACTTAAGAATATTCCAGTGTCATCCTCTCACCTGTTGACCCCCAATTGAAACAGTAAAAATTTATCTATGATCATACTTACAGCTAGAATTAATATTTAATGATAATATGACAAGAAAAATCTTTTATACATTTCTTCGTACCCGTGGCGTGCGATCGTAGTGTAGAGGGGCAAAACATACTAATTGTTTCGTGCTTGATTATCGGAACTCGTAAATAAACCAATGGAAACCAGAAATGGCAGATATCTAATTTGGTTGGTCTCACCTTTGTATTACAAAATATATACATCCATTTTGCAAGGCATAAAAATCTTAACAGAAAACTGAAAAGTTGACTGAATTGAGACTGTGAAATTGGTCCAGCTGTTTAGGATTTCAGTGGCATATACACATGCACAGAAGAATTATATATATATATATATATATATATATATATATATATATATATATATATATATATATAGATATTAATATAAGAGACATTCTCTCTTTCATTTTTTTATGCTACAAATCACAAAAAAATGTAATTGGATGTAATATCAATAAATAATTTGTAAACATTATAAGCCATTTCTGAGAAGTCAGCCAGTTGAGTAATAGTTATGTTTCGCCTGTCTACATTCTTTGGGGCTTCATTGCAGCGTTGTTAAATGTTTTCATTTTTAGAGTAATGAACTTTTTTTCCCCAATTATCTTTGAATATTAGGATTTTTTCTCAGCATAGTATTTTATTATTTCATTTGTAACTTGTAAAATGAAATTAAATACTAATTTTACTTCAGAAATACATTTCCCCATTTGCATTTATTCAGAAACGTTATATGTTTTGTACAACAGTATATTTATATTTTACTTTAAAATGTAATTTTGCAGTTTGGTTATTTTAGTATACCAAAGTATAAGAATGTATTGCCTGTGATACTGAATGGGAATTAATTTACAGATATGACACACCAAATTATTTCTGTTCTTTAAAAATTGTGATGAGGTAGTTAAAACATATATTTATCTTTTGTAAATAATCTACAATGTACGCACATCCAATTTAATGTACAAATCAGAGATCTGTAATTGACATACAATATGTATTAAATTTTAACTACTGTATGCTTTTGTTGGTTTGCAATGAAGGGTTAATTCATGGGTCATAAAATAGTTGGTATTATCCTATCAAATCATAATTTTATCAGGCATTTAATCTATTTTTAACTTCAACATATTTAAGAATACAACAACTGAATAAACTTGTTTCTTATTTGTTTAACTGTAGTTTATGTAAAAACAGAGTACATTAGTTTCAGGAATGCAGCAAAAATTTTTTTTAACAAAATGAGTAGATATGAACAATAAAGTAGCATTTATTTTAATTATTAATCGTTAAATATGATGAATCGAGCTTCTTGATATAATTATTACAAAGGATTGTAGTAAAATTTTCAAATTTTCTCAAGTTTACCAGTACCATGCAGTCTGGATTTATGTTACACACATGAAAAAAGGAGAGGATTGGAACAGATATTTTCTTTTTTATTATTATCCAATTAATTTTGTACACATCTCCAATAAATTTAAAGAAATCATACATTAGGAGAGCTTAAAATAGCATTAGACTCTTTGTCGCAAAGCAGATTAAAAAAAATATTACTAATGATATATTGTATGAAAAACAAATAAAGAATATTATTAATATGTGACATATGGTTGCCTATGCATTTGGTTAAACTGCCACAAAATACAATAAATGATTATTGCAAACTGTTAAGTCTTACCGTTACACTTGCAGTTTTATTAGTGCCACGTTAGCATTACATTCATTAATTTCAAGTGCAGTCTTATACAATGCGTTTCAAATAAGTATGTACGTAGAACCGCGCCATATTGTGACGTCACATCTGTCAAGTTAAATCGAAAAAATAGGGCCTGTAAAACAGATATTTTTATAATAATATTTATTTTTAATTTCAATCTCCGAGCTGCGCGAATTCTGCTCATCCTTGAGGTGTCATCATATTTGTCGCCGTCATCATTCTCAAATATAAATGTCATGAAAATACTCCATTGACTGATATTTAAAAGAAAAATATTAATTGTATTGCCTGCGTATACGACACGACAACGAAATTAAAATTAGCATTTTTTTCTATTAACTCTCGTTGTCGGTTCATTTTCGAGATTGTTTTTTGTTCACTTAAAAAATATTAACACAAATATTTTTGTTGCCGTTCGTACTTTACGTGCATTCTTATTTGAAACGCATAGCAAGCCTTTGCAGCTAAAATTATTTACAGTGATAATTTGTGTCCCGGCATTTTTTTCATCCTATGCATTTAAAGATAATGTGCTTTTATTTTTATTATTTTATATAGTTTCAACGATGTTGTTAATATTTGTGTCATCGACGTATATCGTTTTATATTGTGACATTTGTGACGTTTGAGTGACAATTAAATGGCGGCCTCTAGTCAAAGACCCACTTCGTGGTTTCGCATAGACAGTATGATATTTGTTACCATATATAGGAAATCGTCCAATTTTTTTTTATTCAGTTTACATTATTGTTTATTGGATAAATTAAAATCATTCGCTGATTATGATGAAACTTAATTTTATGTGAAACTGTTACAGGTTACTAAAATTCCTAAGGTTAGCTATAATGGAATTTCACTAAGTGATTCAAACAAAAGTAAGTAAAGTATACTTTTAATTTTTACTCTTCACTGATTTAAAATTTCGGTTCAATGTTTAAAAGAAAAATAATCATTGTCGTGTGTTAATATTAATTTTCGTTTCAACCAAGGTTATTAATGTGATGTTGATTTAAATACCAAAAGTATGCGTGTGCATTGCTTAGACAGTAATACTGAGAAATAAAATGTGTTGTTACTCATGTGGCGGTGAACTCAATATATTTGAAATTATATTAAACGGCTAACTTCGTTAGCAGAACAAGAAAAGGCAAGTTTTACTCAATATTATTGTGTTAATCTAATAGAGGAGTTACAAGGTGAAGGTATAGCATATGGTGCTCCATTATATAGTATATTATATAATTGTTGACTTCATGTCGCTAGTTGGTGGTAAATAGACAACAGAACATAGAAAGATACGGTTGTAGGGTATGGGTGTACGATATAAGTAAATTAAACTACGTAACTTCCTTATTTACGTACTGTTTTAATAATTTTATTTTTACTTGAAAAATGACAAATTCTTATAATTTTGTTGATTGATTTGTTTCATATAGGAGAATTGTTTATTTTAGATTTTAACGCAAATAGTTTATAAGTGTGGTATGCCGCACCAATACATTCTCGACATGTTTGTATATATATGTAATGCATAAATATGCCTGGGCTTCGAAAACCAAATATATAAGTCATTTAACGTACCTACGTTGTTTTATAACTACAACAACAATATGTAATAGGACTAAGGAGCAAGATGGAAAGAGATTTGGGCTGTGTCGTCAACAAGAAAGCAAAAACCTAAGCATTTAAGTTGTGCATGGCCTAGGTAATCTAAAAGCCAACATACGCAATTATTCAGATACATCTGATGCATGTTCAAAGCTCTGTCAATCCAGAAGTTGCATTTGTCTTAAAGCTAATTCCACTTGTAGATCTGTTGGAATCTCCCTTGCGGTGAAATGTAATTCTCTTTCCTAGTATTTAGTTGATTATTTTTTTTTATTTCTAAACCGAAGAGGCTTAAGAGTTCAAAGGTTTTGCGCCATCGGGATTGCTATCAAAAAAATGTGCGATGTTTTTTTATTATCTTTCCATTGTAGTGTAATATGAACTTAATGTATTGACAATTATGTCTTCCTTTCTGATGTTACATTTCCAAGTTACGCACACCCAATGGGCGCTAAGGCCGATGGTTTGTTTTGTGGTTATATATATCTTATGTAACTTTAAGTTGTCTATAAAAAAAATAAATGTTATAAATTTGTAACCAGGACTTTTAATTGTAATAAATCCTTTGATGACCAAGCTGGACCTGAATACACGAGATTGGCAACAACTGCTTCTGCAAATCACAATAATTTAAAAGTTATTTGGGCCATCCTGAATGTATCACAAAACAGAATATTTCAATTTTTATATTTTTTAATGAAATCTTGCTGCACTTTGGTGGACATTGGCTTATATCGATGCGGCTGTACCATCAACTAGCACGTTTCTAACTGTCGGTAAAGAAAGACCGTATGACCGCTAGGCTGGGGCTCAGCGGGCTATGCTCGGTGTTTATCTGCGTGATAGAGTTTGTAACGAAGTCATCCGCAGTAGGACAAGAGTAACAGACATAGCTCAGAGGATTAGTAGGCTGAAATTGAAATGGGCCGGCCACATAGCTCAAAGATCCGAACACCAATAAGAAACTTTCTAACTAGAAGGAGTGAAGACCTGTGTAATAGTGCGGGATGTCAATTGATGCAGGTAGCTCAGGATCTTACCAGGGGCCTATGTTCTGACTCAAACAGGTTGATATCATGTTGATGAAAGAAAGAGTAGTATCTTGAGAAATCTCTCAAGAGTTTAATTGAGCTAGCTTAAATATGTTCTACCATCAGTATTCCGTAGTGCCTCAATCCATAACTCATGTATCATATCAAACGACTCGGTTTTAGGTAAAGGCCCGGCGAAGTTTAAACAAGTCTTTATACTATTGCTTTTATCGTATTTATTACTTATTAAATGAGGCAGCTGAGACCTCACAAGTTGCTCTTAAAGGTTGGCAACGCATCTGCAACCACGGGAGAGTTGCGAGTCCCACACTTGTCGTGACGTCGGCCCACACTTCATAATCATGGCTTGGTCGCCCACGGCAAAGCCAAGGTAAACTGACACTGGCCTCTGGTGTAAGGACAGACTGAGAGATCCGTTCTGAGTTTACTCATTGACCCTACTCCATTGCGGGGGATAGATAAGGGCGATAGAGGTGGAGCCACTGTCCAGGTAGAAAAGAGGAGTTTGGGTACTCTTCCAGGTGGGGCCACTGTCTTTCTGCAACTGAGGTAGGGTGGAAGAGAAACGGAGTTTTGGTATTCAGTTTGTTCGCCTTTCCTATGCTCAACGACTTGGCGGGGCTGCTCTTCGGATGCAGTAGTAGTATGACCGCGTAGGGAGGGGTGGATTGCTCTGGTCAGATCTTGCTGTTTATTGTCACTCGCTATCCTGGTTCCCATGACCTCTAGCACTAACTAAAGCACTCGATGAGTACTAAAGTACCCATAAAAAAGGGGCCGTGCAGAAAGACGCGTTTTATGTTTCTGCGCGCCATATCCGGTAGCGGAATGTTACTCCTCGAAAAATGGCTGCTGAGGGGGCCATTTCTGGCGGCGTCGCGGAATGCGCCCATGGCTAGAAAATCGTGGGGGCTTTAGTCTGTGCGAGTCTGACATAACTTATCTTATCCTTGTAACGGACGGTATGTATGCCTATACACACCTAATTTTTTTCCTCATGTAAAGAAAGAAAACCGGCCAACAGCTAGTCTGACTCACGCACGAAGGTTTCCGTCATTATCTATAAAAGCGGTTAAAAAATCATGTCTTGTATGGGAGCCCCACAATTTTTTTTTCAATTCTATTTTTTAGTATTTGTTATAGCTGCAACGGAAATGCATCATCTGTGATAATTTCAACTGTCTAACTATCACACTATACACTGTGATTAATAAATATTGTATCTCCGAAAGCAGGTCTCTAGAAACTATCCTATTTTATAAAATAGTTTGCTGAGAACCAGTTAGTTTTTTTAACTAGGGACAAATTATTTATTCATGCCCCTGCCGGGGATATGTATGGGATATATATTAGGATATGGATGTAATATAGCCTTTTCTAGTTCTGCAATTTCGATAATATGTAAGCGGCAACGGCTATAAGCGGCAATTAGTGGTAATAACGGTTTGGCTTCCGCTGATGATTTTTATTCGCTTCCACTTAAGGTTTGGCATTTTATCGGGCAACTCACCTGTTTGTAGAATAATTAGAATGTTTTTGGGGGATACATCGTCAGTCGCTCCAATAATGGCAACTTAATCATAGTTTTTCTGATCAGGTCTATCTGTTAGCTTGCAGTTTATAATGCTTAGTGTGTAATTTAATTTGAATGGTGAGAGAGGTTTTACATAAAAGTAATGTTTTCATTGAGTTCGCGATCGTTTTTAGTCCTATATTCATACCGTTTTTAAGGAATCATTTTATTGGGTGATTAGAGCTTCTAAATGGAAAACTTCTGAAGTGCCAACTTAAATACTTCGCGTAATATATTATTGTTGATGGCTCCATGTTATTTATATTTACTATTAACAGGCTAGTGGCGGCTACAAAGAATTCATTATTAAAGTGATTACATTTCTTACAAATCAAAATTAATCTTAATTGAGTACGGAAATTCAAAACTAGTTTCCATTAGTCAATCTAATAGTATCTAATAGTCCATTAGTCAAATAAATCGGAAAATCAGACATAGAGTACAAATCAATCAAATTAATTCGAATTGATAAGGCAATCAGGCGAGGTTCAACAGGTGGTATTAAATAGCATTTGTTAGATAAAATAAGAAGTTAGGTTTATATATATGTATATATATACATATAGTACCCGGAGGACCGATCTTTGCTCGGTTTGGTTTTTTTTTGGTAAATCTTGTATTTTGGAAATTACATTTAGATACAAATTACTGAGTAATGAAATATGCATATATTTTTCGATCTTACCGACGTAGATAATAATAAGAAAATATGAACTGATGTTTTTTTACAAAAGAAAGAACTTTAAAAAAAAGGGAAAAAAATAACAAAATAACAAATCGCCAAAAAATTAAAAATAAAGAAAGCAATGATCTGGAATCGAAAAAAAAGTAAAAAAAAATGTGCAAATGATCGTAACGCGAAACACGGCCGTCTGTTTTGGGGCCGCCCGATTACCGACCGAGCTATCATGACATTTTCTCTTGCGGCGAAATTTACCGTCATATTCGAATTATAATTTTCATTCCCTGAAAAAAGGGATAAAAGGACATTTTCTAAAAATGAAACCTAGCTAGATCGATTTTTCGCCCCCGAATCTACGCACATACTAAATTTCATGAAAATCGCTGGAGCCGTTTCCGAGATTCCGATTATATATATATATATATATATATATATATATATATATATATATTATTTTTACACAACGTTCTTTAGACCCAAACTATGCAACGCTTCTACTATGGATACTAGATAACTGATAAACATGCTTTTCAATTGTAAATAAACACCCAGACACTAGAAAAACCCCATGTTCATCACACAATATTTTTCCAGCAGTGGGTATCGAACCCACATCCTTTGGCGCAGGAGGCAGGCACACCACCAACTACGCCATTCGTGTCGTCAAGTCAATGCAGAGTATGTGGTCACCAAAGTAAAGATATACTACTATACCATCTCGTTGTTCTATCGAGAAAAGGGGAGAGTGAAAAAAACTTAAATACCGCATACTGAAACTTAACATATAAAAACTGTTCGCGAGACTGCGCGGACTGCTTCCAAACATATCACATAAAACATTCCAAACATAATCGCAGAGCGTCAAGATGAAATTTTGCGGCACCAGCGCAAAAATTACAGCAGTACTTTAACTATAGGCGGACCTGTGTAAAGTTGCAATGTGCCCGCTACAATTAAAGATAATAGTTTTTATTGAGACTCATTGTCCGTTTTTACCTCTGTCTTCAACCACTGCTATCATTTTTTTATTGTTCACAATATGTAAGTATATTAGATAAAGTGGATTTTTTATCTAATCTTTATAAATTAATTAATTTTCAACAGCTACAAAAGAAATCACGGTATCATAGGTTATTGATAAGCATTAGGAAGATAGCATTCGGTTGTACGGCTGAATAGTTTTTTAGTCATGACCATGACAATGTTATTGCCATGTGCTAAAATATCAATTACAAACAATTTCTGTGGTAGGGTCAACAGCAGCATCTACGGTTGCCCGAATGGTCAGCTCCCTCCGGGGAAGTACCACGGCCTCACAGAAGACTGGCGTGACGTTATATTTTCGCGTTTCGTATAGTAAATGTGATATCCGAGACCCACTTTTAAATAGGTTGGCAACGTATCTGCATCCCATCATGTGCGGTAGATTTCCAAAGGCGGTGGTAGACACTAACATTCGAAATATTTATATTTTTTATTATTTCGAAAAACATGCGCTCAGCATGTGATAATTCAGCACTTAAAATTAACAATTTCATTGGTTTCAACCGGGGATCGTACTCAGGTTGCTCGAGTATATTGAATTAAAGGCGAGCGCCCGGACTAATAATGAGCTAAAACGGCTTAATGTAGATAATGGAAAAATGTTCGCACGGTCAGGATAGCAAACTACTGTATTAAGCGCCGGTGTCCTCTCGGCGCGAAAACCTCGATATCTATCTACTTTCATTACCTACTACATTTTTAACAATGCTTGGCACCTTGCAGTGTGCGTGTGTGTATGGACCATGTACTTAGATGTATGTAGCGACTCTGGCAGCTGCGTAAGTTTTTCGGCAAGCTATCAACAATAAATTCGAATTTTATGTTTTGGATTTTAAGATTTTATTATCGAATTTTATGTATGAGTAGAGACTTGCACTAATTTTAGGTTGGCGAAAATTTTAATATTGAATTCCACAGATTGAGCTTTGTTGACTTTAGTTGAGTGAGATGTGAATGGAATGGGAATAGATGAGATACAGGCTATGCCGCTTTCCCTTTGAGATGTGCATAGTACAAAAGCTAGACTGTCTACAACTGCGACTAGTCGGCACTTAATTATCGTCATTTGGGGTAAAGGACTTAATTAGCCTTCCGCTACACTAGCGGACTAAATCCTTCAAATTGACGCAATTCGTTATTTATTTTACACAAACGATTGCTATCGCTGCTATCGTTGTCCGTTATCTATATAATTACTGTGATTTCTTATAATGCCACTGAAAATCAATCAATTCAAATGATAATTGTGATAAAACTTCAACGTGTCCCCTAATACACGTAAGCGAATTTCAAAGTAAACGGCATCAGTGGGTGAAAAGATGTGGGGGAAGACGGGTATCGTTCTAATTCCTTTAGCCTTGAGCTTGGTGAGAACCACTTTAAATCTATCTTTAATTAATTTTTTACATCGAACATTTTAAATTACAAATATTAAAAAAAGAAAATTCAAAAATTAAAAACGAACATAATGCATAAGACGGAAGGGGAAATAGTACAACTGAATACTACTTGTTTTGTTTAAAACTTTGAACTAGTTCCTGTTAATTTCTTGTATTTACGAGACTACACATTATTAAAGTAAACTATACTTATCACGCTGTAAAGGGTTCGAAACGTTGGGAAATAAAAATAAATGCAATAAATAGATACGTAAATATACTTTAATTTGATATTTAAATAGTGGTAATAATAATAATAAAATATAATTAAACAGTAATACTATAGTTAAATTGAATAGTGGTTCCTGTTGTTTATCTACACTATTTATAATTATTACATTATAAATAGCGTAGAAAAACCCGACAAATAATATTTGTAGGGTAGAAAAAAATGTTTGTATAAAAATAAAATTTTATCAAAATCAGTCAAGCCGTTTCGGAGGAGTATAAACACTAAAACTGTGACACAAGAATTTTATACAATTAGATATTATGTAGCGATTCATTTACGTTTATAATGTTCTTTTTTTTAGGCCTCTGCTAATTCCGTGCAGCCCGACTTTATCGAAAATGTAATAAAAAACGGTGAGTTTATCTCTATCAAACTTACTGTTATAACTTATTTTATTTATGTTCGTTTATCGTTCATAATTTTCTCTTGCTGACAGTACGTTTGTTGCTAACGCAATTTTATAACGTTTCGAATGGTGACACGTTCTATTTCTGCAGCGGGTGACTCCCGCATCGTGTCTGGCTGGGAGGCGGAACCCGGTCAGCACCCGCACCACGCTTCCCTGCGCATGGTGAACTTTCTTGGATTGGTCAGCGCCTGCGGGGGCTCCGTCGTCCATCGCAACTGGGTGATCTCGGCCGCCCATTGCACCGCCGGGTTCGTATATTCCAGTGTTTACTTACATTGGGACCCCGAATTCTGACACTGCGCCACTACATGAAAAGTTCGCAACTGAGTTTTGACCCCTTGTAATTTATCTCCTTTCCACTCCTAAGTCGGACTCGCACCGACGAAACTCCCCGTGGCGTTACACCCAAGGCGCGTATTGGCAGAGTTACAGAAACCCTTGCGCTTACCTACGCCACCCTGCCAGCGCTGGCCGCCTCAGATCCCCTCCAGGGAAGGAATTTCACCTACGGGCCATCGAAGTTCCGAACGGACCGTGATTTTTTTTCTTTTTTATGTCAAAAGTTGCCAAGCGAGCAGACGGTTCACCTGATGTTAAGTGAATACCGCCGCCCATGGACATCTGCTACACCCGAGGGTTCCAGATGCGTTGATAACCTTTTGAAAATTGGGCTCCGGCCACCTTCGGTCTTCTGTGACGCTGGTCGCGGTACTTACCGGGACGAGCCTGCCCATTCGTGCAATGGCCCTAGCACCGATAAAAACGATGATCCCGATGGGGTTTGACTAATAAGCTACACATAATTGCAAACCTCTGGCACCCCTGGTGTTTTGCTGACAGTAGTACCCGAATCATTTGCACATCCCTTTCGCAGTTCCATCACCTTGGTGGTACGCGCGGGAGTCACAAACCTCACCACGCCCGAGTACATCTTCGAGACGAATGAGTGGTACAACCATCCCTCGTACAACGACCTGCTCCCCTCCGTGGTTCAGCCCAACGACATCTCTATCGTGCGCCTACAACGGCCCGTCGTGTACACTCGTGAGGAACAGTTTATCTCTATTTTTCAATATTCATTTATTTATTTATTGAGGTTTACCAGCAGTTGTCACACCCGTACAATTTATATTAACAACGCAGTAATTACAGCTAAGTGTACAACTATTTTAAGGTAAACACAAAGTGCCTACCTTATGAAATTAAAAAAGAAACAGAAATTAATAAAAAAAAATTATCGGTTTTTAAAATTAACTTAAAATAATTACTTGCTAATGATTAGCCAAAAAGATAATTTTTTTTGGGAATGTAACAAAAATAAAAATTATAAAAAAATCAATTAAATAATAAAAATATGATAGTCCTTGGTAGAGCAAAACTTGAATGCGTCAAAAGAAGGATAAGCGTGTTAATTACCGTTGAGCGTTTGACCAATAGCGTCATCGCTATGGGAATTTATAATCATAAAAAAAATGTGTGTTGAGCCTTATAATTCGCCAAATATTTAAGATAAGGCAATTTAAATGTAAGTAAAGCCGAACCCACCACTATATGGCATTTACAGGTGGGAATAGAAAATGATAGAAAGAAAGAGAAGAGTGTTAGATGTTCATAAAACGAAACAGTGTTGTTCGCAACTGTACAAAAACTTAAGTGGAAGCGAGACGGAAAACGATTCAGGAGCGAACATGTGGGTAATATTCTTCCCCACATGAAGAATATTGCGCCACATATCCTTCCCCTTTTGAAGTTTCACGAAATTCAGAGGTGCAAGGTGGTAATATAATATGACAAAAAAATGCATACAGGGGATCATAGTACCTCCTCCTTTTTTGAAGTCGGTTAAAAACAAACGTTGGCTCTAATATAGTCTTCTATCAGAGATAAGTAGATAGACTTAATAAATAAATGTAGATTTAAGCTGATACTTATATAACTGGATAACCTGACATCTTCTATCGAAAGCGAAAAGTAAACGATATTTTGATTACTGTAATTTATGGAAATTTAAATAATAAACATTTTTTTCCGTAGAAAACTTGCGACCAATCCGCGTACAGCCAGCTTCGGACGCGTTCAGAAATTACGACGGCGAAGTCATCTACGCCAGCGGTCATGGCAGAACGTGGACAGGTGGTAAGTAATAAAGAAAATTTAAAACACGTGTCCTGCTCTGGTTTGTTTCTTTTCTTATTTCGATGGGATCTGAACTACTGAGCACGCAGTTTACCTTGTGGTAAATGTGGACCTCTGCCCTTAAAAACAACAGAGAAGTTTGCTTTGGTGTTGCTAGTCACTAAGTCTTATGCTTCGAAGCCTTCGCAAATTTCTTTAACACAGCAATTTGGTAGTTTATAATCAGATGAGTCAATAAAAGATAATTTTGGCCCACTGATAACTTTTGAATTCATTTTTTTTAAAAGAGAATAAGAATTACAATAACAGAAGACATTGACAATTCAACAGTGACTTAATTCCTTTTTAAACCTACTATCAACTTATGTTTTTTATCTATACAGATAAATAAAATTAGAGTGTCTGTTTGTAATATTGAAATAACCGCTTTTTACTAAATGCTTATGGATGTATACACAGTACATATACCAAAATAACATTTTTTACAATTTTTGTCTGTCTTTCTGTCTGATTGTTCCGGCTAATTTCTGAAACGGCTCGACCGATTTGGACGGGACTTTCACTGACAGATAGCTGAAGTAATAAGGAGTAACTTAGGCTATTTTTATTTTAGAATTTTTTTATTTTAAATTCCACGCGGACGAAGTCGCGGGCACAGCTAGTTATATATAAAATTATATAATTTTGTTTTTAACTTATAATATTGAATTATTGGCAATAATAGACGTAAATTATACGGCTTTAATTTAACATTGTACATTCAGTTAATAATTTGGGAATTTTTGTGGCTGAAGGAAGTATAAGTTTATTTTAAGTATCTCTAATACTTCCTACTTTAAATTTTATAAACCTATTAAAGATTATCGATAAGATATATAAGTAACACACGTAAATATAGCTAGCTCGCAAATCACGGCACAGCAGACACTTGTTGACAAATCTAATCTAATCGTTTAGATTCTAATGTAATTAATCTTTTTAATCTAAATCGCATAAATTTTCCATTTTACAATAGTAACAGTCAATGCCAAAGTCAAACATTTTCTTCAGGTACCTCTTGTCTGAGAATATTTTATCTATAACCGGTTCGCGAATCCTGAACTGTTGAGAGCAAAACAGACACGAATGCGGTCAAATATTATGTCCAAATAATAGTGAACAATGGTCACTTAAACTTTGTCAGATAGTTCTCCGATCTTAAGCCAAGAGAATAAAAGGGTGACACCTTTTATTCTCTTAAGATACATACAATGACATCGTATACAAAAACGCGGTATTTAGGACACTAAATCCGCAATGGGGCCGCGTGGTGGACTGTGCCCTGATGCCCTCTGTGCAGAGGTCTATGCATGTGACACGTATAGGCTGACTTTACCATTTTATACTTTGCGCTGTTCCTCTATTGTACAAATGTCATCGCAGGCACCGCCCCTGAAGTCCTGAACTGGGTATACCTCCGCGGGGTGTCGAACCCTTCATGCGCATCCGTCTTCGGCAGCATCATCACGACCACCACGATCTGTGCCCGTTTCTTCAACGTCACATCACAGTCCATCTGTCAGGTTGGTACAGAATATGTCTGCTAAACGCGTATAATTCAAATTCAAAGTATCTTTATCTTTTATATTTATTTTATTAATCTATATAGGCTTAACTTGAGCTATTATTGAACGTCAACAAAAAATCTACCACCGGTTACTAAACTAGACTCCTGGCGGTTAGTGAGGAATTCCTGGCCGTTAGTGAGGTAGGCCTAGTGGTATTAGTGTCCATATTTTTAATAAGTATTTAACGGAGCTGATTCCTAAGATACAGTTTTAATATATAGTTCAGGGTTCAGGTACTCTTTGATTTATGGCTGTAATTTTATCAATAAAACTAATTTTATTATTATTATCAACGTTTGTGAATTCCCGAAAATATAATGCAATGCGAACACGCAAGAAAATTTTAAATGAAATATCTGCCTGTTCAACTCACGTCGATCATGAAAATTGCATCCACTAAGTACTCCAACTGTATATGAAGCATTATTCTCCAATTAATTTGTCTATATATAGTGGTATTTAAATTTCTTTTTATTAACAGGGTGACAGTGGAGGTCCTCTGGTTCACGTCGGCGCTGACGATGTACCGACCTTGATTGGCGTGAGCTCTTTCGTTGCCGGCGGAGATTGGGGTTGCCATTCTGGGTTGCCAGGCGGTAAGTCAGCTCGTGCGGTACTCCCCGTACAATCCTAGTAAGTAAGAATTAAAACCACCGCGCATCACTAAGTTTGCAAAGTTCCATAATGACAAGTGTTTTCGCCCTCTTCAAATGCCTCAGACAATAATTAAGTAAATAAGAGACTACGAATTTTGCAAATAAATACAAAAATTGAAAATCTCAACCCAAAAGGATGCCGCGGCCTTTACTATACAAGTAAAAATGATTATTAATTACACCAAAAATATCCGATACAAATTATTGACAGGATTCATACATACATTCTCTCGTTTTAATTATCGTTGTTACACGTTGTTTTAGCTTGTTTGTGTGTTTTAAAGAACATGACAATAGATGCGCCAAGCATTGCTTAAAATGCGAAATACCAATGTAGATAAATTGAGATTTTCGTCAATTACCCAAATCTTTTTGGCTAAAAGCGTCTCGGCGCGATTCTGGTAGACACGGTTTCGATTCCCGCAAAGGCGAAGAATTTCGCCATTTACTACAAATTTTAATTTCATAAAATAGATATATACATACACCGATAGTCTTTCATTTTGAATTAGTTATTAGGTACTTATTTATAACGATACAATATTCAAAATATTTCTTTTGTTTTTCACATTTGCAATGCAATGTGCATTGAAGATTCAAAACAAACAGACGTGAAACACTAGCTCATTTACCATAAAGATTTCTACATCGAGAAAACAGTCGTCATAATTTTTGCGTAATTAACCGACAACAACGATTTTAACAACGTTTCACACAGTTATGTTTTTTACAAAATAATTATGTTATAAATAAATTATTCGTTTTAGTTTATTTCAGATTATTAAGACCTACAATTAAATAAGTTTATTTCATAGGTTTCATCCGTCCGGGACCCTTCCACAGTTGGTTCTATGACGTTACGGGGATAAACTTCGACGGTCTGGAGGAGGAGGAGGAAACCACCACTACAACCACCACAACCACAACTACAACCACAACCACCACCACCACAACGGCAGCTCCGACACCCACCACGACCACTACCACAACAACAACGCCAGCTCCTACAACCACTACAACTACTGATCCCAGTACCACGACCGCTGCGCCAACCACGACCACGACCACGACCACGACGACCACCGAAGCGCCAGAAACCGAAGAGCCAGAAGAAGAAGAGGAAGACTCGGGTTCAGAAGAAGACCCGGAGTTATCCGAATTGCTTAAGAAATTGGAGGTCAAAGTTAAAGTAAAGGTCAAACTAAGCAAGAATCAGATTAAAAAACATGAACACGAACATAAAGTTAAGCTGTAAGTTATTATCGGTGCTTCAAATGTAACTTATTATGTAAATTTTTATTTGTTAATTGTCGCTTTACCAGTGTTGTGATTACAATAATAAACAAATATTGAATTGTAGTAATTGGTTTATTTTGACAACAAAATTCTAAAAATTCTGCTTCACGTTCCATGACATACGTGAGTGGTCATTCCGGATCAAAGTTTTTCATTGATTTCGGTGGCACCGTTGCTAAGCTATTGGCTTCGGCGTCGGTGGTCGTGGGTTCGATTCCCACACGAGACAAGTATTTGTTTTACTTCGTTCCGGATCGTTTGTTTCCCTGAGTTGACGTGAGGCAGGCGGCCGGTCGTAATAAAGATAGCCAAAACCGTTTACAAAATGATTCACATGCTGTGCCGAGCCCACCTAGGTGAGATAAGGGCAGTAGGATGATGATGACACTCTTAGATCCGTCTAGGAGACAGTCTCCGAGTTTTTCAGTCACTTGATGGTGACGAAGTCTAAAAACACTGGCGCTAATTAATGCTGCAAAGTTGATGATGAAGTCAAAACAAGTGATAACATGCGATTGGACGTTGACGAGTTTGTTCACCTGATGTTGAGTGATAACCTCCGCTCATGGACATTTGCAACACCCGTAGAATTGTCCATGCGTTGCCACCTTTTAGTAAAGTGGACCCCGGCTTCTTCACTCACCAGAAGAAACGCAAAAGAACACATCCACTTCACCCTGATTTTCTTTGAGGACGTGGTACTTCCCCGGATGGACCTGCCCATTCGGATAACAGCGAATTGTTGCGTGGCCCCTTTATTACTGCCCTGCTCCTCAAACAATGATGATAAAACGACACATAAAATGTGAACTTTTCTTACTTGAATTCCTTTTCTATTTAATTTTTAATATTTTTGAAGTATTACTTTATTTACAACATTCTTTTCGGGATATTTCCATAAATCATATTATTATATGTCGCCTAAAGAATCAACAGCAAATATGTAATCTGAACAAAGAGACTCATATTTACGCCACTTTCTTACTTCAGTTGCCCTGGCCCTGACCGAAGTACCCTTTAGATGAGAGGCAGCTAAAGTGACTATACAAGTATATGATAGAATCGCCGAAGTGCCTTGGTATAATGCTCAATGACCTTAACAGTGCCTCCCAACGATGGGCCTTATGATCAACATGGACAAGACGAAGATTCTGTCTAATATCCATGTCACGCCTATACCGGTTGTCATTGGGAGCACTCAGTGGTGTTGTCGAGCTGGAACGCTCCGGAACGTCGTTCCGGTACTTCCTTGGATCGGCCATGTCTATATAATTATATATACGCGTTCCGGTAAAAAAAAATCAGCACAACACTACTGGGAGCACTGTGTTCGAAGTTATTGAACAGTATATTTACCTAAAACAGTTCGTTGAAGTAAATCCAACTTCGACGCAAAGGTCAATCGGCAACTGTGATGGGCAGGGATCGGGAAACTTTCGCATAATATATTGTCTTCGAATATCCTTCAATTTTTTGAAAACTAAAGTACAACCATCGGTGTTGCCAGTAATGACCTACGGAACTGGGACTTGGTCCTTAACTGTTGGCCGTATAAGAACACTCAAAGTTGCTAAGCGAGCTATAGAGCGCGATATGCTCGGTCTAGAGTTAGCAATGAAGACATTCGTAGGTAACAAAGATAACCGACATACCTAATAGGATTAGAAAGCTGTAGAGGCAATATGGCTCGAAGAACCTATTACCGATGGGGAAGAAAGATTATCGAGTGGCAGCCTCCACTGACCTCCCTCTACAAGAGTAAGTGTGAAGAAAGTCGATGGGTCCAGGTGGCTAAAGACAATGCATCTATCGGGGCGCCTATGTTCAGCAGTGGTCTTAAATTAATATGATGTCTCTTGATTTCGATGGGATCACTATCGACTGCGAAATGCGATCCGATTTGAGTCCCTCCCGTCCGCTTGCTTCATTAGTCTATATTCCATCTTTCGTCTATGTATGTGATATTAATTTTATACTATACTTTATACTTTTATACTACGTGTGTCTTTAAAAAATGTACCAAGTACGACGCTAAAGTTCAAGGGATCCTATATCACATACATCATGCAATATATCTTCGATTTACTAGTATGTATCGAGATATTTTCCGATTTTTTATTTTATGTAGATCAGAAAATATAGGAAGAGGCAGCAAATAATTGTAATAGGGTAACGAGAAAGACGGATGGACCACGAGATTTGTTTCCAGTTTACACCCTCAAATGACAAACACAAGTCGTCCTCTTTTTTCTTTATACCATTCGACATCTGTGAGAAAATTATGACGAACGAAACGTGTGAATGCATGCTGTCAGTCCGTTTTGAAATTGAACTTCTAAAGGAACATCCTTGTTTTAAATGCTTTTACAGTATTAGCGATTAGTCAAAAGATATAATATCACACTCTGAAAATTAATTACTCATTCCAGGCTCTTTCACGTAGAATTTAATATATTGTAAATATGTTTCTTTTTTTGTCAAATTATGTTTTAAAAAATTGGCCCTCTGAGTTTCTTTCGCCGAATCTTCTCAGGTCAGTGGCTTTTTTCGGAACGGGTTTTTTGACAATCAATAAGTAAGTGTAATACTTGTTTAGTGACTAAAGATATTAGAATTTGACTAATGGCAGCACTACTTCTAACATGTCATGTTTTTTTTTGCTATCTGTAGTTACCCAGTATTACTCACGAGTACTGTTTGTGTGTGTAACATTGTGTACTCGATTCTCAAGTCAATGTAATGTAATTGTAATTCATTCACGTCATTCGCGACAATCATGGATATATGTCTTATTTGATTTTTATTTATTTTTTAATATAACAGAGTTTTTGAAATGAAATGGAGGGATTGAATATGAAAGGTGAGTTCCCTATGGCCATTTATCGTTTCACAAGGGCAATACGCTAAATTGTTTTTGTGTTTTGTATGTATTTGTCAGTTTATATTTTGAGTGGGCGATACTTGTTTCATATCGTGAATTACCTTTTGTTAAAACTTAACTTCCCTATTACGATAGATTTGAAAAATATTAATGCATATTGCAAAATATATCAAAATTTCAACTAGTTGAAGTCGTAATAGTTAATGTGTCCTTATAACAACGATAGTAGTAACCGAAATTACTTCCTTGTTTTTATGGCTTTGTTTATTGTTTATAAGAATATTGCTTTTTATGATATTAAATAATATGTGTAATAGATATGTTTAAAATTGGCTTGAAACATGTGATGTATGTAAATAGTCTTATATTCTTGTATTTATATAGTAATATTTCCTCTCACATTATTAGGATGTGAGTCCGCAGCTTAGTCAGCAGTTAATCATTGTTGAAGTATATTCTAAAGGCAATATGTATAGAAACAGTTGGGAATTATTTATATAAGATTGTGTAATGAACTGTTTTTTTATTTAATAAAGTAGAAATTATTTTCTTGTCTAGGGGTGTAATGACCTATGTGATTATGACTAATGTATGCAATTTAAATTATTTACAGTATTTTTTTGTTGCACAAATTTGCAATGCAATCCATTATTACTCATGTAATTATGAAATGTAGAGTTCCAATGCATTTGTCCACTATGAGTTATATCAGACTTAATCTTACTTAAAATACACCTTTTGTTTTATGTTATGAAAGAATTCTGAATTTGTATTTGAATCCTGCTGTATTAAATCTTTTTTAATGTATTTTTATATCTTCTATCTTTAATACTATGGAAAATAAATAAATAAAAAGTTATTTATTTTTCCCATATTAAAGAAAATGTACTGAATAGGATGTAAGGTAGGACAATATTATCCATTATTCTAAATTTATTTTATATATGAACAAAACCTGAACAATTATTTGTAGATTGGTCATCTACCTATTCATTTTAAAAGCAAGAACAAGACATTTTGTTACCCACTTCAGGTAATGAATGTCCTGTGTTAAGTGGTTAAATGTAATAATGTGAGCTTTGTATTACACCAGGAAAATTTTAAATTAATATTAATAATATGGCAAATCTAATGGAGTAGTTTTATTAATTCTTAATGATTTATCATGTAAAACTATTTATTTTATTTAAACTTTTACTCAAAAAACATTATTACATTACATTAAATACATTATGTATTGGTAGATTTAATGCCTGATTAAAGGTATTTATTAAGGTGAGTATAGACTACAACATTTACTTGTCACAGAACAATGAGCCGCTCTATGATATGTTTTAGTGTATCATCCTTTCACAAACTAAATGTCGAGCACGCTCGCCTCTTTGTTACAAACCATATTGCGTATTGGTGTAACATTTCGTCGAGCCACGAGTGCGGGCGATGCGCGGATGCGATTTCTATTTTTCTTCTAATGTAATTCATCAAGATAAACGCAGCACACGCAACTTTTCCGACGTTTCAAAAAAGAATGAACGCAAGGTACAACGAGATCTTGGTAAATGCACACTCTCTGTGAGCATTTACCCATAACATAACGCCGAGCATTCGCAGGAACGTTACATTACATGGAAATGCTTTGGAAACTGAGCTTTTGCGTGTATTGTACCATTCGTAAGAATGTTACATTACACAGAAATGCTCCAGAAAATGTTGTAGTCTATACTCACCTTTATGTATATATATATTTGCAAATTTTTGTTTTTATCTACAAGACAAGGCTCATCAGCAGCTAATGAATTTATTTTTTGTGTTATATAAAAGATATAATAGAAGTTTTAAAAATTAACTTTGAATATCATATTTCATATTTTAATTTTCTACTTTCATTAAGAGAGTGGCATGCAGTGAATGTTTATATAAATACAATAGTGAGCTAAATGCTTTATGATTGATTTATTCCAATCCATTTCAGAATCCCTCAATTGTGCAGGGTGCTTAAATGACATTGGCGAAGATGACTATGTATCGGCGTCGGGACAAGACTGGCACAAGGAATGTTTCCGGTAAGGTTTGGCTTCTTGACTCGGTTTCTATTTTGACAATCCATACTAATATTATAAATGCGTAATTAACTCTGTCTGTCCTTCCCGCTTTCACCCCCAAACTACTGACCCGATTTAAATGAAATTTTAACACAAGATAACGTTTAACACAGATAGTCTAGAGCCTGAGAAAGAACATTATTTTTTAATTAGAATTTTTTTTTAAAGAAAGATATTTATTTAAGGGCTTCAACGCGAGCTGCGGACGAAAAGCTAGTATTTAATGTATTGATAGAATCTTTTGTAAATGGTATAACACTTGAATGTGGCTGTGTTTTGAATTACAGTGAGCTTCATTGATTTTATCTGGTTTTATTGTGAAATGACTATCCCATTAGTTTTATTGTAATGGTTTCAATCTACAAATACGATTCTCAAAAAGCCCTGAATTCGGGTATATACTCATGGTTTCCCTTAGAAGCAATACTGTTTGCTTATTTCTTGCGACTGCATTGTAACAAGTCCATTGAAATACGCAAGTTTTTTTATTTAAGAAGGTGGCAAGTGAGCCGACGGTTCACCTGATGTTAAGTGATAACCACCCCCATGGACATTAGCAACACCCGTAGGGTTGCAGATGATAAAGTGTGCGCACCGAAAGCTTAACCATCAATCCGGAAGGAATTATTTTGAAATAATTCAAGAAACTGTTCTTTTATTTTTCGTAAAAAAAATATTTATTTTTTTTTACTTAAAACCTGCAAAAAATCCCATTTTTCGTAAATATGAACTATTGGTACAGGTGCTCGGTATGCGACGCGCCACTCTCCACGTGGTATTTCGAGAAGGGTGGCTTGCTGTTTTGCCGCAACGACTATTGGGCGCGATACGGCGATAACTGTCAACAGTGTACCCAGGTACGTAATGTCTTTAGATGGAGATCGACTTGAGCGGTTGTAGGTTTTTGACGTACCCACGTGCTTAAGTTTATTTTCTGTAATTTATAATCTAATATTTCAGTTGTGTTTTGTGGTTGTGGTTTTATATTATTATTATTAGTGGGTAAGTGTTATTGTATTACATGTAATCGTTTTCAAGTACGATGTGTGATACAGGAGATGATGATCCTCCTCCTGGTGGAGGTGGGGTCTTGTCCTCTGATGTAGACATGTCGGTTCCTATTACTGGTCAATGTGCTTCATCTAGTCGTCCTCTGAAAAGATCAGCGGATACAGAAATCGCCAGTATCCCAAAGAAAAATATAAGTCCATCTGCTTCTATTCAGGATTCATATACCAGGCCTGGTTTTGAACCTGATAAGAAAATTAGGTATGATGAATTTAGCCAAGGTCCTTTCACTGTCTATGTGTCTCGTATTGAAGCTCATCCTTCTGAAGGGCTCTCTATTAAAATTAACTTTGCTCAGCTATTGCATAAAAACAAGGTTACTGGTATTGTTTGTGATGGTATCAAGGTATTATGCCGCAATAAAATTTCTGTCCAATTCGAAAATTATATAGAAGCTAACTCATTTATCCAGAACCCAATGTTACTCAAAAATAACTTCTCTGCAGAAGTCCCAAAGTTTTTAGTTTCTCGAATGGGTGTTGTCCGTCAAATACCTTTGGACTGGACCCTCGAAGAGTTGGTTTCTGGTCTACAGTGTCCCTCCAATTGTGGACCTGTGATAAAGGCCAGACGAATTTATATTAAAAATCGCCTTAATAATAATCCTAAGCCAACTTGGGAACCATCCACCACAGTAGTGTTGACCTTTCTAGGTCAAACCCTCCCTGAGAAAGTTTACTGTTTTCATGCTTCACTTCCAGTTTCTGTTTATCAACTTCCTACCATACAGTGTCATAATTGCTGTAGATTTGGACATGTTCGTGCCCAATGCAGATCTAAATCTAGATCCTTTAAATGTGCGCAACAACACCCTGGAGACTCCTGTACGGTATCTGATGCTTTGTGTCTTCTCTGCAGAGGACGTCACAAAGCCACAGATCCTACATGTCCAGAACATACACGACAGAAGAACATTAAACACATAATGTCTCTAGAGAATATTAGTTATTCTGAAGCATCAAGCCGCTTCCCTGTCTCTAGACAGTCATTTGCTGATGTACTTTGCTCCTCTCCAAGAAATTCTCTTGGTCCTTCCCTCTCCCAGTCAAATATTCCTACTCCTGCAAATTTTCACTGTCCTCTCCCTCCACAACAAACCTTGACGGGTTCATAGAACCCTCTCCATCCCAACATAGGTCCTCATATTTTAGTCATAAATCTCTTCCTCAGCATCCTCGTCCTAGATCGCCTCTAAAACCATCTTATGATAAACGCGCCCACCTAGAAATTATTAGAACTCCCAAATCCTCTCAACCTAACGGCAGTGCTATTAGTGTTAGCCCTACTCCACACATTACTCCTAATGATAATCTGATTGAGTTACTCACATGTAGTCTGATAAACATGGTTTCAAAATTTAGTGACTCACTACCGAACAATGTCTTGCCCTTATTAGAACAGCTGCTAGATACAATTATAAAAAAAAACCGTGACATTCAACACCCTTGAACCTGGAATTGTAGAAATGTGCGTCATAAGAAGGCTGATTTAATATTTCTATTAAACAAATATGATCCTGTTGTGTGTGCTATTGCAGAGACTTGGTTGAGACCTGGCTCCAATATTAGGAATCCAGGGTACTCATCCTTGCGGGATGATAGAGATGATGGTTGGACTGGGTGTGCTTTATTTATTAAGAGATCAGTACCCTTTACAAGGCTCCATATTCCCTCTCATCCTTCAGATTTCCACATTGTTGCGTCTAGAGTTAGTGGCATATCTTTTGTTTCCATTTATATTCCCCATCCCAATCCTAACATCATTTCTAATATTAGCTCTATTCTTTCCTCCATTCCAGCTCCTCTTCTAGTGTTAGGAGATTTTAATTGTAAAAATACTTTTTGGGGTTCCCATGTTTGTGATCCCTCATCACATTTTATTATAGATATGCTAGACAATTTAAATCTGATTCTATTAAATGATGGGTCACCTACAAGGAGAGTATCACCACTACAAAATGCTTCTGCCATAGATTTGTCTATCTGCTCAACTGTTCTGTCATCTTCTATTAACTGGATGATCCTGGCTAATTCCTATGGAAGTGATCACTTCCCCAATGTTTTAAACCTATTTGAAGTTGTTGTTCCAACAATCAAATATGACCTTCTGTTGAAGTACAGACTTAATTTAGCTGACTGGAACAAATTTTCTCTTTTAGTGGATCAAAAGCTGTCCTCTCTTTCCCCCAATTCATCCCTATTCCATACTAATTTTAATGATACTTATGACTACTTTGTGTCTTCTTTGCTAAGTTCTGCTGACCAATCTATTCCCTTAAAGAATACTGCCCGCAAATGCCTTCCTTCCCCTCCCTGGTGGGATAGGGATTGTACTAACAGTGTGCGGTTCCGCAACGACGCTGAACGCAAATACGTAGCTGATCTCAAAATAGGTAATTATTTACAGTATCAAAAAGCCTGTGCACAAACTAAGAGACTTCTTAGCAAAAAGAAAACTCTAGGTTGGCAGAGGTTTTGTGAATCTTTGGCGCCTCGAACTGCCCCTTCCTTCGTTTGGAAACGTATTAAATCCTACCGCAGGTCTTGTGATACTAATAATAACTCAAGTACTTATCAAACAGAGAGATGGCTATCAACCTTCATTAATAATTTATCCCCCCCCTACGTTCCATTCCGTGACTGTTTCCCTATGGATTATTCTCATTCTTTTATCTACCCTGATAAAATGAATGATGAATTTTCCTACCCTGAACTTCTTTGTGCCTTAGACCACCTCCATGACTCCTCACCCGGAATAGATGGAATTCCTTACTCCTTTATTATTAAGTCTAACAAATTTACTCAGCTTTTCTTCCTTAATATCATTAACACTGTTTTCTTATCCTGTAATATTCCTGACTCATGGAAAACTCAAATCATCATTCCTATTCTCAAACCTGGCAAAGACCCAGATGAAGCCTCATCTTATCGCCCCATAGCTCTCTCCTCTACTTTATGTAAAATCATGGAACATTTAGTCAAAAACCGTTTAGAGTGGATCCTAGAAAACAGGGGAATACTATCCAATAATCAATTTGGTTTCAGACGGGGTATGGGAACATTGGATAGTTTAAGTGTCTTAGTTTCCAGAATTCGTCTAGCTTTCAGTGAAAATCAACATGTTGTTGGAGTCTTTCTGGATGTGCAATCGGTCTATGATAATGTCCAGATTCCAATACTCAGGCAGAAAATGCTCCAACTGAGTATCCCAGTGAGACTGGTAAATTTCATTTTTAATCTATACAGTGGCCGTTCTATTTCTGTGCGCGCTGATGGATCCATTCAACCACCTAGATTAGTATGGAAGGGGTTACCCCAGGGCTCCGTACTTAGCCTCTTGTTATATAACGTATACACCCATGATCTTGAACACTCTGTTTCCCCCTTTTGTAATATTTTACAATACGCTGATGACATAGCCCTGTACTCCATTTCATCTTCATTAATTGATGCTGCTGATAAGGCTAACTCTGCACTAACTTATTTAAGTGATTGGCTTAACAATCAAGGGTTATCCTTAGCAGTACCGAAATGCAATGTGGTGGTATTTACAAGAAGGCGCCATATTCCGAGCGTCAATTTGTTTATTGATGGATATTCTCTTAGCATAGTAGACAAAATAAAATTTTTAGGTGTTATATTAGATTCTAAGTTAATTGGTGTCCACCATCTTAATTATATTAGCAATAAGTGTGAAAATAGTGTTAATGTCATAAGATCTCTATCAGGTGTCCGTTGGTTCTCATCCATTTTGTCAAAATTTATTATATAATGCTATTGTTAGATCATATTTTGATTATGGCAGTTTTTTATTGGAACCATGTAATAAGAATGCATTAAATAAATTACAGAAGATTCAATTTAAATGTCTGCGCATCATCACTGGTGCCATGAAATCCTCTCCTAATTTGGCATTACAAGTTGAATGCCTAGAGCCTCCCCTTCACCCTAGAAGACAGTTTCTTGCTGATAGATATCTATTTAACATTTCTCAATACATGCATCACCCCTTTTAAAAACCTTACATTCCTTGTCTCAATTAGCAAGTACTTCTGATTACTGGAAACATAAGGACTTGCCTCTGCTACTTAAGTCATATCGAAAAATTTGTAATCTTTCTAATCCTGTTTTCAAAATTGAAAAACACCCAATTTTTATGGTTGACTATATGTCATTCGTTTATAGGCCTAGGGTTATTCTGTCCTTGGGAATTGATAAAAACTCACCGGTGTAAATACTATGGCTTAATTCAACCATTTATCCCTACCAAACCTTGGTTCTTTAAATACCGCTGCTATAACAAAAATACCACATCTATTATCATCAGGTTAAGACTAGGACATGTGTGCTCTCCAGTGTTCTTGGCTAAACTTCATATTCGAAACACTTCCTTATGTGAATGTGGGCTAAATGAGGGTACACTTGACCATTTATTTTTTAATTGTCCTTTGTTAACTGTCTCTTTATATGATTTACTTCCATCCAATGTTGCTCGCCCTGTGAATGTTAAGTGTCTTTTAACTCTTGTTTATACTCCATTTATTAAACCTCTAGTTAAATTTATAGAGATTAACAATATATGTCTTTAAGTTGTTGTCATCAATTTAAAAAAAAAAAAAAAAATTATGTCCTGTTTTTATTTTTCATATATTTGAGTGCTGTCTTCCATTATTAATTTGCATGTTACTTACTAACGTTGTGTTGTTCCTTTGTTTACAGGTACACAAATGAAATAATTTTAAACAAAATAATATATATTTTCATTGTCCTAACCTTATCAAGTTGATCTCAAAGTTCTTAGTTATTGGCAAAAGCACTGACGTATCAGTGGAGCCATAGTAGGGAAAAAAAAATGTCTTTAAATAAAATAAGTCTAAAGTTAAAATAAGCCAACGCAGTACACCGCTTTAGATGTTAGAAGCTACGTGTAAGGCGCAGAAGCTATTGCGTTCCTTGCTATCTTTTTTCTCATCAAGTTGGTATATGTTGCTGTGGATGAGATGATGTCGTTTTTCTTTGACAATAAGTTCAAATACCGATTGCCTTTTTTTTTTGTTTTATGACCCTTTGACACTTTAGAATTAAACTGTCACCATTAATTTTATTTGTATCATAAATATGTTATATAACTTTCCTGCAGCGCTAAAACAATTTAATGTGTAAAATCCTTTGCTTAGGTTTATTTTTGAATTGAACTGACCCTTCAACTTCTTTGTAAACTATTGATTACTGCGTTGAATAAAAATAATTACATTCACTTTAAACGACAAATTTCTTTATTTTATATTGTGACACAGACAAACTAAAGGATTTTTGAGGCTAATATTGCATAATTATAATGTCAGTGACACGATAACATAAGTTATTAATATTAACAAATTACGTTACATACAAAAATTTATATTACATCACAAAAAGTCTAGATAGCCCAAAGGTATTTTAAATATTGACATTAGTGATGAAATTTGAAATATTGACATTAGTGAAATAATGCCGATAGTTAAATAATACCGATAGTGAAATATAACCGATAGTGAAATAATACCGATAGTGAAATGATATCGATAGTGAAATGATACCGATAGTGAAATAATACCGATAGTGTATTATTAAATAATGTACTAATAAGTAATGACGATAGTAAAATAATACCGATAGTGAAATGATACCGATAGTGAAATAATTCCGATAGTGAAATAATACCAATAGTAAAATAATACCGATAGTGAAATGATACCGATAGTGAAATGATACCGATAGTGAAATGATATCGATAGTGAAATAATTCCGATAGTGAAATGATACCGATAGTGAAATAATACCGATAGTGTATTATTAAATAATGTACTAATAAGTAATGACGATAGTAAAATACTGACGTAAGGGCTATAGTGTCCTGACCGTTGCAGGTGATAACGGGCCCGGTGATGGCCGCTGGCGAGCACCGATTCCACCCGGAGTGCTTCGCGTGCACCGCCTGCGGCGCCCACGTCGAGGACGGCGAGCCTTACGCGCTTCTGGAACGTTCCAAGCTGTACTGGTGGGTGCTTTAGATTTTAGGCTTCCAAGCTGTGCTGGTGGATTCTTTAGATTCCCTAGGCTTCATAAACTTTGGGTGGTGTGTTACTATAATCTTCCTGGTACCTAATGATGATTTTAGGATGTAAAAATTATCTGACTGGTGCAATCTTGAGTTACCAACATTGTCGAGTTGGAGTATGTAACATTTTTACGACTGTAATATGATGTTTGTGATAATCTCGCTTGTTTATTTATATTAAAGTCTTTATCCACATAGTAAATACCAAGATAAAACGGATAAATTAACATAATACATTAACCACTCTTCTTTTTTTTAAAAACATTTCCCTTGCTTTGGGATAACATTATCCTGTGTTGTAAGGACGTTCTTACAAACATAAATTTCACGCGGACAAACAACCGGACAACAACGCGGATCAACTATCTGTGGGTCACACAGATAATTGTCCCGTGTGGGAATCGAACCCACGACCCCCGACGCCGAAGCCGATACCTAGGCGACTGCGCCACGGAGTCAAATCTTCTCCAAGTTTTAATTTTTAAAGTGTTTATTTCTGCAATTAAGACGAAATGTTAAATGTTAGAAACAAGGATGAATCCGGAAGACTTCGTTTCGATTCCTGTAGGCGGCGAGAAACTCTTCGTCGTTTCTTCTACCATAGCCTGCTTAGTTCTTGCCAATTTAGATAGTATTGACGCAAAATTTTCAAGATCGTTTTCAATCTAGTCTTAGCAATAATTTAAATTTAGTTAATAAATATATTCACCGTTTAACTAGTAATTCCAGGAACCCTTTATACAGATAGTAATCATGTTGGAAATATATATCACGTGCATACGTGCTCATTACAAACCCTGAAATCACGCGGCTTAAGTGTTAAACTTATAACGTGTGACACTCAGCGGCGCGTGTTGCGGTGGGGCGATGCGGTCCACGCGAGGAGCGCACGCGATCCGCGTGCTGCGCGTGCCGGCGCGGGCGCTTCGACTCGCGCCCGCCTCCGCCTCCGCGCCCGCTCCCGCCTCCGCGTCCGCTACCGCCGCCGCCGCGGCCCTCACACTCGCGCAGTCAGTACGCAGTACATTTAATACGCAGTGCACAGTGCATAAAACACAGCTGCTCAAAGATTATGTGTACTCTGTGGACTCAGTACGCGTACACGTTTCACACGTAACCACACGCGTCCACGGGTACTCACACGGCACTTTTGTACACACACACATGCTGTACACAAAATACAATATATTTAGTAAAATTAGTTATGTGAACTGTTTTTGTAATTAACTGTATTTAAGTATGACATGTATGAAACAGGTTAACTGTTTCATACATGTCATACTTAAATAGGGCGGTTTATAATCCTACTGTGTAAAATCCTTATTGATAAAATAATAGTGTTAATTTTTAAAATAATTGATATAAAATATGTGATCTAAGTAGGAAATTCATATATCATGTTCAAGATGTTCAAAATCACTGTTGTCATCGTAGTTACTAACATCGAATTACTATCACAATCATTTCATATACACTCGCCGTAATCTATTATTCACACGTTGTATTATTGGGGAACACGATAATAAATCAATTTCAATCATAATATGTAATATTAATAACAAAGTAACAACAATGTACAACTGTTTTGAGGAAAACTTATAAAAGTTGCAAACAAATTACTCATCGACCAGCACTTACTAATGAAACATTCTAAATTAAAAACTATTTATACTCACGTCGACTCAATTCATGTGTACAAAGAACTATAAACCTTAATCCTTTGGCAATTAACGCCATAATCGATTGGCCTGCGTAGCGGCCGCTGTGCAAGCAAACTATCGGCGCTGGCGCGAGCTCTGCTCCGAGCGGCGGTCTCCGTCTGCATACAGCTCACCTGCCATAGGTACTAACTCGTTCTAGAAGGATCTAGTACGTGCCAGCATCGCTTGCCGCTTGTTTTGCCGCTTCCGTAGTGGTTCGGGGCCCTATCTGGCTAGTTATTACTATAATAGCATCTTTATCAATCCCGAGGTTACGGGAATTTTGGCGCCCAATCTCAAGTTCCCGGGATTCGAAAGTGCGGGTCCTTCATTTACTATACGTAAAAGTAATACGAGCGAGATCCCGGCATATTATGATCCCGGGATTCAGTGTCTTGGTGCTTTTTGTGGCAGTGTTTGAATGACTATTTCGATTTTCGACCCTATCGACTCCGATGATCATGACAATTTGTAAAAATTTAAATGCATGCATGCATGCCATAATGAATGAAATGTTCAGATCATTCATACGTTCATTTTGAAGAGTGTACTTGCTTGTCTTTAGATTCTTGTAATGATATGAAATATTATCATTTCAATGGTTGCTTTGTTTCGTGCTGTGATATATTTGTTTTTTTTTGTAGTTAGGTAGCGGATTGGATTTTTTTTCTTATGGATTTTGTACTCTCTACCTTCCTTGTTCATGCTGTTATTATAGGTATTAGAAAATTATTTGTCATTTATGAGCATTCAGTGCATTTGTGTTTCGTAATATATTATGTAAAAGTAAAGTAAAGTAACAGCCTATACATGTCCCACTGCTGGGCAAAGGCCTCCTCTATACAGAGGGTATCAGGGAATAGTCCACCACGCGGCCCCACTGCGGGTTGACGGACTTCACATATCTTCGAAATATATTTTTTTTGTTATTATTTCGAAAATATGCAGGTTTCCTCACGATGTTTTCCTTCACCGCGGAGCACGTGATAAGTCAGCACTTAAAGTTAAAAACTTCATTGGTGCCGGCACCGGGGATCGAACTCAGGTTGCTCGAGTATATTGAATTAAAGGCGAGCGCCCGGACACTGAGCTATCACGGCTCTATATATTATGTAGTTAGTCGTAATATACATAATATATGTATGTAGTTCTCGGTGGTGGAAATTATTTTTTTTCTTTACTAAACTCATACCAGTAATATGTGCTTCTAAAGGACCTGGGAACGGCCTTCCATTCAGGCTACTTGTAAATACTAAATTAATGTATGGATTTACTTACGACCTGCCCTTTTCTCCGCGTTTTATTTTTCAATGTGAATTCACTACATTCCGAACCATTTATAACGTCACGAGACGGAGGAAAAAAAAAACCGAAAACGCGCGAACGTAAAAAAAGAAAAATAACTAAAAACTGTCTCCCCTCCCGTGCGGCAGTACCCTTTGTTTGAATGACAAATGGGCGTTAAATGCAATTGATGACGATTACATTAAATTTCTTTGATTTTCGGTAATGGTCAAGAATTTGTTATCGGTTGCCATGGTAATAGCAGGAAGTCGGTCGTTCCTAAACGCGCCAAAAAAGTACAAATTCCAAAACAAGAGTCAATGCGGCATAATCCCTAAACTATTTCCATTCCGCTTTGTTCTCTTGATGACCGCGATTTGCCGCATCTACCGGTACAAAGGCTACAGTTATCCCGGTGGCGTTTCAATGAGTGGCTTCGCAGAATCGACTCGAGCTGCGGCATGCTCACCCTGCACATCGGCGACAAGGTGCTGGAGATAAACGGGTCGCCGGTTCGGGGCAGGCCGCCCGAATTCGAACCCGACGCTATAGTGCAGGTTGGTGCTAGTGACTAGATTTTGGCCTTGTCTAATTTTTTTTATGCCAAACGAGCAGGCTGTTCACCTCATGTTAAGTGATAACTGACGCCCATGGTTAGCGACACGCGTAGGGTTGCGATGCGTTGACGTAGCGGGCCCCCGCTACCTCACTCACCAGACGAAACGCGAAAGTATTATACTTCCACTTCACGCCGGTTTTCTGTGTGGTCGTGGTACTTCCCCGGACCTGCCCATTCGTGCAACAGTGAAGTCAATTGCGTGGCCCTAACACGATGAAATCCACAATAAATAAAGTTTTCTATGCTAAAGTGAATGCTACAAACCCATAAAGATGAATTTCAGCCATATTGCTTGCCCATGCCACAATGTCCTGTACTCTGAATACTCGCACACACGGTTATAAAACCTTCCTTTCTTCTCATTAATATAATTATACTTTACCTTATTCGTCCGCAGTTGACGATAGAACACAACCCGGACACGTTGAATCTGAAGAGGGGGCCCGCGCCGCAGCACAGCGATGTAGACAGCAGAACCAAGCACGAAGGCAAATCGCCAATAGAGAGGAAGATCCACAAAGACGACCCGAAGAAGCACATTCCTAGCAGACATTCCAATGACGGGGACCAACCGGTGGACAGAGAAGAGGAGGTTGTGAGAAAAGAGAGACTATTCAAGAGGAAGGGAGAAGACGGGGGCAAGAGAGTGATCAAGAGGCGGCAGACTCCTTCTTCGCCGCTTCTAGGGGACAAGGAGAGGAGTAGCAGTATGTCGAAACTGCTTGATGTGTAAGTTGGAAGATGTTCCTTTTTCAAATTTAAGCTTAGAATTAGTTTATTATAAACAATTTCAAACAATTTGTAAAAGCTACCTTAAAGGCAAGGGCCTACTATGATGTCCAAGAATACATTGAGGACAAGGATGTGTGGAAATGACTCTACTGTTGATTTTGTACCTAAATAAGTTTGTATAATTGCATCACAAAAAAAATAACAAAAAGTACAAGACCGCAGAGTTTCTTGCTGATTCTTCTCTGTTCAGGTCTAGATTAGTGAACCGGTGGTAGATGTTTTGTTGACGTTCAATAAGAGCTTAAGTTAAGCCTATATTGAATAAAGATTATTTGACTTTGAGTTTCGGTAAGGTTTGAAATGTCACGAGAATAAAATAGGGCAGTTGAGTTGGTTCTCGTCCACTTGTGTTGTAACTAGCGAAATGTTAAGCATTTGCATTATCATAACCAGTTGAGTTTGTAATATCCGATAGTTGCGGCAAGTGAATACACATATATAGCATTTATAGCATGTGGCATTTGCGAAAAGCACAGCGTGCGTAGTTTTGGCAGCGTAAGTACGGTACTGGGACCATAGGAAAGAGATAAGTGTCTTATCGCGTTATCTCTGTCGCACACTTGTACCACAACTAATAATCATCTCCTAGGTAGTGTGTACGGAGATAACGCTCTACGAAATCGAAATTAGCCCTTTATCCCTTTCCAAAATTCGACATGCAATATTTACCACTTAATACTATGTATACTATTATACCTATGCTGTGCTTGTGTTTACGTAGCAATCGTAGCATTCGTAGCACGTAGCACGTAGCACTTGCAACAATACTAGCATACGTAGTAGCTGGGGTAATGGGTAATTTTTTGTATTCCTCATCAAGTGAAATAAAATCAAAGTCAAATCAAATCATTTATTCATTGAAATAAGAAATATACATTTCATCTATCGATAGTCATTTTATAAATCTAACACCGTTTCGTAAAAGGAACTCTGTAGCGAAAGAAACTCCATAGGTATCCTTTTTTTTTTCTCAAACAAATACATTTTTATACAGTACAATTTTTTTTTATTTAGAAACAGATTAGGAGCGATCGTCTTCACTCCCAAGTATTATTATCGTTAATATATTAATTTATATTCTAATAACCCTTTTTAAAAATCTTTTTTTTAATAAATTTCTTAAACCTGTTAATAGATAGGCTTTGCATATTAACTGGGATTTTGTTGTAGAAGTATGTACACCGTCCCATGAACGAGTTACTGACTCTATGGAGTCTAGTAACTGGCGTTACAAGCTTGTGTTTGTCCCTAGTGTTAGTGTGTGTGGTACAAAGTATGGTAATTTCGTGCTTCGTTTCGTGAGTAAGGTAACCGGGGCCCGCTCTTTTGAATAATGTCAAAATGCAAGTGCACAATAGTTGTGTTGAGAGGCCCTTCCCTTGTGGGACCCCTGTTCGCTTGTCGACGATTTCCCATAAAGAAATGCACGATTATGGTAGTTGCCACGGTATTGGCTTCGACGCAGGGGGTCGTGGGTTCGATTTCCACACCGGACAGCCATTTGTTTGATCCATAGATAATTGTTTCGGATGTGGGTGCTTGTCCACGTGGAATTTATGTATGTAAAACGTCCTCACAACACGCGATAACGCCGCTCCACAGCAAGGGGCAATGTTTTCGAAGGGAAGACTACAATACAGTAATTAATAGCTTAATAGCATGATAGCAAATTAACACTTTAACGTATGTAATAAGTTTTTTTCTCTCATTTTAACTTTTATCCATGTAGTTTATATACATCGGTTTTCGCATGCCGCATCTGGCAAACATCTGAGCTATTTTAAAAAATTTGGACACGACTATTTTATGTACCATGTTTATGCGAATAAATTATTATTATTATTATTCTAAATTGCAGTGGTCGTTGGGACTTAATGCATAATCCCTTCCACTTAAATACACGGTCGTGTTGTTTCAGGACGGAGGGCGAGGGGGGCGTGCTGTGCGACTTGAGCAGGGCGCGCTCTTTCCGCGCGGAGCCCGCCCAGGGTCAGAAGGTGTTCCGCGCCTCGGACCTTCTGCAGGTGAGCTCATCGCAAGATCACAGCACCAGCACCACAGCGCCTTGTGTTAATCTTACGCCCGGTTTCTGAAACGCTGTACATCGTAGAAGTTAACTAATCAGCTGTCAGCAAACTACCAACCGGACACTAACGCGAACGTAAGCAGGCGTCGCCCGCGAAACGTCCTCATCGACCCGGGCGACGAAGAGGACTTAGATACGATGGACCCACCGCCCTGGGTCCCGCCGGATAACACTACACCCACAGTTAGTGTAACAACAACCACACCAGTTCGCCCTCGCCTCCGAGCACGGCGAGACCCACACAACGCGTACACAAGGTACACCCGCGTTCCGGGGCGGTTCTCACCGCTCCCAGCCACCGATTAGCTAAATGCACAGTCGACGGCCGTCGGGGTCTCGGTCCGAACCGGCGACCTCGACGGCCCTTAGATGACACACCATAGTAGTTAAACGCACGCATGAGCACATGCGCGACCCTACCCATAGCGGAGGGTCCAAACCCGTGGGTTCTGGCTAGCCCAACGGTTCTGCGTCCGATGAAGCTTAAATAGTCTCGAGACTGAAAGCAAAAACATCAGTTAATACAAGATACAAGATAATCAGCTGTCAAATGGCTTTTGTGTGATCGATACAGCAATCCATACTAATATTATAAATGCGAAAGTAACTCTGTCTGCCGGTACACAGATATTCTATAACCGGAAAAAGGACATAGGCCATTTTTTAATTGGAAAAAGGGTTGTAACGGGTTCTTAAAGGGGATAGATATTTATTTAAGGGCTTCAACGCGAGCGAAACCGCAGGCGAAAACCTAGTATGAGATAAATGATTGAATTTGACCGATTGACTTCACTAGTTGAATATAATCTGTTGTTTTATATCTTCATAAATCACTCTAAAATTGTATCATGGTTTTGACGCCATGAATATTTTGATATGCTTATGTACGTATTTTTTATTCTTCTAGTTTATAAAGTATATTATAGGCATAAACTGTCATCTTTACTTCCTTATTAATATTATAAAGGCGAAAGTTGGTATGTATGGATGGATGATTGTTACTCTTTCACGCAAATACTACTGAACGGAATTTAATGAAACTTTACAATAATATAGCTTATACATCAGAATAACGTAATAATATTAACATAGGCTATAATTTATATACATATTTTTATGTATTTCTGTCTGAATGTAACGCATTCAGCCTAATCTACGCAGACGTAGTCGCGGGCAGCAGCTGGTTAAAATATGTAAGTTTGTTACAATTGGTGCTTTTCACTCGTCGCCACGTGATGCCTTTACAGGGTTTTTCCTCAAACGAAAATAGACCTTATCTCCGTTCCGTAAGGTTGATACGAGTCAAATTTTACCAGGGCGAACTGCTGGGGGCGGGGTTCTTCGGGCAGGTGTACAAGGTGACCCACCGGGACACGAACGAGGTCATGGTGCTCAAACAACTCTACAGGGTAGACGAAGACGCCCAGAGGAACTTCCTCAAAGAGGTGAAATGGTGCTACAAACACTGGGTTTCAAACTGTGGTAGGGCCACGCAACGATGACCCGAATGGCGTAGTGGGGGTCGATCCCCACTACTGGACAAAATATTGTGTGATGAACATAGTGTTTTTCTATCACCTAGGTGTTTATATATGTATAATATGTATTTATTTACAAAATAAAATTATGTTTAAGTATGTTTATCCGTTATCTAGTACCCATAGTACAGGGGTTGCTTAGTTTGGGACTAGAGAAGGTTGTGTAAAAATGTGTTCAATGTTGCACAAATGGGCAGGTTAGTCCGGGTGAGTACCACGAACTCAGAGAACCGGCGTAAAGTGGTAGTTACACTTTCGCGTTTCGTTTCGTGAGCGAGTTCACTTGCCACCTTCTCACATAAAAATAAAGATTTTATAATTAAACAAATAAATATTTCAGGGCCCAAACGTTGTGTAAAAATATTATTTAATCCCATGCTACGTAACTTAGAAACATACCTAACTTTTCGTTTGTAAACAAATTCACATAAATAGACAATAGATAATTTTTAACAGAAAAAAACCGACTTTAATCAGAAAATTAAGAACATTGTTAATACCGGAGCCGGGTTTCTTTATTATGGTACACAAAAAAATAATCATGAAAATCGGTTCATAAACGACGAAGTTATCCACGAACATCAGCAATGAAAAGCCTTGAAAACAAACATAGCCAATCAGTTATTTTTTAACCGTGAAATCGGATCTATACTAATATACCTGGAAATTTATTTGAAACTGTCTCGATAAGTTTCGATTTTGCTCTGCGTCAATTGCAACTGTCGATTTTAATCTGTATTCACTTTGATTTTCCGTCTGTGTTAGCTTTGATTAGTTCGCAGCTGTCGATTTTAATCTGTCTTTGATTTTCGCAGGTTGCGGTTCTGAGGTCCCTGCAGCATCCGAACGTGCTGCGTTTCATCGGCGTACTCTACAAGGACAAGCGTCTACATCTCGTTACTGAGTACGTCGCGGGCGGCACTTTGCATCAACTGCTGCAGGTGTGTACACATATTGCTGTTTCTGCGGTCTTAGCGACATCTATCGGATGATTTTAGTTGTGTACCTGCGTGAAGTCGATTTAATACAATAATGCGCAATTGTGCATGTTAATGTATAATGTATAATTACGTCATCTGTAATTGTCACTGCGTCATCTTTCTTCTCCCTCATGTAACGCATGACGCATGTCATAATATCTTTTTTTTCATGGAAAAAGGCAAACTACCAAGCGGGTCACCTGATGATAAGCGATCACCGCCGTCTATGGACATTTGCAACATCGGAGTCGTTAAAAGGACAGGGATATCCTTTTTTTAACGGGTGCGTGCGAGAGGGACACCGCTGACGCCTTGTGTGCAGCACAGTTCACGGCCGCTGGGGGGCCAGTAGGTACTTATATCGCGCATACGCCCTGTCTCTATCCGTCCTTGTCTTGTCGTATGCGTGCGAGGGGGACACCGCTAACGGCCCGTGTGCAGGACAGCTCGCGGCCGCTGGGGGGCCTGTAGGTACTTATATCGCGCATACACTCTGTCTCTATCCGTCCTTGTCTTGTCGTATGCGTGCGAGGGGGACACCGCTAACGGCCCGTGTGCAGGACAGCTCGCGGCCGCTGGGGGGCCAGTAGGTACTTATATCGCGCATACGCTCTGTCTCTATCCGTCCTTGTCTTGTCGTATGCGTGCGAGGGGGACACCGCTAACGGCCACGTGTGCAGGACAGCTCGCGGCCGCTGGGGGGCCAGTAGGTACTTATATCGCGCATACGCTCTGTCTCTATCCGTCCTTGTCTTGTCGTATGCGTGCGAGGGGGACACCGCTAACGGCCCGTGTGCAGGACAGCTCGCGGCCGCTGGGGGGCCAGTAGGTACTTATATCGCGCATACGCTCTGTCTCTATCCGTCCTTGTCTTGTCGTATGCGTGCGAGGGGGACACCGCTAACGGCCCGTGTGCAGGACAGCTCGCGGCCGCTGGGGGGCCAGTAGGTACTTATATCGCGCATACGCTCTGTCTCTATCCGTCCTTGTGTCTTGTCGTATGCAGGACGTGCGCTGGGGGGGGGACATCGCGCTAACTGGCCCGTATGTGCAGGGGGGACAGCTCGCGGCCGCTGGGGGGCCAGTAGGTACTTATATCGCGCATACGCTCTGTCTCTATCCGTCCTTGTCTTGTCGTATGCGTGCGAGGGGGACACCGCTAACGGCCCGTGTGCAGGACAGCTCGCGGCCGCTGGGCTGGGCGGCGCGCGCGCGGCTGGCGCGCGACGTGGCCGCCGGCCTGGGCTACCTGCACCGCATGAACGTCATCCACCGGGACCTCAACTCGCACAACTGCCTCGTCAGGGAGGTAATGCGAAAGCTACTTTAACACGCTCCGTTTAGAGTCCAAATTAGGCCGACGATTTTTCATTCGGCGCCCTTTATTTGCTATTAGACACTGAGACCTCAACTCGTGCAACTGCCCCGTCAGGGAGGTAAAGCGAAAGCTGCTTTAACACGCTGTGTTTAGAGTCCAAATTCGACCGACGACTTTTCACTCGGCGCCCTTTATTTGCTATTATACACTGAGATCTCGAATCACACAACTGCCGCGTTAGGGAGGTAACGCGATAGCCGCTTTAACACGCTCTGTTTAAAGTCCAAATTTGATCGACAACTTTTCATTCGGCGCCCTTTATTTGCTATTGGACACTGAGACCTCAACTCGCGCAACTGTCGCGTCACGGAGGTATCGCGATAGCTGCATTAACACGCTCTGTTTAGAGTCCATAATCGACCGACAACTTTTCATTCGGCGCCCTTTATTTGCTATTAGACAATGAGTTTAATTTATTCGACCTTTCGATTGTCCTTTATTAATTTATCTCATTTATATATTTATGAGTCACCTGCATCCATATAGAGGAGGCCTTTGCCCAGCAGTGGGACATGTATAGGCTGTTACTTTACTTTACTGCATCCATTCACTTCCCGCACATTTGGGGGTGGTCACATACTTCGATGGCCAGTGCGGGAAGCCGATGGATGCTGTTAGCTCAGGAATAGTACTTTTTGGCAGTCTATGGGAGAGGCAGTGGACCCAAACAGGCTGAAATCATGATGATATTAAATAAATAAATAAATAACTTATTATTAATTACTAAGTTCCTTTTTTTTTTGCACATGATGTTAAGTGAATACCGCCGCCCATCTGCTAAGCCCGAGGGTTGCAGATGCGTTGACAACCTTTTGAAAATTGAGCTCCGGCCACTTCACTCACCAGACGAAACGCGAAAGTATTATATTATCAGGTCTTCTGTGAGGTCATGGTACTTACCCGGACGGGCCTGCCACGGCCGTGGCCACCGTCATAATCTATTTATCCTGCCCTCAGGACCAGACCGTGATCGTGGCGGACTTCGGGCTGGCGCGCATCGTGCAGCGCACGGCGAGCAGCTCGCTGCCCCGCGCGCCCCCCTCCGCCCCCGCGCCCCCTCCCGCCAAGGGGCAGCTGCCCCCCGCGCGCTCGCCCCACTCGCACACAACGCCCCGCCGCAAGCGGTACACGGTGCGCTCACACGGCGACGACTAGAATAATGCGCTTAGCAAACGAGAGCACACGGGGGGGTTTTCGTAGTGTAGGATGACACCCCCCCCCCCCCCCCTCCCTGGATGATGAGCGGGAATACGATGGAAACAGGCGGCCCAGGATCGTAAAGTATGTATGCGCTCCCTCGCAGCCTATGTTCAACAGTGGACTCAGAGGTTGAAATGATGATGATCACATTGTGCGTATATGTATCCCCTGAATTCGCCCCGTCACTCAGTCCTAACTAGATACTAGTAGTTTCGAGCTGGTCGAGATTCGAGTGATACGCGGCTTCTCCAAACCTCACTTTATTTACAAATAAGAGCGTGCGGGTCGACGGCTAAGTTCTGAACCATTACCTGGGGGTCATACAAATATTTATCCAGCGTGGGAATCGAACCCATGATCCCCGGCACCGAAGCCTACATCTTTACAGCTGCGCCACCTAGACATCAGTGAAAAAAAAAGTTATTATTATGCGTTACAACCTCCTCCATATTTTGATCACAATAGATGCACCAGCAATAAAACTGATTCACAAATAACCGTGGGTGGCTTTAATATCTTATTTATATTTGAAATCAATCAATCAAAAAAATTAATTAATCGTATTTTCATATTGTTTGCATAACCCAAACGAGTATGAGAACGGTTCTACATAATTTCGCTTCTAACCTCAAAACACTGCGCCCATAGAATTTCTGCGTGTTGTTAAGATCTTATTTTTTTCTTATATCTACCCGCAGGTGGTCGGAAACCCGTACTGGATGGCGCCGGAGATGATGAACGGAAACGTTTACGACGAGAAAGTTGACGTGTTCTCTTTCGGCATCGTCCTATGCGAGGTGAGATGACCCTTTTTATGACCTTAGGCGTAGGGGATATTGGGCTTGTCACTTTCGTCAGAGGGTGTGGGATCGATCCCCTCTAGGGAAAAATATTGTGCGATAAATATAGTGTTTTTCTAGTGTCTCGATGATTATTTATCCGTAATATGTATTTATTTATTAAAAAAGAACGTTTAAGCATGTTTATCACTTGGCCAGTGTCCATAGTACAAGCTTTGCTTAGTTTGAGACGGACTGACTTATTACGTGCTCAGTGGCGATGAAAAATATCGTGAGGGAACTTGCATACTTTCGAAATAATGAAATAGTAAAAAAAAATATTTTGAAGGTATATCGATAATACCTGTACAGAGCAGGCGTATCATTGAGACATATATAAAATGTTATATCATTGAGACATATATAAGATGTTATAATATACAGCGTGTCTTTACAATCGCGACAATAAATTAACACACATATAGAGGATAACTTTTTAAAATTGAATGAAAAAAAAATTTTTAGAACAACCTTACGTATAAAACTGTAACGTAAAGTTCATTTGTAAAGGTCACTAAGCATATTGAATGAATTCAAAAGAGACAAAACATACTGTTAGAAGGAGAGGCTTGTAATACGACGCTGTGGCAACGAATGAAAAAGTCTCTGAATGTATAAATCAGTAAGTTGTATAGAATGTTACAAATTTTGTTTCTTTTTTATTTAATTAGTTTGTTGTTATTGGCTAGTAGCGTTAGACGTGTGTTCATTTATTGTCGCGATGGTAACGACACGCTGTATATAAAAAAATTAAGATTATTTTTGTCTCTTTAATTTTTTTCACTTAAATATGGTGAAACATGTGAAGTACATATAAAACTGACATAAAAATTAAAGTGCCGGAAATGAGAACAGTAAAATTCTTTTTTTGATTGATGAGGATTTTAGTATTTTTACGTTTTTAGGGTTCCGTACCCAAAGGTTAAAACGGGGTTCTGTTTCAAGACTTATCTGTCTGTCTGTCCGTCTGTCACCTGAACTGTGATAGTTAACTGTTGAAATTTTCGCAGATGGTGTATTTCTGTTGCCACCATAACAACAAACGGGGGCTCCCATACAACAGACGTGATTCTGTTGTCGTTTTCATAGACAATGGCACGGAGCCCTTCGCGCCGAGACCGACTCACACTTGGCGGGTTCTTATTGATATTTCCGTTCGCCGCGTGCCAGATAATCGGGCGCGTGTCGGCTGACCCGGACTACCTGCCGCGGCGCGGCGACTTCGGCCTGAACGAGGCGCTGTTCCTGGAGAAGTTCTGCACGCCCGCCGCCTGCCCGGAGCCCTTCTACCGGGTGGCCTTCCTCGCCTGCAACCTGGACCCCGACGCCAGGTGAGGCTCCGTTTCTGCTGCGATTGGAAGCAGTAGTTGGTTCCACGTTTACTGCATTCGGAATGTGGAGTTTGGCATAGTAGTTGGTTCCCCGTTTACAGCATTCGGAATGTGGAGTTTGGCATAGTAGTTGGTTCCACGTTTACTGCATTCGGAATGTGGAGTTTGGCATAGTAGTTGGTTCCCCGTTTACAGCATTCGGAATGTGGAGTTTGGCATAGTAGTTGGTTCCACGTTTACTGCATTCGGAATGTGGAGTTTGGCATAGTAGTTGGTTCCATGTTTACTGCATTCGGAATGGGGAGTTTGACATAGTAGTTGGTTCCATGTTTACTGCATTCGGAATGTGGAGTTTGGCATAGTAGTTGGTTCCACGTTTACTGCATTCGGAATGTGGAGTTTGGCATAGTAGTTGGTTCCACGTTTACTGCATTCGGAATGGGGAGTTTGGCATAGTAGTTTCTGCTGCAAAAGTCACGCGACATGGCCCAATAAGAACAGTCGAAGTATTTGCGGTAGGGCCACGCAACAGTTTGCCGTCGCGTGTATGGGCCCCTTCCGGAGTGCGACGACCTCACAGAAGACTGTCTTACACTTCTGCGTGGTGATGAGTGAGGTAGCCGGAACCCGTTTTCCTAGAAGTGGCACTACATCTGGGGTAATGTTATCCTAGAGTAAGGGAAATGTTTCTATAAAAAAAATAACGGGTGCGTGTACTTATGTACGCGCGTGAGAAGTTATACTTCTTTGGAATCATTAAATAATTATAAGAAAATAATAAAAGGACCGGAAAGCGATATAAAAAATAAAAACAGTAAAATTATGAAAGCGCCATCTACATTCTTTATTGAGAACTGTAACGGGCGAATGTGATTGAGAATATGCTGCCATCAATAATAAGCGGTTTAGCGGGCAGCTTTACAGGTGTTACTTTTGTGTTACAGTGATGCGCGGCAATCTTGAAATTTCACCCTCATCATTCTTTCACAACGCGCCTAAACGAGTGTAACTTTAAAAATAAAGTGCTTAGAGTCTCCGCGCGGGAGAAGTGAAACTTCGAGTGTCACGCATTCACTCGCATTAGAAGTTACACTTCAGTAACATTGCTTTCATTCAATTTGATGACTCCGTGGCGCAGTTGCCAAGGTATTGGCTTCGGCGCCGGCGGTCGCGGGTTGGATCAACGCCCACACGGGACAACTATTTGTGCGACCCACAGATAGATGCTTCGCACCAGGATTTTTGTCCATGTGAAATCTATGTGTTCGGAGTTACGCAACCGAACAGCGACATTGTCACTTTGGTCATCATAGGCAAATCACACTCGCGTAATATATGTACGTTTCGTGCCTAATTTAAGGCAGTACGCGCCTCGACCGTCCATCGTTGGGCGGTGGTGAGAGCATAAGATTTTTTTATACCGCGTATTCTTTATACCATTTACCATACCAATAAATATAAGTGTTAAAACTACCAGAATATTAAAACCCTCCCTCTACAACCTTCTACACTATGTTTGTAGAACGTCCTTACGACACAGGCTAATGTTATCGCAAGGTATGCTTTAAAAAAAAAAAAAAAACAGAAAGTTTACTCCCGCGCCCAGGTGTTACTTTTGTTTGACAGTGATGCGCGGAAATCTTGAAATTTCACTCTCATTTCATTCTTTCGCAGGCCGCCGTTTAAACGAGTGTAACAGTAAAAAAAAAAGAGAAATTTCACTACCGCGCGCAGGCCGCCGGGAGGTAAAAAAAACTTCGAGTGTCACGCATTCACTCGCATTAGAAGTTACACTTCAGTAACATTGCTTTCATTCAATTTGATGACTCCGTGGCGCAGTTGCCAAGGTATTGGCTTCGGCGCCGGCGGTCGCGGGTTGGATCAACGCCCACCCGGGACAACTATTTGTGCGACCCACAGATAGATGCTTCGCACCAGGATTTTTGTCCATGTGAAATCTATGTGTTCGGAGTTACGCAACCGAACAGCGACATTGTCACTTTGGTCATCATAGGCAAATCACACTCGCGTATATATATGTACGTTTCGTGCCTAATTTAAGGCAGTACGCGCCTCGCCACCGTCCATCGTTGGGCGGTGGTGAGAGCATAAGATTTTTTTATACCGCGTATTCTTTATACCATTTACCATACCAATAAATATAAGTGTTAATAACTACCAGAATATAAAAACTCTCCCTGTACAACCTTCTACACTATGTTTGTAGAACGTCCTTACGACACAGGCTAATGTTATCGCAAGGTGAGGGCCGTGTTTAAAAAAAAAAAAAACAGAAAGAGAAATTTCACTCCCGCGCCCAGGCCGCCGTTTGAGGTAAAAAAACAGAAAGAGAAATTTCACTCCCGCGCCCAGGCCGCCGTTTGAGGTAAAAAAACAGAAAGAGAAATTTCACTCCCGCGCGCAGGCCGCCGTTTGAGGTAAAAAAACAGAAAGAGAAATTTCACTACCGCGCGCAGGCCGCCGTTTGAGGTAAAAAAACAGAAAGAGAAATTTCACTCCGGCGTGCAGGCCGCCGTTTGAGGTAAAAAAACAGAAAGAGAAATTTCACTCCCGCGCGCAGGCCGCCGTTTGAGGTAAAAAAACAGAAAGAGAAATTTCACTCCCGCGCGCAGGCCGCCGTTTGAGGTAAAAAAACAGAAAGAGAAATTTCACTCCCGCGCCCTGGCCGCCGTTTGAGGTAAAAAAACAGAAAGATAAATTTCCCTCCCGCGCGCAGGCCGCCGTTCGAGGTGATGGAGATCTGGCTGGAGAGCCTGGTGATGCACCTGTCGAGCGCGGGCCCGCCGCCCGCCACGCTGCTCGCGGACATCGGGCAGTACGCGCGTGCCGCGCCGCCGCGCCAGGGCCACGTCACGCCCGAGTGCTGCCCGCAGCCGGACGCGGGCATCTTCTGCGCCGCGCGCCGCTGCCACGCGCGCCGCTGCCACGCCTGCCACGCGTGCCACGGCTGCAGCGGCTGCCACGCGGCCGGCGGCGCCGGCGCGCCCTGCCAGCGGCCCCCCAGTGGCGCACCGAGCCTCGAGCTAGTGGGGGAACTTGCCAAGGTGGGGTTTTCCATATCGTTGCCCATAATAAATAGACGTTGATAAAAAGTGTACGCTGGCTTTTGAACCATCTCTATGCCAAAAGTAATTTCAATCGATTACTCACAGACTAACATACTTTCGTATTTATAACATTAGATAAGATATCCCTTATAACACAAAATTGCTACAATTATTTTCATGTAAGAACATTATTTACATATAAGCTAGATATAAAACGTTTTTTAGTTTTTAGTAGAGATGAATCTATCTCACCTATTTCACAACTCCGTAGATTCTGCGACGGTCACGTGGAGACACCGCTTCAAATAATCTTTATAATGCGATGCCCTGGTATATTATGAGTAACCGGGGACGTCCAGACTCTTAGCCCCTCTTAGATTGTCAACTTCTTTAGGGTTTCTGGTATGGAGGAGGCCATCTAGCTTCGAGTGAAGATTACAGTGGATGTACTAAGTCGCGGTGAACTTTGCCACTTACTACCTAACTCTATGCACATAAATCATAATCATAACACTTTGGCCAGTAAGGTCGTAGACAATATTATGATGCAGTGTGTACAGCCGTCTGCGGGGGAGTCCGAGGCGTGCGGGGGAGGGCGCGCGCTCGGCAAGTGCGTCTCCGCGAGCCACCTCGCACCTCGCGCCGTCTCTCTCGCACGCCGCGCCGCGCGCTCTCGCTCGCACAACGCCCTCGCCCTCGCGCCCGGGTACATACTGCGCGACGACGGCTGCGGCATCAACATCACAAAGGTACAGACGCGCACACACGCAGCCTGATACTCACACGCACACCAGTGCACACACCCGAGACGAAGGCTAAAGAAACAACATCACAAAGGTATAGACACGCACAGACGTAAACTGCTAGTCACACTCACACCCGTGACGACGGCTGCGGCATCAACATCGCCAAGGTACAGACGCGCACAAACGCGCACGCGCAACCTGACATTCAAACGCCAGCGCTCACTCCGTATCTCTCTCGTATTTTTAGTGACTGGACCGTGCTTCTGCTGTTTTACGAATGGGCAATAATCGTCCGGGGAAATCCCAGGGCCTCATAGAAAACCGGCTTGAAGTGGAAGTATTATACTTTTGCGTTTCGTCTCGTGATTGAGGTTACTGGGGCCAAATTTTTAAAATTTTGGCAACGCATTTGCGACCCGTTAGCTGTTGTCCATGGGCGGTGGGTAATCACATTTTTTGGAACGAAGTTCCTTATCGCGCGTTGTGAAAGGGGGCTAGACGGAAAAAATTCTCACGAAAAGTTGTAACGACACTTTTTGCTATAGTAAGCTATTGTAAGCTGTGCGGCGTGCGCATGTTTCTCTGTCTGTCTCTCTCTCTCTCTTATAGAAAGCAAGCCAGATATTTTCATTTCTATTTCGCATTTAACAGTATGCTGTCGCGACGATTATTTTTGTTGAGTGTATACAGGTTTTTTGTACATAATCAATAATAAAAAAAATAATAATAATGAATTTAAGATATAATTAAATTTTATATGGTCAATTTATATAATTATATATTTTTAAAATTTTATTCCAATTCCTTCACTAATTAATCGAAAGGAACTTCGTTCCATCCGGGTTTCCCTTGACACCTCTCATTTTTTTTTGTTAACGCTGGGGAAATGCCACACAGGCGCATATCGGCAGGACCACATACAAACATGTCCTAATTTTTGTTATCCTTTCTTTAAAGAGTTTTTGTACTCACGAAATACATCTGTATCCATGCACAAATATCACAAATTCAATTAACATCACACTAATTCAGCGAATATCGATTCTTGCAAGGTGGACGACATCAACGAGTGGCTCGAGCCGGCGCAGCCGTTGAAACGGGCCAGCCCCGACTGCCAGCTGAACAACATACTCGCGGAGCGGCCAAAGACGCGGCGAGTTGAGGACGGCGACGAGACGGACGGCGACCTGCCCCCATTCCTCAGGAACCAGTCCGTCGAGGGTCTGGAATCGAAGTCCAAACGGGAAGTGGACGCGCCGTTCCCCTTCTGCCGCCACCACAGCATCCCGGACCGGTGCGAGAACGATCCCACCATCGACAGTGACTCCTCGGACGACGACCTCACTGACATCAGCGACTGGTACAGGAGCCTCAGCTGCTTCAAGAAGATCGATATAGAGGCGGACCAGCCGAAGAACATCCTAGCGGGCATCGTCAAGAGGGGCGAGGGCCTGTTGGCCAAGAAGTCCAGCTACGACGTCACGGACGCGACCGCGAGCGAAACTCCAAAAATCCCCGACGTCGTACGCCATAGCAAAGATCCCAATAGGCCGTCGGAGGCGGAACCGGCAAAGCTCAAAACGGCGGACGCGCAGAAGCCGGCCGAGAGGCCGAGTTTCTTCGCGAAGAAACTGCTCTCGCCGAAGCTGAGTAGACTGTTCAAACATGGCGCGGAACCGGTCAGGTCCAGGCAGGAGTCACCAGACGCCAAAGCGGAGAAGTCGCGGAGCAACTTCTTCGTGCAGAGGCCCTCATCGCCGGGCTTAGTGCGGTCCGCGCACAGAGTGAGGCCGAGCGTCGACGACGTGCTGAAGAGCGATATAAAGCTCGCCGGCATGGGGAAGCCGATGACGCCGATATTCAGAAGGCACTTGGCCGGCGAGAGGACAGAGTTCACCGACCGGTACAGCTGCCGGGAGCGGAAGCCTAAAGCGCCCAAAAGCGAGGAGTTTGTGGAGGTCGGCAGGAATAGGATCAAAGCGCCGGCCGCGACGGCCGACTGCCTGGTCTTGTCGAGCGGACACACCGATGACGGTCTACCCGAAAAGAAGGTCGAAGCGTCGAAACGCAGGGAGCTGGCGATATCCAGGAGCAACTACGTGAGCCTGGCGAATTTGAAGATAAACGGCAAGCAGGATCTTGGACGCGTCAAAGAGAAGTGCCCGTTGAACTCCACACCGCCAGTGGAGCGCGTAATTTAGTCCGCCACGTTGGTCCGTCAAGCGAAACTAAGTACAAACGTAGCGAGATATTATATTTCAGGGTGATATTGTTTGTCTCGAAAGTTATTTTTATATGCTCGTCTCTTACGTACACGATTTTCAATCGAGTTTGCATATTGGACTCGATTAGTTTAGGTAAAGCAGGCAGTAAATGTGATAGCGCCTGTACTTTTACGGAAATCAACGCAGTATTTCTTATGACTCATTCTGATAGTGTCCAATTCTTTTCAATTACAACAAAATCGTGTACTTATGTTTAAAAGTATTCAAAATTATATTTCTATAGCGTTAACTGGCGTGAAATGTATTAGTAATGTTTCGTGGTCCTTAGAGACACCATATTTCATCAGAAACGTGCCTTATGACGCATAATTTAAATTTGGTCCTTCGAACCGGATCCGGTCGAATTGCGCTCGACGGACCAATATCTCGGCTCGAATATAATATGACTTCCAAGAGTTCGAGGAACCAATACAGTTTATAAATTTAACTATATAGAAACATTTATATTTGATTATAGAGAGTTATAGCCGTACGGCATGTTGAAGTATATTAAGCGAAACAGATTGAAACCCTTCTATCATACACAAATGGAGATTTTGTGATCGAGTTATATGTTCATACTAAAAACGAATTATAGTATTTGAATATATATTTCTTACCATGAGGTTACTCAAAACTACACAAAGATTGCAAGAAAAACAATAAAATAGTAATTTTTTCCTTTGCACTTCATGTTCAAATGTGTATGAATGCCTCGTCAGACATTAGCTTCAGGGTCTTCAATCTGTTTTTAAAGCTCTTGCCATGTTACATCGTATTTTATATACATTTGTTGATCCTTTATGTACTTATACGCGTTTTATTAAAGTTCAATAGAAGCGGCGACTTGCCTAAGGATTCATAGACACTGTATTCTTTACCTGTTGAATATTAAATGAAATATATACATGTGTATGCTAACTTCATATTTTCATATCTAACACATTTTATCAATTGCAAATAACTATCTTAAATTGTTGTCCGTTTTCGTGGTAAATTTGAAATATTATATTTTCTGTGACTTATATAAATAAAAAAAGGTTTATGGCGCACCATATCAGAGCGAAATGTTTACATGTATGAAGTTTTTATAACTAAATCAACTCGATAGTATTGTGAAGAGTGCCAAATCTAGATTTTAGAAATTTAATACAACAAGTGTTTTTTGCTTGCAACTGTAATTTGCTTGTGCTTGAAGTATCAGTGTTCATGAATCCAATACTTACACTCGCTTATTAGTTTATGTTTCAAATATACTCGATTTTGAACCATATTACAATAGAGTAGTCATTGTTAAAGGTCTTAGGATAACAGGTCATGCAAGGTTGTAGCTAAATCCTACTATGATATGTATAGAGGTATTACAAAAAGGATAAATTTCTCTTTGAAAAGCTAAGTATGTCTTAATAATAATATTTTCCATTCTTTATTAATTCGCAGAACACAATGCAATAATAATCATTATATCTATGTCTTAAGACGCTAATTTTGTACAGGTAACAAGTATATTTACAAATAATAGTAAGTGCAATATTATAATATACTCAAAAAGTAAATCGCGCACAAATCACATCTCAATTTAATATTACTTTACACATCTTGGTATTAATTCAGAATCTTTAAATACCTATTGGTAATAGATGATAACATTGACCGCGATGTCAGTGCCTTTGGTAAAGACAGTGAATTGGTCTGCTTTTGTCAATTCTTTCGCAGAGAAATATTTGGTCATCAAAAATTTTTATATTTAATTTCCATTTTATTCATTTGTCCTACCTCTTTACGCTTAGAATATAATACGACATAAGTCATTGTTAGTTTTTTGGTTAAAAACTATCCTTGGTAAGATATAAGTGTGCTAATACTTTTATTCGTGGTTAGACAAAGAAATACAAATTTACACACCGTTTGTAGCCGTATACAAATGTTGATACAAAAGTTGTTATAGGACATATACAATTTTGTAACACGATATTTTATTAGGTAATCATAGAGCAAATGAATACTCTACGCTGTCTAGAATAGTTTTTTGCACTTAGGTTAAGTCAAAAAATATTTTTCAAAAGATTTTTTTCAATATTTCTCTTTAATGCATTATTAACGAAATTATACTTCCGTCTTACCCATAGATTTGAGTATATAACATAGCTTTATTATATCCATAGATTAATTTTATTGTGCCATTGTAATACTTTTTATTGATATTGAACGTCATGAACTTATCCGCTAATATCCTAGTTTTAAATTGTTTTAGTCATGTTTGACTTAAAAAGAATTCGGACAATATTTTTATAATTATTAACTTTATTAATTTATTAACATTTCAAATTGAGCTTAGTTGTTAGTTCAATATTGTAAGGCTGAATTTTTTTTTTTCATGACACAGGGTGCCACTTTTTTTTTATTACGATATTAATTTTCGACGTCTTGAACGAAAACAGAATAATGGAAGAAAATTATGGTTCTTGTTTTAACATTAGTTATAGTGGTATAAGTAAGACAATTTTTGTTTGTTTCTCAGGGAGTTTAATCTCATTAATAAGCGTTTCATGTGACGTCATCCCGTGCTCATGTTTTGTCTATCTGTGATACACTTTGTTTACGAAAATGTTGCAATAACGAGTATTATAGGAACATCTAAGTTTAAAAAATTAGAAATCTCGTAGTATACGCTGTTTTAGGTAGCCTCTTTTACGTGAAAGGTGCTACAAGTATCTCAAATCTACGTGCATTTCCGTAATCTTGACATGTTTTTCCTGTGCTAATCTTAACCATGAGGAAAATAGCACGTAGTATCTCTCTCTCTTTCTATTATTTAGCCTTCGCACGTCTTACATGCTACCTACAGCGCTCTTATATGTTGTTGGACGCCTTTGTTCGAATAAAATTTCCAGTCCAAATATGCTTAACGCATTAACCGCTGTAACAACGAGTGTTTCCGTCTCCTTGCATTCCAGACGCCTTTATTTTACCTATTTGTTTATAAGTACAAAGAATAAAGGATATATTAAATATATCCGTGTCTAATTATTTGTATACAATATATTATAAGCATACAATAAAACTCCTTGTCCATAAGCCTAGTTTCCACATTTTTTTATATGAGAAGGTGACAAGGCGGTTCACCTGATGCCAAGCGATACCGCCGCCCACGTTAGAACACTTGTAAATTGTGCTGGTGAAGTTTGTATAAACTAAAAGTAGTCGCGTTTTCAAGGTCTTCCGACTGTTATCCGGTTTTGGTATGAAAGACAAAATAATTTTAGTCTGAGCCTCGTTGTGAAATAAATCCTACAATGAACAAATGAAACAACGTTAACTGTAAAATATTCTTTATTCGACAAAAAAAATCGAAACTTAATTCACTAACATGTTTATCTTGCGAGCATTTCTCATCTTGATTGCATTCTAATTGTAAAACTTAAGAGAAACAAAAAATATATTATTCTCTCAGAAAAAATATAATTTTTTTCGACTCGAGATTTTTCTTTTTTAACTACAATTACAGATAGGAATACAGAGTGTATGTATATTGTCGTTATCGGACATTTGAAGTATTGTGATTATTAAAAAAATATGCATTTTAAAGTAGGTAGCAGCTTCTTCCGTTATTTCACAAACCTTAAAGTATAAACACATGAATATAATATATATATATATTTATATAAATAGGTTTCTTAAATACACAATCATTAAAACACAATCAAACAAACAAATATTTATAGTGATTACATGAGAATATAAAATGTATCTAGGTAAGATAAGACAATAATATTTTATACTACAGATATTATGTTTACGTGCCCTGATTGAAAACATCCCAATTAGTCGACAAACAAAAGGGGACAGCAAATAAGTTTAATACGGGAACTAGAAAAACGTATGCACCTCGAGACTTTTTTACACTTAAGCTAAAGTGACAAACCGTCTCTTTTAATTTCTTATTGCCTTAATAACGCTATCTATATTATACTATTCGAACGAAATGTGAATATATGCTGTTTAGAAATAGGAACACGTTCGATCAGTGATTTTGTATGGGTATAACATATCTATATAGTATAAAATATCATTGTATCAGATAGATTAGATCGATTTACATTCAACGTCATGTAATGTCTCTCTATCTATATTTCTCTTACCGAAATATAAGTTTTACTGTGAGTTAAATAACTTTACATTCATTCTATGACCGTTGAACTCATATTACTTAAAACAGCGATTCAAATTAAAAGACTCACAATGTTTCTTAGGTGCCAGATTAAGGTAATAGAGAGTGTAACTTCAAAATTTTCAATATTAGGAAAAGACGACAATTAGCTACAGATAACAAATAGTGAAATAGTATTTATATTTCGTTGACTTTGTGTTACAATATTTAATACAATATCCGTAGTGCTATAAATAATTAATTTCATATTTATTTAATATTAAGTACCGTATAAGTTTTCCTATACCACTCTAGATACACTATAATCGCACAAGTCGAACGTACATAATTATTTGACTTCGACCAAAACGGAAGAAGGCTATTTATCCAAACAGCCACTAAGAACGCTAGTGTAAAATTATATCAAAAATCATCATGGGACCACTAAACTAATCTAGTCTATGTAAATCAGGTATACGTGGTAATTTAGACATTAAGACTTAGACATAGTTTCAGACATGTATATTCTTAACGCTACTACGTTAACCGGCGAAACAATGAGAACCAGCGCCGTTTTATTTGAATTTTATAATTATCTATTATAATAAATATTTAGGGCACATTTTTTTTACACAACTTTTTCTAGTCCCAAAGTAACCAACGCTTGTACTATAGGTACTAGACAACTGATAAACATGCATTTCTTTCTGTAAATAAACACATATTACACATGATATATTAATACCCAGACACTGGGAAAACACTATGTTTATCATTCATTTTTCCAGAAGTGGGATCGAACCCACACCCTCTGGCGCAAGAGGCGGGTTCACAACCCACTATGCCAATCGGGTCGCATGTTTAATTTATAATTATGTACGTATGTATATTCATTAGAATTTTGAATAATGACTAATGTAATTTATTACACGCAAAACCTTTAAATATATTTGTCTCAAATAAATGTATTAAATAGTGCTAGACGATTTTATTCAATTTTAGATTTGAATCTAAAATTACATTAAAAAAACAAATTTATAAATATAATTTCTTTAATTTTTTTAATTTCGTGTCAAAATAGAGCAAATGGTCGCTGCTCATATATATTCGCCAAAAGAATATTACGATATGTGATCAGAATTTTTTCATTGTGCAATTACGTTAAATAACCTATAATAACTAATAATTAACTAGAAAATAAATGCACTCGCAATTAAAGCGTCAATTTCGTAAATTCTCTAACACATTTTAGCATACGGTTGTAAATTCGTTCTGTGCTCGTTCAGCTACCGTAAATTGACGTTCTTCCCCATCTTCATCGTTGTATTGCACTGTTACGTTACTACCACACAGGCCATCGAAATTTAACCATAGATTTACAACGAACCCCAACCAAAATGCCAATTAAAATTCATACATTGTTATAATCTGTTTACAAAAGTTCAAAAAAAATTATACTATATTCTATAGCCTCTAAATTGGTTTCGTTTTTTGTGGGCTCTCGAATTCATTCCAGAATTAGAATTCTCATAACGTTTGTTCCTAGTTTCTTTGTTCTTATTTGTTATCTATTATTAAATGTTATTATCATCGATTATATTACTTGGTAAAGATTGATCAGAACTTTGAAAGTCCCGCATGTCTAACCCAAGTATTTACATTTATTTTGTTAATGGATAATAATTTCTTGCAGTAACATTTAGTTTGTTGATTGACATTTACATTTTCCGTGCGTAGCTTAATCGGGCACTAAGCTGGTGGAAAGGCTAGGATTCCATTAGCACTAGGTCCACCCGAGCGAGTTTTTAATATTCCTAACCCAAAGAAAACTCGTAAACCAAAGATGAAATAAATAGTAACGTTTGTCATTTCATGCTTATGCACAAACCATCGAAGTAAATAGCTGGGCGAAAACCTCTAGTTTAATTTTCACCACCCCTTAAGACTTAAGATTAGAATTTTAATGATTCTACGCTTCACTACATAGTTTATAACAAAGTCATCCCGTTGTCTACTACATGGTATAAAACTAGTTAGGTTAGGTTAGATATGCTTAGATCTTTAAAACTACGTAACGGATCTTGATGCGGTTTTTTTTACTAGATAGAGCGATTCAAGAGAAAGGTTTATATGTATAATGCATTGCGCCCGTGCGAAGCCGGGGCGGGTCGATAGTAAATGATAAATTAAAGTTAAGTTCGACAAAATGAAATAAAAGGCAACCGCGAGATTGGGACAAAGTTGTCTTTTTACGGCATTTTTAACCGACTTCAAAAAAGAAGGTGTGTTCACGCATAACTTGGTCGTTTATGAACTGATTTTTATGATTCTTTTTTTGTTGGAAAGGAGATATCCCAATGGTGGTACCATAATAAGGAAACCCGGATCTGATGATGGCATCCCAGAGAAATCGAGGGCAATCCTCAAATGTCAAACGCCTATTAAACAAATTACTATCTGCTTAGATTTATAAGTACTGTTATCCGTCTGAGACTGTTGTTTGTGTCATATATATATTTAATGTTTATCACGTTGTAAGTGAACTATGTAATGTTCTTTTTGTGATAAATAAATGTCTTTAACCTGAATGTTATAGGTATGAACAATGTTTTTAATTTCCGGTCTGAAGTCAGTTTTTTTTGTTATCAATAATGGTTTATAAGACGAAGTCTATTTCGTAACAAACCAATCCCTTGGGCCAACTACAAAAGGTGCGGGACTGGCTATTTAAAGGATTAATTTTTCATTAATTTAAAGATAAGTCAAGAGATACTTCAACAGGCAAATGAATTCATTTAAATACACAACGTGGGCAGTAATAATTATTTGAAGATTATATACCGATAAGTTGAAAATTAGAATTGTAGCTAAATTACGATGGCCTAGGTTACTGCATACATCAGACACATCCATTATCGTATTCCAATTTATAGCACCGACTTAAGTTTCATAATATCCTAATGGAAAAATTAAGATATTTCTAAAATATAAACATCACAACTAAAACAGTCACAATTACCGGTAGATTAGTTTTTCAACATTGTCTAGAATCTAGATTTTTTATTAGCTACACTAGAAGAATACCTTCCCTACACGCGTAATGCTTTAAAAAACACTTTTGTCTATGCTTTGAAAAAAAAAATAAAGCTTTACTGTCCAATTTTTTTTTTATGTGAAAAGTTTCCAAACGAGCAGACGGTTCACCTGATGTTAAGTGAATACCGCCGCCCATGGACATCTGCTACACCCGAGGGTTACAGATGCGTTGACAACCTTTTGAAAATTGGGCTCCGGCTACCTCACTCACCAGACGAAACGCAAAAGTATTTGTCATTGTCAATTTACGCTGATCTTCTGTGAGGTCGTGGTACTGCCCATTCGTGCAACAGCCGAGGCTGCTGCGTGGCCCTACCACCGTAAAAAATTTTGCCGTGTACATCTATTTCATGCTTCTATTCAATAATAATTAAATCAAGAACCAATATATTATAAGTCACCGCGTGTAGGTCAAAGTAAACTTCTCTCTAACCTATGATGACATCATCATAATTTTATTAATTTCATGAAAGGTGAAAAGTTTCGTGTTAGATTTGATTCATAAACGTGTACGTTAAATGACGAAATGCGATATTGCTTTTTTTATGAAAGTGCTATTAATATTTTTATCTACATCATTAACGCATATAAGACAAGACTAATAACGTTTTAAAATTTAGGAGCGTTTGTTCCTCATTTTGGCACAATAAATTGGCGCCCTGGCACAAACTCGAAAGAGTATAACAGATATTTGTGCGTAAAGTTAGTTATATAAAATAAAAGAATAATATAAAAAAGTAGTAAAAAACTAAAAACTGCGATCCATTTTGGGCCAATAGAGCCACGTAGCTAAATTTTAACTATTACTGGCTTCTAAGTTAAAAGCTACGCCATTTCAATAAAGAAAATTCTATATTGGTTAACTAAAAATTTTTAATGTGGAACTTACGCTTTTTCACATGGCGATGAAAAGGAAATGTTCCTGTTACCTCACGAGACGCCCGGCGGTACGACAAATGTTATTCGAGTTTTGCTTCTGCGTGTTCTTATTCACACACAAAATTGCACGTTAGATAAATTTGAAAACGGCGATGATTACGATAGAACGTCTTTGGAGGTCTCTGTTCACCACAACGATGGAACGTTGTGGTGAACAGAGTGTGGACCATGACGTGACAATATCAACATTAGCATTGTATTATTGCATAAATTCATACACATCTCATTCTATTCCGTTTCATTAGAGACCAATATGAATTTATATGTATACCCTGACTAAGTCGAAATATAAATGAATGATTATGCGGAAAAACATTTGAACATTATTTTTTTAACAATCGTAAGCGAGTTTATTGCAGGTTATTATTATTATGGCCTCAAATACAGCCTAAACTTACACATTCAAATGAAAAAAAAAACCAAGACCTTAATCATTGAGATATACCAATAACATTAACAACTATTTTTATGGTAGAGAAAATTTAAGCAATTCAGCATACTGATATATTCCAAGCAGTTCACGGTGCAGATCGTTGTGGTAGGCTGAACCTCCAAGAAGCTGAAGCGGGAATTTTCTTTTTTGAATCCATCACATATCGGGGCAAATTGGAGAAACTCACTGATTTATAATATTCACACGGATAACTAGGCGAAGCCTTTATAGATGAAGGGTGAGAGTTTGGACTTCTCAGGGGTGTATAACATATAAAAACTGGATTCCTCAGAATTGTGTAACATATAAAGATTCGATTTCTCAGGTTTGTGCAACAAATAAAGAACATAAAGCGGTGTTCAACGCGGCGGCGAGGCGGCCGCGATCCGCTGGCGCAACATCGCAAACTTGCCGTGCACCACGCGCAGCTGGGTCCTCAGCCTAGTGGATAGCTCGCGTTGCAGAGCCTGCACCTCCATCAGCTCCCGCCGCAGCTGCTGATAGTCGGAGCGCACCTATGCAACACACCTAACTGCAATAGATCCTCTCAATGGCAGCTATTTCGGGACTCACCCAAACCCTTCCACACGGAATAGTATCATGCAAGACACTGTATTTATACACCGTAGAGGATATAATCAAACGAGCATTTAATTAGACCGTTAGTTTGAACTCTTTACTAGACTTTGATCGAGTAATGGTAATTATTTCAGTGTTCACTGTAAATGTATAGGTTGTTGCGAGTTTTAAAATAGTGAACTGCTTTTGATCTCTATCTGACAAGTGAATTAATTGTTGTTTAACTACTTCTTGACCTAATATTCGTATGTTTGCTAACAGAAGCTTTAATGACTCATCAAAGAGTACACTTATCTTAGGATTAATTTTATGAAACTCTAAAAATTTCCGTGTGGCTAGTTCGCTTTACAGAAATCAAAAAGTAAATTTTCTTTATAAAATAACAACAATAGTTAAAATTAGAAACTTAACATTCCACAGTCAAATGAGTCATGGAAAATTATAATGAGAAAATGTTGAACTGTATAATATTAACTGATTTTTATAAACATGCAATAAATATTTATTATTGCATGAATAATCACCTAACTTCTCTATAGACCTGTGTCTTTTAAGCTAGCGTTGAAAATGGGACTCAATACCAAATATAAAAAAAAACATTAATGTTATATTTAGCTAATACTCGCAATCGAAAACTTAGTAATGACAATATTTCATTGTTCAATAATTCATAGATTTAATTTTTTTTCTATAAGTCCACAAAACATTTCATTATTTACACATAAAAATTTGCAATGACAATGCATAGCTATCTATCTGTATTCACACCGTAAAATTGAACAAGCAATAATTTTTCAACAGCCTTCAGAGTTTTAGAGAATGAAATGGATATGGTATGAAATACCATTTGAAGTATCATGTGAGAAGTGTAGACAAAAGAAAAATAGGACAAACCAAAACATGGGAAGCCAATGTAGTTGTGTCTGTTAATTTACTAAATAAAGATAGCTTCTTGGGAATCAAAGAAATAATTTTTTTTGAAATCAACTTTGAGCTGGATTTGAAGAAACGGATGAGGAATAAGTATTTAGGTATAAGGATTAGGTCTTAGAAACCTCAGTAGGGAAAAATATATAAATAAGTATTATTATAAAGAAAGGAAAAAGCTATCTTTATTCCGTCATGCTTCTATTCAACTGAATAATGGTAGTGTTTGCAATATATAAATCGAAAGTTAAAAAACAGACACAAGTAGTACTAAAATATTCAAATACAATTTAAGAAACATCAATAGTCATGTTACAATGGTCTGATTTTACATTTATTACATGGTCAGTCCTGCAGCAAATATTATCAAAGCCTTACTGATGAAGCATGTCGAAATGTTCGCCCTGTTCAAAAGGATTTTGTACAATTGGCTTAAATTTTGTACCACATTTAAGCCCGTCTGTCTACTTCATTAAGCATGACAGCTGCAATTCACGGCTTTTCATTTGTTATTTGCGACACACTCAATGAGCTGGTGTAAATTTATGGAAAAACATACAATAATTGGATAAACAAATGAAAAGTCTGAAGTTGTGAGCAACATGACACTGGTACATCAATAGTTTTCTGACCTTTTTTCAACCCTACAATGCAAGGGGCTGAAAAACAAACATAAATATCTTTAGAACACAACACAACAAGTCAGATTAAAATGTTAGTTTTATTTATGAGTTATCATTTCCTTAAAACTAACCTTAATCTTAAATAAATCTTTAAAAAGTGTGTTCACTATCTTCCTTGGAATTATTAGCGAAATACGCAGTAAGTAATAAAAATAGATAGTACCTCCTTCCTATAATTAAATTATTTATGCCAAAACGTGTGATTAGAATTATCCAATTTTTTTTTTCTACTATGGCTCCACTGATACGTCAGTGATTTTGCCAACAACTTGGTACTTGGAGATCGATTAGGCTAAGGACATGACAATAATAACCTACTGTATTAAGAATTATCCAAGATTTGATTACATATGACAGTAATGTTATTTGTGTCATTATAACTCAAGCGCATCAATAACATTAGAAGCAAATATAGAGATTAACACTCAAGTTAACATTTTTATCTTAACATTATTGTTAATCTAAGAAAGTTTAGTAAAAGTTAAAAAAATCTTACCTCAGATACGGATTTGAGCAAATTCATTACACAAACTTCCTGATTGTTGACTGTTGGCTCAGCAAGCTGTTTCTCCATACTGTCCATTTTCCATTCTATCAGGTCCAGCTGTTGGTCAGTGCACTTTACCTAAACAAGAAGTTTATTTACCAAAGATATTTCATTATACTATAATACTTTTTGTTTTTATGAAAAAAGCTGGCAGGACACCTAAGGTTAAGTGATAACCGGCGCTCATGGATATTTGCAATTACAAATTTTTGAAGTAGATAAAACATTTATTTATATTTAATTTGTTTTATAAGATCAATATATAAATTGAGAAACTAACTATTTATACAAGAGCTTTATAATTACATATTAACGACTAAAAAATCTACTTCTAAAAAACAGTACGGTTATAAAACGTGAAAATCATTAATTGTAAACACCATGCAAATATCTCAACATTTTGTTACATATCCAAATACCTGTTTCTGGTTAACGCAACAGAATATTGGTGGCAGAATACTAGCTATCCCTTGGGTTAAACTTCAAGTAATTATTTATAAAAAGGAGGCGGCTCATTGACCTAAATAATATTCCGCTAGCCCTACCTGTTTACTTAATACAAAAAGGAGATATAAAACTTCTTACCGTCTCCTCTAGTTCTTCCATAGTAACTTCCTTTTCAGTCATGATGTCACTGAGTAGAGTATAGTGAATATACTAATCAAAAAATTTTAAAATATTGTTTAAAAAGAAGGCGAACAAATCAACCATTTTCAGTACATGGACGATTTGAAATTGACATTTAAAATTTATTTGACGTTTATGAATTAGGAAGTTTTTCTATTTATTGTGGCAATAGTAACAAGCTTTCAGTAAAAAAAAGAAGTGTTGGTAATCGTTAAAAAGCGCCCATAAAAATAAGCAACCCTAGAGATATTTCAGAAGCCACCCTTTTATAATCGCTCATTTCTTCCAGATTCATATATATTATATGTAAATGCCTCGCCCGCAGCCATTCAATGTCATTTGCGAGGAGCAGTTCGACTTTACAGCAGGATATCTAAGTGTCGTTCAAGTGCACCATCTCAAGGAGCACATGCTCTTATTGTCACCCTGATAAATCTCAGAAGGGCCGCCACACCGGGAAGGACAGTTAACTCTATACGACACCACCGACCGCAACAAACCTGGATTATTATTCACTTACCATCTGCACTCTGTTTAAGTGTTATTTGATCTACCTCCTCAAGTATAATTTCTGTGCAGTTAAATTATGCAGCCAAACTATTAAGTGGGAAAGCAAGATCAAACCTAGGCGTTGTGCTAGACAAAAACACACATTCGCATAGCATATTAGCCCAATCGACTTATTTACGTACTATTTCGCCAGGCATGAAGCACCTTTTAAACATCTGTTAACAACCTTTTAATCATCATTTAAAACGTGTGTGGGTCTTGTAATGCGATTGCCCAAAAAACAATATCATATAATCTCAAGTAATTCTAAAACGACCGCGTGGTATACGCGAAAAGAGGAATTGCATTGCGACCGTAAAATCAATATTGAAAGAATTGTTTTCGTCTTTTCTTGCCATGATATACCACCTTAGGTGGACTTGAGGTGGCAGGGTGCTCGGTTCGCCTAGCCTGAACCTCGATTACGCGTTATGGTGACTAGGGCTCCCGAGGGAGCCTCGGCTCGGGCCGTCACGCTATTATAATCACTGCCGTTTTCGGAGGCCAACAATCTCTTACGACGCATTGGCGGACGCTCCATGGAGTGACTAGGCTCAAGGGCCCCCGAGACGGGCCTCGGCTTGAGCTGTCATTCAATATCCGTTTAGCATTTCGATTCGAGGGTGTCTGAGAGGGCCGGACCTCAGTTCGATCGGTAGCTATTATCTGTCTGGATCGAAGCAGTTCGAAGAAGCGTCTATAAGACGAATAAATATCAACTCAATTTCGGTGTCTGTCTTACACCCCCTCGGACGGTGCATCCGAGACAATGCCGTAATATAAACATTTAGATTTAGATGATCCCAATAACGAATTAAGGCAAGTTATTCAATTTGTCCATTACAATTACTAATTTTAGTTCCAAAAATTTTAAGTTTTCCATTGCTATACACAACACGTCGATGCAAGTTCGCAGCGATAGAGTTCCGAACGGATTAATGACCGACTCTGAGACACAGCGCTTAGCGCAGCACATACCACATTCATTAGGCACAAACAGCGCGTTCGCCGATGAACGTGAGGTCCTGGATTCGCAGCTTACTCACGATATCTTCCAGTGTCAGGCCGCTTTTGAATCCTTTTCGTCGTAGTTGTATTGTTAAATAACAAAACAAATAATAATAGAGTTGTTATTGTTATACGTCATTCGCTCGAAATTAATGACGAAACTTTCAACTTTCGATAATTAACCATTTTCAAGAATTGATTGTTTCGCATAGCGTGTATAGATAAGAATAGCAATAACTTGAGACAAATGTATTCTACTCTCCATTTATTTTTGGCGTGTTCAATGAATATTTACGTGTTTTCTGTAAAATGTAGAACTTTAGTTAATGTCTCCATGTTAATACGTACTATTTTACATCGGAATAGATATAGAACACTTTCTTTACATCGGGACACTGCTACTCTATATCATCCAAGGGTTTGTTTCAGTTTTTAAAAAGTCTAATTAATCATTGAGATTGTCAAATCTGAAACAATGATTTCTACTTCATATAAATACATAATTATGTAGGCCGGCGGAAACCAAACTTACTGTTTTCCCAACTTTCAGTTTTTAAATAAATTTCATATGCTACTAAGTAAGGAGTTTTGTAATAGATCAAAAATGAAGGGCAAATAAAAGTCGGGAATATCATTTATATACATTTATTTGTCTTTATGAGCAAAAGACATAGACAATAATTTGAGATGTGTCATATGGTTTACTTATAAACCGCATTAATATTAAATTTCTACCTGTACCTCCCGATAATAGTCACCCAATGAAAATCATGTTGAACAAAATATTCTACTCTTACAATTCTGGCAATAACTGTGTACATGGCATAATAATACAGGGCACATTTATAAATGAAGCTATAAAAAAATAAAGATTCCAACAATTGCAATCTAAAAGTGAGCGGAACATTACATGGTAGCATTTTGTTAAAATATCTTTTAATACAATAGGTTACGGAAAATCTTTTTAATTAAAACATTTATTCTCTATTAACTTTTCACTAATATCTAGAAATGTGCATATTTATTTGCTAAATGCCTTTTAAGGCTCGATAGTTTTAATGATGTATGTTCTAATGTTTACATGAGATCATAATTCATTAAAGCAATCGAGGTTTGTACAAATTAAATGGTTACTATTAAATTCGTATACACCATATTAAAAAAACGTCAAAAACGGTGGAAGTCATTTACGTGTGTCGTTAACAAGTTAAAAAAAAGCTATAGTATAATAATTTATGAATACTTAATGGAGGTTGAAGTGATTGTGAGGGCAAGTCTAAATGTTACGCTAGAAATAGTGCCTAAACGATCTGATTGTCATAAACATTTATTTAATCATAGAGATTACAATAGACTAGGATCTCCAAATTTGACCATTTTTTGTGTTCCACATTTAATATATGTGTTAAAAACTCATATTAGGCAAATCCACAATAAGTTACATTAAGTTCATGATATATGAAAAATAATTATTATGGATTTAAAGGGGCTCATCCTACAAACTGTTTTATTTTTTTATATTATACAATAAAATGTATTTAAGAGAATTTTATGTTTGATGCAAGGAAGTCATTTACATATTCCTTTTTAAACACCAAAATGTTACTAAATATATAAAGCATATTACGAGTTGACAATATCATATAAAAACTTTTCCCTACAATGTAACATCACTTCGATGACTAATCACAAATCAATCTAGGAAACGAAACCGCAGACCTAACGTCGTCCTCATTCGAAACGACCCTAACAATAATATAAATAGAGGTTAATCTACGAATATCATCTATATAAGTTAACATAGAACACCGTCACACGCACTACTACGCCGTCCGTTTAATATTTCATATTGCGAATTGATATATTCGGTACTGAGGAGTCGGGAGGGAGGAGATGATAGGAGAAAATCAGTCGTACCGTCGTATCGCCCGTAATTGACTACGTCCGGGTCCGTCCGTCCTATTAGTGTAAGGCCACTCCATTCCACTCCGCCACTCTGGCAATTATCACCCACAAGGGACCAACCCTCTCATGGTCCCGTACTACGCGCATTAAATAAAGAGAGACAGAGGAACTGCGAGCGGGATCCGCGCTAATCTAGTCTTAGTTCCTAAACGCGTAGAGCTCACTTCAGCGCGTCCGACGCCTCGAAGTTCTGCTCCGTTACCGATACCGCGTCCGAAGAGAGCGCCTCCTTCAACGGCTCCACGCAATTCTTTGGGATCACTGTACCTGTGTGAAAAAGGATAATTTAAAACGGATAATTATTGAAACGTAATATATAGGCGAGGTTTACAATTAAGTTTATGGACGGAATAATATCAGATGCCATTAAATTTGCCGTGTACGGTGAAAATAATAATGAGATAACATACACAGTGCTGAAAGACAAAGGTCAAGAAAGTAATATTAAAACTGAGTACTGGCAATATATAATCAGGAAAGAGAAAATGAATAGTGCCTATATAATAATAATTAATGTAAATTTTAAGCTAGTCAAGGACAATATTATATAATCATGATGCATATAACGCGGATATTTATAGCATAAAAGAAAAGCATTTTTTTCTTGTACAAATAACACAATTAAATTTCCGATGTGCACGCCAGCCTTAGTCAAGGTTTGGTTTCGTTATTCACAAAAAGTCTCACCGACGATCTTTCCAGATTCTTAATGCGCACCATTCGCATTAACGGTTTGTTTACACATATAAAAGTCCATATTTTTATTAACGAAGAACAAAACTGACTTCAAATATCTCGCTCTGTATTCATTTTAAAATTGATCAGGAGTCCCCCAAATATCTCCGGAGACCACGATCCATTGATCAGGAGTCCCCTAATCGATAAGTATCTCCGGAGACCAAGATCAAATACCAATGAAATTAATACGGGACCACATGGGAAGCACCAGCTTTCAAATAAATAAGGAATCCTTAAAATTGGTTCACTCAGTTGAAATCAACATAAAAAAATACAGTTGACTTGAGAACCTCCCCCTTTTTCGAAGTCGGCTGTTAATGTAAAAAGTCTCACCGACGATCTTTCGGCCGTCGTCGGTCTTGATGCGCACCACCTGCATCTTGTGCAAGGCGGCCCGAGCGGCCAGCGCCGCCTCCATCCGCGCCCACACCGCCAGCACCGAGCCGGCGAGCACGTGGTGCGTGCGCACCCGCAGCCCCACCTGTCGGCGGATCGGGCGATAGTGAGCACTTTGGTCCTTCGCGCCGGATACGAACACGGAATATACTTCAATAACTTGGCAAGCCGCCGGTCAACTAATTAATATTACTCGTTATTGTTAGATTTTTTAAAAAATTCTATTTAGTTTGATGTAAATCCTCACTAATATCATAAAGGCGAAAGTTTGTATGTATGGATGGATGTTTGTTACTCTTTCACGCAGATACTACTGAATGAATTTTAATGAAACTTTACAATAACATAGCTTATACATCAGAATAACACATAGGCTATAATTTATATACATGTTTTATGTATATCTGTCTAAACATTACGCCTTCAGCCTATTCTACGCAGACGTAGTCGCGACCAGCAGCTAGTATTAGATAAAATGTTCACGGCTTATATGGCTATATCGGTGATACTTTTAAATGATAATGTAAACTATTGTCTAAAACATATATTTAACATATTTATATCTGTTGTTTTCAACACACTATAATGTATTCCAGTGTTGAATAAGTCTCAAATTTCACATACACACAATTCCACTATGACTAACCATTCTACATTAACGTGCATTATTTTATGTGAAAAATTGCCAAACGAGCAGGCGGTTCATCTGATGTTAAGTGAATACCACCACCCATGTACATCTGCTGCACTCGAGGATTGGAGATGCGTTGACAACCTTTTGAAAATTGTGCTCTGGCTACCTCACTCACGAGATGAAACGCGAAAGTATTTGTCATACTTCCACTTCACGCTGGTCTTCTATGTGGTCGTGGTACTTACCCGGACGGGCCTTCTCATTCGTGCAACAGCCGAGGCTGCTGCGTGGCCCTACCACAGAAAGATTTGCATACATCTCATTTTGACAATATGTATCACGAGTGATTGGTCACCTTTAAAATTTCTTTAGCCGGTTCTTCTCTGGTCGGTGGCTTTTACCGAATCGATAGTAGTGTTTTTTGACAGTCAATAGTAATTGTAATGCGTCTATATTCAATAAAGATTTTTAAATTGACCTCGCATTCGTTGGCGTTCCTGCACGCGGCGCGCCAATACGCGTGGCTGCAAACTCTCAGAGAGGCGGCGTACTGCGCCTTCCAAGGTCCCTCCGCCTCGTCGCTGGTCACCTTCTTGTACTTCTTCTCGATCTCCGCCAACGACTCTGACCGCAGCTGGAGGCCGGTGTTCGGCCTGCGAATGAGAAAAAACGACTACAATAGGTATTAATAGATTACTATTGTGATAGAACTATTCGGCTAGGAAATTCAGATAGCGTTCTTGGCACCATGCCGCGTGGAATAGCTTTATTAGATTCGCTAAGCATGTGATAAGTCAGCACTTAAAATTAACAATTTAATTGGTGCTGACACTGGGGATTGTACTCAGGTCAATTTTTTATTTATAATAGTATAATATTTAATTAAAAGCGACTCGTACCGGCTTTGCACGGGTGCTATGTCGATATTGAATTTCTCGGATTTTCTCTCATATAATATGCATTTATACTACACATAAATCTTCCCCTTGAATCCCTATCGATTGTTGAAATTCGCATTAAAATCCGTTGCATTGTTTAAAAGATCTAAGCGTGCAAACATCGGAAACGACTTTGTTTTATACTGTGTAAAGATTAGCGACACATACGCCCGCTTTCTGAAACACTGATAATCATAGAAGTCAATTAATCAGGTGTCAAATAGCTTTTCAAACGTTATTTGAGTTGCCAAAAGGATTGTTAAACTCTCTGAATTGATCAGAATGATAACGATCCTTTTGGCAACTCAAATAACATTTGAAAAGCTATTTGACAGCTGATTAGTTGACTTCTACAATGATCATTGTTTCAGAAACCGGGCGATAACATGGAATGATAAAGCACCTGTATATCTGGAACATGATCTCCTTCTTCGAGGGTCTCTCCTTCCTGATGTTGGTGTGAACGGCGGCGCAGAGCACGGCAGTGTGCTTGTTGTTGCGCGCCTGCAGGGACAGGTAGAACCCCTCCTTGGGCCCTGTCAGCTCCGACTCCTTCTCCAATGCTTCCATCCAATCCATCCCGCGCTTTAAACATAGTATTGATTGATAAAAGAGTTTACATTGAAAGATAGCAATACAGACATCGAGCAGGAGCGTTGTTGTAAAATTTACGACAATTAGTTTTTGGGTACCTGCTTTTACCGGACTTGGAAAGAACAGGTTATTTGGTGTGTTATGCGAAGAAATACGTATGTTGAGGTACTTGCATTTTGGTAGAATTTCTCATTATTTTTGGGGGATATTCATTTGTTTTCTCGTATGGTTGGGTTTATAAATAAAAATAACAATATAGATATATATTGCATATATAAAATAAATATTATGGATAAAAATAAACATACATATATAAATATTTTATATAATACATATATAAATAGGAGACGGAAGCCCTCGGCAGGGGAGACCAAACGGCCGAGGGTTAGGGCGAAAGGGAGAGAAACCGGCGGACGATGCGGGCGGTATCGAGGAGCACCGCCTTCTGCATTTGAGTTATTATTATTATTATAGATTGATTACACTAAATAGCATTTATTTGAACATTTTAGCCCCAGGAGTCGGGCAGGTGCTGGTCGGGTACGGAACCCTTAAAGAAACAGTCGGCCGGTGTCACCTCCGTCTGCACGGTGTGCAACTCTACGGGGGCCCGTCCCGTGGCGTGCCTTCGCAGAAAGCGCACGCACTTGACCCGGCGCACGCTCTCGCCGGCGCTGCCCAGGTCCAGGATGCCGAGGTCGAAGCGGCCGCTACGCTTGGCTGAAAACAATAGCAGTTCATGAACTTCCCGATTCATCTGGAGCTTCAGCTCCTCCTCATATTAGTTCCATAACTAAGGACGCATTGGCAAGTAGTCGGGGCCCACTTTATTATAAGGTGGCAACACATCTGCATCCCCAGGGTTGTTGATGCCCATTGGCGACGGTTATCACTCAACATCAACCGCCATCACACAAACACCATTACATATCACCAATATTGATATGTGTATAATATAAATGAATAATTTGTGCGGAAAGGGCTGTGTGGACGGTCTTCCCCTCGAAAACATTGCCTCTTACTGTAGGATAATATTATCCTGTGTTGTGATGACCTTTTGTATCAATAAATTGCAAGTGGGTAAACAATTATCTGTGAGGCCCAAAAATATTTCTGTTGTAGGGTATCGGTAACTGCACCCCAAAGTCATTAAATGTATGTTTAGTATAGTCAGTTCTCCTTCTAAATTCAATCTATTATAACAATGGTGTATTTAAAACATTATTCAAAAGGATACCTTGCTCCATAACTGCGGCCAAGGTATCTGTGAAGTATTTGAACAGTCTGTTCTGCAAGTCAACTGGCATGCCCAATATCCTGTTCAGGAATTTCGACATGTTGTTGTAGTCCTGCGGATTAAAAAAAAAACGATTTCATTTTGGTTCAAAACTAGGAAATTCACCTTCAGTTTTTTAATAAACCCTGTGGTATGGAAGCACCTGATATTGCTTTTGGAGTTGTTTGTGTCGATTGACCTTTGCAAGCTGAGTAATAGAAATTATTACTAATACTTGTTGTTTAGTCCACAATAAGTCTTTTTAATTTTGGGTCAAAACTAAGATTTTACTTGAGTTATTTATAACTAACTCTGTGGTATGGATAGTGCTGATTTATCACGCGCTCAGCGGTGAAGGAAAATATCGTGAGGAAATCTCCATATTTTCGAAATGATAACAAAAAATATTTTGAAAATATGTAAAGTCTGCCAATCCGCAATGGGACCGCGTGGTGGACTATGCCCCAATGGAAGATATTGATATTGGAAGATAGAGATATTCCATACGATGGCTCCTCGATGTCCAGCGTCCACAACATATCGATTTTCAAGGCACGGTTGACAAGGCGGTCTTTTTGAACCGTTACGACCTTTTTTTTTTTTTTTTTCGTGGGAAAAATCCTTTATGGATCCCCTGCCACTGGATGGGAGAAGTGGCAGGGGTATGTGGGAGTCCCGTTAAAAACGGTTACCCACTAAAAAACCCACGTTGAAACTGTTGCGACCTGGGAACCTTCAGTAAAACAGCATACTTTTTCCTAAAAAGGCTGGCAACGCATTTGAAAACCCTCTGGTGTTGCAGGTGTCCATGGGCGGCGGTGATCACTTTCCATCGGGTGAGCCTCCTGCTCGTTTGTCCCCTTTAAAAAAAAGAACCCTCCGTCCAAGGAGGCCTTTGCTCAGCAGTAGGACACATATAGGCTGTTACATTACTGGAAGGGGCTGGTGGACAAGCGAGTGACCTTGTCGAGCGAGAGCACGCCCGGCGCGCTCTCGCTGTTGACGATGAGGCCGACGCCCACGAGCGCGCTGGCCACGTCCTGGAAGAAGTCGCCGCTGTAGTCGCGCGGGGGCGCCACCAGCGGCGACTCGTACTTCATTATCGCCTTCATCACCGCCTCCAGCGCGGTGCGCCCTGTGGGGTTAATGAAGATACATCATAACCATATTGATACCGTCAGCTTTAAAACAAATAATATTGTCAATATATTCCGTCCATTCGTTCATTTACTCTGTATTTGTAAAAAAGACCTTAAATACAAATGGTAACAGTTTAAATAGGTAATATAATAAAGGATTATGGTGAAATGTCAAAAAAAGTTTATTTGTTACCATAGTAACAACATGAAGCCAGCTAAACTTTCGTTCTCATCATTTTTCCCAAAATAAAATAAAAATGACATCCCTGGACATATTTACACTACATTATCTAGTCCCAAAGTACGCATAGCTTGTACTATGGATACTACGTAATTGTTAAACATACTTTTTTGTAAATACACGAATACACACTTTATGATTCAAGTGTGTATTCGTGTATTTACAAAAATTCATTCATTATTTTCTCTTTATGAAATGCTTTAATTTATTTATTAAGATTTTTTCTCTATAATCCAGTAATCCGAGCATTCCAATAATTGGGTACACTTTAGTTTTTAATAGTGCTGGATTACTGAGATTCTTCTGTATAATTTTCAAAGGGAGCGGAATGACAAGTAACCATCAGTACTCACCGTACTTGTTGTCTCTTTCAAAGGGAACGAAATTACAAGTTGGCCACCGGTACTCACCGTGCTTGTCGTCTCTTTCAAAGCGAGCGGAATGACAACCTGACTGATGACCTTTTGATAGGTAGCGGTATGACAAGTGGGCACCGTTACTCACCGTACTTGTTGTCGATGTTGAACTGGCTGAGGTCCCTGGTCTCGGTAGCGCGGCGGTCGCCGTGCGTGAGCGCGCCGAGCGACTCGAGCCGCTTGGCCACCGTGGACGCGAACCGCCTCTCGCCGGCCAGGTCCGAGATCAGGAAGATGTACTCGGGCGCGTTCACCTGGTTCGAGCGGTGCGTGCGCCCTGCGATTTATGGTAATGTTACAAATCTCAATGGTGAGCAAAGGCAATCCTCTATATGGGGGAGCCCATAGAGACATAGAGGGTTGTCGGGCAGAACTCACCACGCGGCCCTCTGCGATTTGGCGGACTTCACATATTTTCCTCAGTAAAATTAACTGTTTCATTGATGCCGATACTGGAATTTGAACTCAGACTGCTCAAGTATATTAAACTTAAGGCGAGCGGCCGAACACAGCAATCACAGTTTAATTTATACATATTGTTCTTGGAAAAAGTATCAGATTTTATTGGATATAAATATTCAGTATGTCAAGTTAATAAGAAGGACCGGAAGCCAGTAGCAAAAATAAAATGGAATTACCAAACTGTTGTATAGCTCTGTCAGCTGACCAAGGCAGCTCTAAGGTTATATGAACTCTTCTCCTTTGATTTCGCGCCCTGAAATTACAACAAAAATGAAGTTTAGAACACTTTTTATCTACTAATCTACTATCCACATGATTGATGACAATATAGTTAACAATCAAATGAAACAATTTTACAGATTCATCAAGTTTTCAGCATTCCTGGGCTCATAAACAGGTAATACCAATAAGCTTGTCATAAATAATAATGACGAAATATAAATAAATCCGTAAAAATATAATACAATAATTTCTAATTACACATCGCAAGCAGAAAAGAAAGTATTAGCCAAAACTTTCAGTCAAATATTAAAAATAATCATAGTGGCTTCAAAAGTCAGTTGTTAATGAGATAACTAACATGCTGGTTTTTTAAACACATTGATACACAAGTTAATATCGGTAAAAAAAATAACAATGTAATTCTGCATCAATGAAAAGTTACCGGAAATTATTATTTGAAGTTTTTGGTGACCTTCACATTGTATATATATGAAATCAAATCATTTATTCATTGAAATAAGAAATATAATTCATCTATCGATAGTAATTTTTTAAATCTACCATCGTCACATAATGATCAAAACAGCATTGCATTACCTCCTATCGCTCTGCAGTGATATACCGCTGGAGGCAGCTTCTGATATGATGGCCACGTCCTTCTCGCCGTCCATGAAGCGCTGCTTCTCGGTGAGATTGAGGGTCTCAAGGGGCACGTCCGCCTCTGAACGACTCTCGTAGAGTATCTGCCCGTCTTCAGTTTGCACCACACGCCCCTTGCGGCCCGTCATCTATAGATATCATTTAATTCGAGTGTTGAGTTAAATAATTCTTTATTATTCCTTATTGTCACTACATCAGTCCTTATACAGTTTTGATTATTGAGAACATTTTAAATAAATACATAACAAATAACATCTTACTGAGATTTATTGGAGGTGTCGATAATAAAACATATGAGTCAGAGAGAAGAATAGATGAGGTATTGAGTGCTATAAATCAAATTACACTTTTAAAAACGTAAATGTTTGTTTAAATTTTATTTATTTGTTTTGGATAACAAACTTACACTTGAACAATTTATATTAGAAACGTCTAAAAATATATTACCAAGTGAATATTCGACTATTAGCGAAAACATCATTTAAGTTTAATTATTGGTTTGTTTTTAGACTAGAATAATTTTAAGCTTCATAACAGGGGAGGTGGCTTTCACCGAGGCCACAACACTAGAGACCTTGATACAGATGACCAGTGTAAGTAGAGCCGTACCTCAGCAACATTCTCAGTGCCTCCCAGCTCGTCAACCAGCTGGTCGAGCGTGTTGGGCGGTAGTCGGCGGCCGAGGCGCTCTATGGCGGCGAGCAGCTCCTCCTTCATGCTGCAGGCGCGCTCGATGGCTGACCGAGGCGGGGGCTGATTCCTCGCAGGTCCTGTGGAAATCAAAATCAAGGTCATTTGTATTTTGTGTATCCAAGGGCAGTAAGTTCCAATGACCACTGCGTCTAGATTATGCTTATATATATAATATAAATTATACTTCGCATTTTAGTCTTCCATCTCACATAAAGAAAAAAATGATGATGCCCCAGTGGCATAAAACCAAAATAAACAGACAAATACCATTACATATCCACAATATCGATATGTATATAATATGAATGAACACTTTGTGTGGAAGGGGTTGGGTAGAAGTATCGACCATTGCATTCTAGAAGATCTAATTTAGTCTTCCCTTCGTAAACATCGATCCTTACTGCAGGATAACATTATCCTGTGTTGTAAGGATGTTTTACATAAATAAATTTCAGGTAGACAAACATCCAGATCCGTAATAATTATAAGTAGTTCGCTCGAATGCTTTTCTCAAGCATCTGTGAACTTCTGCCATGGTCATAAAATTTAAATCCTTACTTATCAGCTGAAATCTTTTGAATGTTTCTCTTTTGGTTTATAAAAGTAAATATGAATTATGTACACTACATCTGTTGACGAGAATAGTAAGCGTCAATTAAGGGCTGGAATACACAAGCTATGTGGGGGGTTATTATGGGGGTACAATATGCTTTTCGCCGATGACACCAAATACAATCTACTAGCACGAATATAGATAAGGAGGCTTCCGAATAAAGCCGCAGCCTAATCCTAGATCGGTTTGTATTTTAGTAACAAGCAAATGGTTTGATACATGAGAAAAATTTGAACATTTTTACGAGTACTATTTTTGTTGTGAAACCAAGAATGTCTATCTATACAGTTTTATTAGTTGCAGCAAAGCCACGCAGCAGATTCTGCTTTTGTGCAAATGGGTTGACTCGTCTGGGTAAGTACCACAGCCTCACAAAAGATTGACTAGCATTCAGCTATTCCATTAGGAAAAGCACCAAACCAGTAAACAGATGTACCTAAGTAGAGGCCGTTGGTGCCGACCGGTGTGCCCGTGAGGCTATGGCCACCGGCGGTGGTGACGGTGACGGTGGAGGGCGCCGTGCTGTTCTTCCTCTCGAACATCGTCTCGATCTTGTCCTGAGTGCTGGCCGCCTTCTTTTTGGGCGACGTGGTTTTCTTCTTCTTCGTCGGCTTCTTCTTGCGGCCGATCCATGGATCTGTGAGTGTAAATGTTATATCACTTAACGTCAGGTGAACGAACCGTCAGCTCGCATGCCACCTTCTCACATAAAAAAAGAGGGTTGGGTAGTATCCCAAGATCTATTGTAATCTTCCCTTTTGAAAACAATGCCCACTTAATGTAGGAAACATTGTGTACTGTGTTACAGGAAGATTTGGCGGTGGTATTGTTTGTGTGTTGTTGGTGTGGTTGTGTTGTTGTTGTACGGTTGTGTTTTTGTTGTATGGTTGTGTTGTTATTATGGTGGCGGTGGTGGTGGCGGTCACCGTCGTCGCTGTCGCTGTCGCGGCCCGCGCGGAACGGGTTGGAGTCGCTGAGGTCCGAGTCGGAGCGGCGCGCGTCGTCCCACTCGTCGTGCGCGTCCTCGTCCAGCTCGTCCTCGGAGCCGCGCACGAACTCGTCCGACGAGGAGCCGCCGCGCGCCCTCTTCGCCGCCGCGTTCGCCTGCTGCCGCGCCGTCACTGTCGACACACAGCTGTGTATTCGTCACATTTTTGTGGCGGTCTAGTGATAAATATTGCTAATAATAATAGACACAAAAATATTTTGTTCTTGGCGACGTCAAGTGGAAGCCGAGCAGCAGCTTCGGACCAAAAACATAAATTTTAATATTGTGGTAATATATTTTCTCTAACAGCCAGCCATCAACACAAGTACCGACAATTTTCAATATTACTGTCATTTTATGTTCATTTTTGTTGTTTTATTTTCTTGAACACCCTTGAAATATCTGCTCTAATCCGAACGTTTTACGCACGCAGCGAGTGTACCAGCGAGTGTAGGTCTGAACATAACGAAGCCTTGGGATTAATACTTGCACTAACTTTTTTTTGCAACATTAAAAGAATCTAAAATTCATCTCCCTATATATGTTTGCATGTATTTACCGTGAAAACGTAATATAAATAACGTGAACTGAAAAAGTAACAGGAAATAGTACCCATCGAGATGATAGACCCATAAATATTCAAACGGCTTTCGGGAAAATAAATAAAACTCACGCTTCCTCTTGGAGGTGTTGGCGTCGTCGCCGTTGCGGCCGTTCTGGGCGACGGTGGGCGTGGGCGTGGGGGTGGGCTTGGGCGTGGGCTTGTTGGGCTCCAGGCCCAGCAGCCGGTTGATGCGCGCGCGGTCCGGCGCCGGGAAGTGCTTCTCGACCAGTGTCTGGAACACGCCCCTGTGGGACAAACGGCCATGTCATTTCAAATATAGATTAAACAGCCTTTAAAATCGTCCTATTGCTCAATGCCTGTTCTGACGTGGGCTATTAGAGACTAGCCCTCCATGCAGCCTTGATATATGTGAATTCATGTTAATCTCTATATGTATATAAAAATTAATCGCTGAATGTGTTGCTGAGCGCAAATCTCGAGAACAGCTGAACCGATTTCGCTAATTCTTTTTTTATAATATTGCTTTAAGTACGAGGATGGTTCTTACGGAGAGAAAAAATTAAAAAGTCTAAAAACAACACTTTTCTACATTCCCATACAAAAGATTAGTATAATACTTAAGTCAATTTGAACTTTAATACCATACCATCAAGTTTAAGTATTAGTGGGGGGGTTTCGGGAAGGCAAAACAATTGAGTGACGTCAGTATCGTATAAATATTAATATCAATATTTGTCCTTTTGTAATAATTTTTACTAGATAGAGGTATTCAAGAGGAAGGTTTATATGTATAATACATTGTACTCGTGCGAAGTCGGGGCGGGTCGCTAGTTGTCGAATAATTTTCGGCGCTGTCAGAGTTCGAACCTGCGTCATCTGCGACGCTCTAGCCAAGTGAGCTAAGCCACTGATATTTCACATCACCAACCATCAGGTGTTGTAGGTGTGCTTATCAATTGTTATTTTAGTATTTTTTTTAAACCATTGCTCCTACGGTAGGATAACATTAGCCCGTGCTGTAACAGCGCTTTACAAACATAAATTTCACGTGAACTAACACCCAGAACCGAAACAATTATCTGTGGGTCACACAAACACTTGTCCCGTGTGATCGTCAACCCACGACCCTCGACGCTGAATCAAATTCCTCGAAAACTGCGCCACGGAGTCCAATGAACTAGTTCGTTTGACGAGCTTTCACATAAAAACAATAGGATGAGAAGCGTGAAGACAAAGTCCATCACAAATTTTTTTTAATAGTTGTCAACACATCTGCAACTATCACGTGTTGTAGTTACCCATGGGTGAATCAATTAACCAGCTCGCTTGACAACCTTTCACATAAAAACAATAAGACGAGAGGCATGATAAAAAGCACACCCCCACTCATTTTATATAACAGCTGTCGACACATCTGCGACCATCACGTGTTGTAGATATCCACGGTGGCTAATCAATAACCCAAATCGTTGAATACCACCCAAACAATAGGACTAGGAGCTTGAAGATGAAGCCCCCCTCACTCACTTGGCGGTGGAGACGAAGTCGCTGAGCTCGCCGTCGTCGCGCTCGAGCTGGTCCAGGGTCCTGGCCTCGCCCGTGCTCTGCAGCCCGATCACCACGCACTTGCCGCACTTCACCGCCTCGCGGGCCGTCACCACCGCGTGGTTCACCTGCGGACGGACAAATCAAATCAAATTTCCTTCTTCTTCTTCTTTAATTTTAAAGCTAGGCTTTTGTCGGTGCAGCATACCAGTAATTCAGCTTTGTAACACCTTTAATTCGTCCCTGTTCAAAGCCCTTTCCTTTAACCTCTATATAGGAACCAAAATTTATTTTCTTCTATAATTGTGATAAATCCTTTTCTGTCTTTACTTCTATGATTTTTTTATTTTCTAGTTAATAGGTACGGAAATATTTTGTTCTGATTTCCGTCACAATATTGAGCTGATTGTTTAGCTGTTTTTAAAAGCATGCAATACATGGACGGCCGAATTATCTATTTACTTTATCCATCCATGATAGCTCAATTCTCAACCAATTCAACACGCAATTTGAATTAAATCTATCTGTAATAGTTAAGTGTACGTGCGTTCGCTTTTAATTCGATATACTGTTTGAAGTTGGGTTAAATTCAAGTCCCTGTGGCGGCACTTATCACGTGTTCAGTGGTAAAGGAAAACATCGTGAAAAATAAGGAATAATTGCAGTAATAACAAAAACAAAAATATTTCGATGATATGTGAAGACCACCAATCCGCAGTGGGGTCGCGTCGTATAGTATTTCTTAACGTTTAATCTTAACTATCTCTATTTCTTAAAATTTATAACCTTAGGTTCCAAAAACGACTTCCCTGCTACATGGCTACAACTTATATACAATACAATATCAGCCTATTGCCGTCCACTGTTGAACGTAAGCCTCCCCCAAAGGGCGCCAGGTCCTGGGCAGCCCGCATCTATCAGCTGCATTTCTTAAGTTGTCAGTCCATCATGCTGCAGGCCGTCCCACACTTGGTTTTCCTAACCGTGGTGTCCAATCTAACACGTGTCGGCTCCAGCGACCATCAGATAATCTATATCATGTAACTTATATAATGATAGTTAATAAGATACCTTCGCAGCGATACAGAGGTACTTGAAGAATCTCTGATGGGCCGACCAGAACTGTCCCCACATGGTCTTCTTCATCCGAGACTCGGCGTCGATGAGCTCGGCCGCTTCGGTGAAACGCTGCATCGCCTCCACCCACTGGCAACGTAAACGATTCCCAATTAACACGTCATGCACATTTTAAGTTAAAAATCGGCTAAGTGCGAGTCGGACTCGCGCACGAAGTACCATTATCCATAAAAACGGCAAAAATCCCACTTATAACACATATGGGAACCCCACTTAAATATTTTTTTTATTATTTATTAGTATTTGTTGTTATAGCGGCAACAGAAAAACATCAACATTGAAAATTTCAACTATCACATATTTTACCTTTTGGCATGGAACCCTAAAAAGCAAAAGTAAGGGCAAGTGCATCTTTACTCAAATTATAAAATAACTACTCAACGAGGAAACAAAAGTATAGATACGTGGATGGATCTATAATGTTACAAGATTTTTAGGTAATGCATGATTGTAGCTTGACGATTTTTTTTAAAGGATAAGTGGCAAACATAATAATAAGACGGCTCACGTAAAACCGGTGTATGTACCGACTAGTTTCGGACTCATCGGGGTGAGTGGGATTAGTTCGCGGTCTCACACTGTTCTCAGTACTTTAATAATGTCACACGAAAGTTTTAATCATTTTAAGTGGCAAATAAGCGAAATGTACACCCAAAATTGGTATGGTTATTATTAACACTGCCCAAAAGCGCTTGCAGTACAAGAGAAAGGTTCGTAAATCCTCGCTCAACGGACAAAATACAAATGTTTAAATCTAATATATAAAATTCTCTTGTCACGGTGTTTGTAATTGAACTCCTCCGAAACGGCTCGACAGATTTTCGTGAAATTTTGTGTGCATATCGGCCAGAATGAAGAATCGGACAACATCTATTTTTCATCCCCCTAAATGTTAAGAGTGCTCCACCGCAAACATTTTTTTCTACCCTACAAATAATTTATAATATGGCAAAACAACGTTTGCCGGGTCAGCTAGTAAACTTATAAATATTTCGGGACATATTTTCACATTATGTAATCTAATCAAAAACTAAGCAAAGCTTGTGCTATGGGTACTAGGTAGATAACTGATAACCATACTTAAACATATTTTTCTTTGGTAAATAAATACATATTAGATACTCGTATATTTAAACAGCCAGAAACTAGAAAACACTATGTTCATCAAACACAGTAGTGGGGATCGAACCCACACCCTCTGGCGCAAGAGACAGGGTCACTATCAATTACGCCAATCGGGTCGTCAAACTACTTTGCATCTTGTGGTAACCACTTAAGGCTCACTAATGCAGCAGCAGAAAATAGCTTGTATGTGTTATCAGCAATTTCTATTTTATATTGGCAAATAACACAGGGTTGGCAGTGGTGATGGGTTTACGCTGTAGCACCGACCAGGGCGACGGCCTTGTCGTATGTCTCCTTGAAGGCGTCGGAGAGCGGCACCTCCTCGATCTTGAAGGTGACGCCGTGGAAGGAGAGCTGGCGCGCGATGTACATGCCCCTCAGCTTCATGTCCATCGCAACTATCTCCATGGCACCAACGCCCCTAATTTAAAAACACACACATAAATAATCTAACTATGCATCATACACTTCGAGCAGACATGGGACACTCATAATGTATATTATAATTATAAAGTAGCCTTAAATTAAAATATGTAGAAAAAGTGCGAAAAGATTGTCGCCGCTGTGGGAATCGAACCCACGTCTTCGGCATTCGCGGCCTGACGCTCTAGCCACTGAGCTAAACGGCTGATGACCACACCGACGAAAATCTTAACGCATTCCTCTACATTCTTTTCTTAGCATTTGAAGCAATGCTTGGCGCCATCATTCCCACAGCGGCGACAATCTTTTCGCACTTTTTCAACATATTTTAATGTTCAATCTTAAGTGCAAAGATTAGCACTATAAACAATTTAAATTTATAAAGTAGCCTGTCAAAAAATCTAGTCTTCTGAGTAAATTTATTTATTTGACTATTATTAATTATGCTTCATGATAAAATTAACCATACAGATAAAATAAATCTTGAAAAATAGCACATTGCTCTAATCTTATATCCAAGTGACTTTTTGTGTAATTAGTGTGTTCCCCCTTGATATCCTAAAAGACGATTGGATTTAAATGATATTTGAACTGCTGACATTTAAAGTGAATTCGAAATTCGAAAACTGAATAATTGAATAAAATTATTACATAGGATAATTTCTTTCCCCTTTAAATGAACAATATTACTTTAAGAAAGGATCATGCAGGCATTGTGGTTTACAACAAGTTGTTTTTTAAAAAAATTATAATAATAAAAACCAATAAAATTGGCCCTTGAGTTGTACATGTCTCAGATCACATTCTGAAATTCCTCATAAATATATACAGTACAGTCTTAAATAGTATCGGAACCTTATACAGTATCGGATTTTCGATCACGGCTCACCTCTTCTCCACGGCGTTGATAAAGTCCATAAAAGTGGGGAAGGGGGTTCCCTCGCCCCAAATGCCCAGCCGGACCATGTAGGCCATGTTCCTGGGCTCCGAGGCACCAGTGGCTGACGCGTACACCACCCTCGCCTTCGGCAGCTTGTTCTGCAGCTCCAGTGCTGTGAGACCGGTCTTAGTGGCCTTGCCAGACCCCACGGGGCAAAGGTTCTTCGCCTTGTGACACTCGTCGAAAACGATCTGGCCCGCCATTAAGGTTCTTATATGACGACTCCACTCAATACAATAAAATACTGATAATAAAGTTCTGTTTAAACATTCTCTTCAATTGTAAGAACTTTCGACGCTACGGGATTTGAACCTACGACCTCTGACTTTACCAACTAAGCTAAGCGGCCAATGACGTAGATCTTGACATCTATCTACGTTCGTTCTATTGCATTTTTAGCAACGTAAATATAATTAAACATAAACTCAATAATCTATGACATCTTGCGAACTGTGCTCCTAATTAGAAGCAGTGTAAAGCCAGTTTTGAATAACGAAACTTCTGCCATAACCAAGGTGGCCGACCAAGGGGCCGAGATGAAATGAATATGTATAATAGACTTTATATGTATTCCCTTAAGTCGTAATATCGAAGGGAGGGTTGGGCCGCGACTAAGTAGATCTGAATATAGAGCTTTATTTGTACGGTCAAAGGATACACATCCGTCGAAGTCCTCGCCGCACCACTGCAGCAGCTGCTTGAGCCTCGATCGGTACTTGGTGCTGGAGGACTGAGTCTCGCCGATGAGCGCAGAGTAAGTGCAGAACACCACGCCCTTCTTCACGTTCCCGTTGACCGCCGACGAGATCTTGGCGTATTTGAACTGGAATGTTGGGTGCAATTATACATTAATTAATGTTTAAATTTGTTCCTGTGAATATGTTCATTAAAATTAATTTGTCTTTTATTTGAAAAGGTAGCAAACGAGCGTGCGGTTCACATTATATTAATCATAACCGGAGCCCATGAACATTTGCAACACGTTTCTACCTTTTAATAAAGTGAGTCCCGGCTACCTCGCGCACCAGACGAAACGCACAAGTATGACAATTCTACTTCACGCCGGTCTTCTGTGAGGTCGTGGTACTTTCCTGGACGGACCTGCCCATTTGTGTGACACGACTGTTGCGAGGCCCTACCACCGTAATAGTAGATATTCATAATATTATTATACGCAATATAATTTGAGAAGTACTCACTTTATTAAGGGGGTATACTTCGATCTTGCCGGCGCCGATATCCCTTAGGTCGCGCTCGGCATCGTACTTGAGGTCGTTGGAGACGGACACCCAGATGGCACGTTTTCGACCCTTCAGGTAGTTCTCGAAGATGATGCCGGCGATCGTTCGACCCTTGCCCACACCGGCACCGTCCCCTTATCGAACGATAAATGTTAAATTATAAGATATAATAATTATATATTAACAAATAAACACTTCAAACTTTAAGAAAAAAAAGACAATGCTGTTATACAGGCTATTCACTAATAATCTCCTCAATGTACCACGACGCAGTGTTTAATTACCGGGCACTTACAAATAGACCAAATCCCGCGCGCCCTTAAGTACTGCTCCCGGTACAATCGCGTTAACTGACCGATCAGGAAGCAGTAAGTTAAGTTCGGCGGGACTTATAAATACAGTCACGATCTCTGACCGATGAGGAACCAGTATGCACACTTGAGGAAATGCGCACACCTAATCAGGAAGCGTGAAACGTATATGTTTCGCTCAAGCTGTACAGTCGCGTGTACTTTCCGATGAGAAATCGTTATGGATCGAGTTCCACCGATTAGGAATCTGTTGTGTATCGAATTCGATCGACTTATGGGTACAGTCGCGTACACTCTCCCATGAGGAATTTGCGGTGGATTGAGTACGATCGACCTACAAGTACAGTCGCGCGCACTCCCCGATTAGGAATCCCCATTAGATCGATTTCGGGGGCGAGCTACCTGTACAGTCGCGCGCACTCACCGATGAGGAATATGTTGCGAATCGAGAGCGATCGATCTACGAGTACAGTCGCGCGCACTCCCCGACTAGGAATCCCCATTAGATCGACTTCGGGGGCGAGCTAACCTGTACAGTCACGCGCACTCACCGATGGGGAATATGTTGCGGATCGAGTGCGATCGACCTACGAGTACAGTCGCGCGCACTCCCCGACTAGGAATCCCCATTAGATCGACTTCGGGGGCGAGCTAACCTGTACAGTCACGCGCACTCACCGATGGGGAATATGTTGCGGATCGAGTGCGATCGACCTACGAGTACAGTCGCGCGCACTCCCCGATTAGGAATCCCCATTAGATCGACTTCGGGGCGAGCTACCTGTACGGTCGCGCGCACTCACCGATGAGGAATATGTTGCGGATCGAGTGCGATCGACCTACGAGTACAGTCGCGCGCACTCTCCGATTAGGAATCCCCATTAGATCGACTTCGGGGCGAGCTACCTGTACGGTCGCGCGCACTCACCGATGAGGAATATGTTGCGGATCGAGTACGGCACTCACCGATGAGGAATCGATCGAGTCGATCGACGTACGAGTACGAGTCGCGGCGCGCCACTCACCTGTACTTTTGTGGATCGTCGATCGCGCACTCACTCACCATGAGAAATGAGGAATCTTTTGCGGATCGAGTCGAGTACGATCGACCTACGAGTACAGTCGCGCGCACTCCCGATTAGGAATCCCCATTAGATCGACTCGGGGGCGAGCTACCTGTACAGTCGCGCGCACTCACCGATGAGGAATATCTGTTGCGGATCGAGTGCGATCGACCTACGAGTACAGTCGCGCGCACTCACCGATGAGGAATCCCCTTTTGTGGATCTTCGAGGGCGATCGCGTACGAGTACAGTCGCGCGCACTCACCGATGAGGAATATGTTGCGGATCGAGTGATCGACGTACGAGTACAGTCGCGCGCACTCCCCGATGAGGAATCCCCATTACGATCGTATCGTAGACGTGCGATCGACCTACGAGTACAGTCCCCGACGCGCGCACTCACCGATGGGGAATATTTGCGGATCGAGTGCGATCGACCTACGAGTACAGTCGCGCGCACTCCCCGATTAGGAATCCCCATTAGATCGACTTCGGGGCGAGCTACCTGTACGGTCGCGCGCACTCACCGATGAGGAATATGTTGCGGATCGAGTGCGATCGACCTACGAGTACAGTCGCGCGCACTCTCCGATTAGGAATCCCCATTAGATCGACTTCGGGGCGAGCTACCTGTACGGTCGCGCGCACTCACCGATGAGGAATATGTTGCGGATCGAGTGCGATCGACCTACGAGTACAGTCGCGCGCACTCACCGATGAGGAATCTTTTGTGGATCGAGTACGATCGACGTACGAGTACAGTCGCGCGCACTCACCGATGAGGAATCTTTTGTGGATCGAGTACGATCGACGTACGAGTACAGTCGCGCGCACTCACCGATGAGGAATCTTTTGTGGATCGAGTACGATCGACGTACGAGTACAGTCGCGCGCACTCACCGATGAGGAATCTTTTGTGGATCGAGTACGATCGACGTACGAGTACAGTCGCGCGCACTCACCGATGAGGAATCTTTTGTGGATCGAGTACGATCGACGTACGAGTACAGTCGCGCGCACTCACCGATGAGGAAGCCGGCGCGCGTGCCGTCGGGCAGCGTGTGCTCGTGCGCCTGCGACGCGTACACCACCGCCTCGAGCTGCAGCGCCGACAGCAGCCCGCCGCGTATCGTCTCGTCGGGCAGGCTGAGCGTGTACGTCACGTCCACCGGCTCGACGGACGACAAAGATGCGGTCTCCACCACGGGGTCGGGGTGCTTGCGGCCCAGTTTCACTGCAAAGAGCGCATTTCGACTGTAACAATATCGGAGCGATGTTTAATTTCCATTATGATGGCCTGCGTTGGACTACTCCAAAATGCCGGTAAGAAATGACGTGGGATTTTGGTGGAATAAACTTGGCGCTTGTTGGATTAGCTGATTAAGGACAAGCTGATTGTAATCGAAACGGGTTATTTTCAAGTTCTCCGCTGGCTTAAAGTAGGAATACTTTGTTCGAACCCACGTCTTCGACATTCGCGGCTTGACGCTTTCTTTAGCCACTAAGCTAAACGGGTGATTGACACAGCGACGAAAATTTTAACGTCTTTTATCTACATTGTTTCTTAGCATTTGAAACAATGCTTGGCGCATCAATTGTTATATCCTTTCCAGCATACAAACAATTTCGAATATCGTTTTACAACGATAATTCGAACGGATGTCGCCATTGCTTTTAAGAAATAAAAAATTGTTTATAGTGCTAATCTCTGCACTTATGATTAAACAATAAAATTTGTAGAAAAAGTTGTCCACGTCTTCGGCATTGAGTATGCGAAAATTTGTATGTTTCCTGCGTCCATCCCATACGGCTGTAGATAAAAGATCCGTAATGAAGCTTTTAAGAAATATGCCCAACCACGTAAACTAGGTCATCGTCATCATCATCATCATTTTAGACGGTTTTTGTCCACGAAGCATCAATACTGATCCATCTGCATCCATCTCTCACACTAGTAAACTACTGCTCCATAGCTTGCTCGTGAACTAGGTATTATTGAAAATGATTAACAAATTATCTTACACTTAGACGGCATATAATCTGCATAGGTCTCTGCAACACCCATCTCCTCATCATCCACTTCTTCTTCATCACCTGGCATCTGAAACAGTTCAGTGTTTTTTTTCATATTACAAATATAAATATATTTTACAACAATGGGATAACATTTACCCTAAACCGATAATTAACATTTAAATAAGTCTTCTCTAGATTTTACTAAAAGATTTCACTACAACAAATAATCATTTTCAAGAGATATAAGCTTAGTTAATCACAAGCAAGGAAAAAAGTATTATAGAAACCCAAGTATTAACTAAACGTTGTTTAATCAATATTGAATGTTACATTTATTGCGTTTAATCATAGACAACCGTTGTGATGTTGGAGTTAATCTTCTGCGTTTTGTCGTGTGAATGAGGTAACCGGGGCCCTCTTTATAAAAGGTGACAACCCTCCAACCCTACGGTTGTTGCAAATGTCCATGGGCGGTTACCACTTAGAACAGCCAGACCGCTTGCCACGGAAAGTAAATAGACTAAAGTTATTATCCTCCACCTGTCCTTTATAAACGTTACCTTGTCTTGGGGCCACATGCCAGGCTTGGGCTGCGCCCAGGGCGGCATCTGACCGTATTGGGCCACCATTCCCGACACCAGGATCTGGTTGAGGTTCTGCATCAGGTACGAGTTCATGCCTTGCGTGCCCATCTCCACTGCGGAGGCGAAATCGTTGTTATTTATTTATATGCACACTTTATTGTACAACTGGTACAAACGGCGGGCTTAACGCCATAAGGCATTTTCCACCAGCCAACTGGAAAGTTAGTGGAAGAGAAGTGTAGGTGCTAGCTAAATAAGATAAATATTTTATATAATATGTATACGTTAGAACAATTTTAAAACACACAAAAATATACAGGAAGATTTTTTGAGTAGTGCCCAAATTTACACAGGAGGTTCAGACTCGGTAGTATAATCGTTTATTGAAAATAAAAAAACAAAGTTTTTTTTTTTTCAAAAAAAAAAAATGCCATTCTATTCCCATTCATAAATACCTAAATTTTACTGTGCACGAACTTGTGCGCGTATTAGTTATAAATGATCGCGCGTAAAATAAATGAGTTGCGTATAAATCACGCATATTTGAGAGAAGTTCAAATGAATGTAATTAATTACTTATGAGTGATTTTAAATATTTATCATTTACATCAATACAATAAATAAATAAAAGACATATATAAGTTTTACTGTTGCTTCTCAGTACATACTTGTAAAGGTTATGTATGTCCATAAAAATAAGAAACAATTTTTAAGATTCAGTAATGTACATGATATAAATACTAGGAACAAACATAAATTAATTTCACCCTCATCTAGATTGCGTAGAATAAGTAAATCTATTGTGGGACAATGTTTACGGTTTTACAACGAACAGAAAACTTTCAAAATAAAACAGTTGCTATATTCAAAAGACTTATTAGAGGAAAGTTTGTATGCTAGAGGCTATATGAGCTTAATAAGCCACATCAGGTACAAGTTTTCAAAACACCGGCATAAGGCACTTTTCGCGAATTGATTACTTTCGTGGACCCTTTGTTCTCATAAATGATCATTTCTCATCAATTAATTGTTTTTGTTAAATTGTTTTCGTTATTTAATTTTCGTTACCGATCGTTCGACGTCGGATATCTAATGTTTATATTATCGATATAAACTATTCAATATCGAAATCAAATATTTATTACTTGATATACTTTTTTTTGACAAAGGGTTCTAAACAGGAAATATCGATATTTTCTCTTGGATATATCGAGGGCGGATATTGATATTTTTATAAATTTCGATATATCGATGTATTTCTTCACTTTCGACATCCCTATTCCTTTTCCACTCGTGAACGGAGCGCGTGCCCACCGCGCAAACTTGTAGCTTGCGGGCTTTCCTATTGCTTTGAGTCGATTTATTTGTGAAACTTCGAGGAATTTCAAATCGAACTTTCGCGTGGTTACGTACCGACATAAAAACAACGGCCCAACCCTTCGGCTATGGCTTCGGTCACGTTGGGGGTGAACGACAAAAGGTCCCGAGCTCCGAGCGGTAGGTAGGGCAATCGTTTTCGCAATCGACAATAATAATAGTAATAATCGTTTAATGAAAAGATAGAAAAACAAAATTTTACAATATATTTAAGTTTTAAACAAACGTGAAACAAAAAAGAGAAAAAACAACCGTTTAAATAAAAGATTACTTAGAGGAAAAAAAGCCCTGACAAAAGGTGAAAGCTCAGCGTATGCTACATCAACCGACATAAGGCTGACTGTGTAGTGTAAATTTTCAGTTTTTCCTAGCCCTGTTGTTGTGTGTGCTGAGTATTCAAGTATTTCCATTGGTCGCTAAGAATCTCGAAGAAATAAAGCAAATATTTTTAAATTGTTTAAATGGATGTTACGTTTAATCAATTATTAGTTCAATTAATTTCGTCGCAAATGCGATTTAAACAGATGAATTGTCGAAATATTCTCTTGGTCTCTATCTACTAGACACACCGGGGCGAGTGTTTTACGAATATGTGGTACTGATTTTTTATGAATATTCCTTTTCCTATCTTATCAAATGGGTCGACGTTGACGTACGAGTTATAAAACGCAAATTCCGATTGGGAAACTACAGAATAATATACGAAGAGATGGACAAATAGATTGACCGTACTAGACGATAAGATACGAGTTTCAATAGGTTTGCCTATGAGAAGACTTCTCAGAACTTAATTTACAGGCAACCAAGAAGTTATCAAAATTAATCGATAACAATATTGCCGATTTAGTCAGAAATCCGGCATCAATAAATTAGTGTTGCATTTTTGCAACATGCCGTATTCCGGCAACAGCCTTGGCTATTGCAGGGATGGGCGGCTAGTCCGGCTCATATAAGACCGGAGTGAGTTGGAAGTGTTTGAACCTTCGCGTCCTCACTTTTGTCTAATGTTGGTAACGCATCTGAAACCCGTCAGGCGTTGTACATGTCCATGGGCTCAGTCGAAAGTTCCAAGGTAACAAACAAAAAAAAAAATACAGTCAAATTAAGAATCTCTTTTTTTAAATCGGTTGAAAAAACGATTTATTGCCTTTTCAGCGGCGCGACCTCGGTCGAATATCTACTTCAAGCGGCCCTTCGAAACTTCTCTGGCGTTTATAAATAACATTATTTGAATAACCAGCCGTGAAGGGGTCAAAGTTCAATCGCAAACGTTTCACGTAATACATCTGCGTCTGCTGTCGCAGTTGGTAAACCGTTGGCTGGGAGTCGTGGGTTCGATGCCCACACGGGACAGGTGTTTGCGTGGTCCACAGACAATTGTTTCCGATTGTTCGCAATTTTCAAAAGGCTGTCAAGGCATCTGCAACCCTCGGGTGTAGCAGATGTCCATGGGCGGTATTCACTTAACATCAGGTGAACTGCCTACTCGCTTGGCAACATTTCACATAAAAAAAGGTTTGACGTCAAGCTAGCGGCCGGACATGATTTACGAATTGCCGACCCCATCTAGATGGGCGGGGGGGATGGAAGAACTAAAGAGAATATGTCGAGGAAGTAGAAAAGGACTCCTTTGTACAGAGGGTATTAAGGCACAGGCACACACGACTCCATTACGGATTGGCGGACTTCACATATCTTCGAAATATTTCTTATTTGTACTGATTTGCACAGATCTGAGCTTGCTCTAGTATAACTAAATGAAAGCGAGCGCGCGGACAATGGAGTTATTTATTTATTTAGTTATTAGGGAGTACACTGGAGAATGAGATTTGGAGTATGTGTCTATTTTATATATATAATTCTTCTGTACGTGTGTGTGTCACTGAAGTCCTCCTCAACAGCTGGACCGATTTTAATGATTTTTTTTTGTGTGTCTTCAAGTCGACTTGAGAATGATTTAGATGCACAATTCGGGACGCCACAACTCTTTTATTTTTTTAAATTGTCGGATTTAATTCGTGTGTACAGTTGTCCCGTCTGTCGGGTCCGCTAGTACTATATATGCATATAAAATTCTCGTGTCACGATGTTAGTTGCCATACTCCTCCGAAACGGCTTGATCGATTTAGGAGTAGGTCTGAGAATCGGTCCCTAGTCTATTTTTCATACTCCTAAAGCCCGGTATATATATATGCATTCCTATATTCAACGAACGGCCATTAGTTACATTTTCATTATGAAGTCGTTACAACGAGTCTTTCAAACGTCTGCTCCGGCTAATCTCTGAAACGACTGGGCCGATTTTGATGAGACATTCACTGGCAGATGGCCGATGTGATAAGGAGCAACTTAAACTACATTTATTCTAGAACATTTTATTTATTTCAGATCCCACGCGAAGTCGCGGGCACAGCTGGTACATAAGATAAAATGTCTACTCACATTGGGCGAGTAGCGATGCTGCGTTGTATGCGGCTGAGGAACCAGCGCCGGCGAACGCTCCGATCGGCCCACCGGCTGGCACTGTTGAATGCGTCGCCATCAAGCAAACCATAGAGTTCATCCCATTGTTTCAATCGAACTTTTTAATATTTTTTACTTTTTAATATCGCCGTGCTCACGCGCAGAACCGAGGGCAGAGCCGGATTTAAAGGTCTGGAGGCCTCGGGGCATCATGTTTGTACAAAGTAATGTAGACAGGGGTAAAACGCGAAAAAAATATGAAAGGAAAAGTTGTTTACTAGTCTGAAATTGATTTTTTTCCGAAGTCTCTACTGTCAGAAGAGGGGCCTCTTTTGTGGAGGTTCTGGGGCTGATCGAGGGACACCGGTTTGTTTCGTGGGAGATCCCGGAATCCCTCCAAACGTACAGTAGTTGGCAACCGAGGGGGTTTAGTGGATAAAACCCCACATAACCTTCTCATGGAAAGTGACAGGGTATTTTTTGAAGATTGCCCCCTCGATAAATAAAAAAGTGTTCCGTACCCAAAGGATAAAAGTAGGGTAAGCTGGTAATAAGGCGGGGTATTACCAAGACTCTGCTGTCTGCCTGTGAGTCTGTCACCAGGCTGTATCTCATGTACCGTGATAGTTACAGTTAAAATTTTCACAGATGACGTATTTCTGTTGCCAGAATAAAAAATATTTAAGTATATTTATGGGAGCCCCCCCATACAACAGACTTGATTTGTTCCCCGTTTTCATAGATAATAGTACGGAACCGTATATACATAATAGGCGGCGGTATACACATAACACAGAAAATCATACTGTTAAAAAGAAATCGTATCCACTTTTGAATGGGTTGTATCATAATTTTTTGATCCGAAGCCTTCCTTAGACTAAATGTTTTTTTTTTTGTTTTGCTTTATTATTATTTAGTATTTAATATAAATAACACTGATTGTAAAACCTATAGAAACATAAATAAATGAACTCAACATACTTTTCTAAATGTAAACAATTGTTTCGCAGTATTATTATTATTATTATTATATGCTTTATTGAACACCATAAATATATAAAAGTATTAGTAAAAATCTGTTCGCATAAACGTATTGTATAATCCAAATCTTCGATTCGATTCAGCTGCAACGCAGATTTGTCATCGTATCGACTGAAATAGTGAAAATTTTTCGCGAAAACGCCAGTGCGGGATAAATATTCCCATAAATCGAGCAACTACTGCATTAAAGATGTTCCTTCGGCGAATCGAAATGATTACGACGAGACGGGGCGAGGCTAATGCATGCACAATTTAAAAACGGACCATATTGATGCCTCCGTGGCGCAGTTCTCAAGGTACTTATTGGCTTCGGCGTCGATCATCGTGGGTTCGATTCCCACACGGGACAACTATTTGTGTGACCCACAGATAGTTGTTTCGCACCTGGGTGTTCGTCGATGTGAAATTTGTTTGTAAAACGTCCTTACAACACAGGATAATGTTATCCATAAGTAAGGGCGATGTTTTTAAAAAAAATATAGGAATCTGGTGACACTATAAACATATATACCATCATCATCATAATTTCAGCCTGTTTGAATCTACCGCCGATCATAGGCCTCCCCCACAGACTGCTACGATGTACAATCGTGAGCCACCTGCATCCATCGACTTCCCGCACACTTGCGTAGGTCGTCGCTCCATCTAGTGGGGGGGTCGTCCCACACTGCGATGGCCGGTACGAAGCTGCCACTCGAGAACCTTTTTTCCCCATCGGTTATCGGTTCTACGAGCTACATGGCCGGCCCATCCCCACTTCAGCTTGCTAATCTTCCGAGCTATGTCGGTTACCTTTGTTCTACTGCGGATGTCTCCGTTGCAAACATAATGTTGAAATGAATTTAAAATTGCCTTCACTTATACCTAGTGTCAAAATTGTATGACAGATTAACCTTATTTTTCAACCTGCTATACAGTCTGTGGTTACTTCCGCTTCCTTATTGTTTGTCTCAAGTTGCATCCGTGTGTTGTGTATCAAATTGATAAAACTTAAATCCTAAATAATCAGTTTCAATTACAACACATAAGTATAAAACAAATTAATGAATGATGATCAACAAAGGCTAAATTTGCTCACCGACTCCTCGTCCTAAGCCCATGGGGAAGGGCTTCTTGAGGGAGCTCGCCTGGATCTTGATCGGTTTGCTGTTCGACGCCTGTCCAAAGGCCAACCCAGACGGGGCTGAAATAGAAAAGAACAAATATTCGACCTTGTCCTTGACTCGATGTCTCTAACGTCGCCGCCGCTGTGGTTTAAGAAAGGGAACTAACCGATGTCTAAAGACTTTTTAGATTAGCATATATTTGGAACGGAAGCAGATATCGATTCGGAATAGGCGTATCGTCACACTGAGCCCCAAAACAGCATCCATTAGGGGCCATCCATTAATCGCGTGATGTTTTTTTTAGTATTTTTTAACTCCCTCCTGCCCCTTGGTGATACGTGGTGAGGTTTAAAGCTTAACCCAAAGTCACGTGTATTTTTTTTTAGAATATTATCTTTTAGCCAAAATAAAATTTAGAAAACATTTTAAAAAGCATTCGACGAAAAAAAAATACGCGTGATATCTTACTACACCCCCTCCCCCCTTGTGTTATTCCGTGATTTTTGATAATTCCCCCCCTTTCGACACTCAGGCGATTAATGGGCGGCCCCTCATGTGTCTAAAAGGTGTGCATCTCCCATCTCTTAGGCACACAATGAAGATCGATAAACCAACACACCATACGAGGGTCTGATCATCATAAAAGCAAGCTTTGTTCTGATTAACTCATTATTAGGCTGATCGGTTTCAATGTTCATCGAAAACAGTAAGCACCAGTCTTTACTAAAGTATATGATGGACTGTCATCTACGTCACCACTGAGCTGGTCTTTCCAGTTTGCAGTTTTCACGGTCAGTGAACGGTTACAACGTAACTGCAGCCCAACATAGTATGTAACGGATGTCCGTCAATAAACATAAGATCCGCCTTTCCAAATAATGTCGTTTTAAAATAAGATTAACTCTGGTAAAAAATGAGCTCCAATATTCTTGTATCGTCCAGGACATTTGCTAAAACAGCATTCTCGTTTTCGTAACAGATAATTTCTTCAAATGTTATGTTAAAGAAAGGGCAATATGTCCAAACTCACCAGCCAATGGGTTCGTGGTGGGCCGAACGGTGATCGTCTGCGGCGGAGGGGCCTTCGTCTTGACGCCCATACGAGCGGCTGCCGCCAGGGTTTTCCCGCCACCTGGGCAAGGTGAACGAATAACGGGGTAACTTTTAAACAGATAACAATAAACCGATTATATCCGGCCGAGATCCTTGTGGTGTGCGCTAGACTTCGTTCAGAAAATTTGACAGCCGCAAAACATCGCCACTATACCCAAGAAACAAACCTAACATTTTAATTAACAGAAACCTACCTCGAGGAGCTCACTCACTGCACACTTCCTTTTTTGATTATGAGGAGTTCCCAGGTGTATCTGCGATATCAAGGACAAATGACAATGAAATCAAAACGGGACCCTTTCTGTCACTGTCTTCTTTAGAACAGAATAATAAATTTCGAAATTGGTTTTTATGAGAGGGTGGAGCTAACAAATATACTTTTCATTATATTTGTTACCTCCGAACTCTCAATCACACAAGAACATCTAATATATAGCGTGTCGTTACCATCGCGACAATAAATGAACACAAATAGGGGATAACTTTTTAAAGTTGTATTAAACATTCACATTCTTTAAACATCAATATTTACAGAGTTATAAAATTTTCCAAAACAAAGAAATTTAGAACACCTTACCTATAAAAGCGTAACGTAAAGTTCATTTGTAAAGGTCACAAAGCATATGAATGGGTTGAATGAATTTAAAAGAGACAAAACAAACTGTTAGAAGGAGAGGCTTGTAATACGACGCTGTGGCGCGCGTTGCATAGGATGTTACAAATTTTGTTTCTTTTTTACTTAATTAGTTTGAAAAATATTTTTTTTTAATTATGGATTTTGTTTAACGTTAATATTTTTTTATGATTATTGGCAAGTAGCGTTAGACGTGTGGTTATTTATTGTCGCGATGGTAACGACACGCTGTATATAGTAGATAATAATAGATATATCAGTATCTATTATATTTCGTTTTAAATGTACCAAATAAATGTTTCTTTCTTTCTTACCTATTTCTTTCTACAGTATAAAAAGTTGACAAAGCTCTTTAATTATTATTAGACTGAGGTGCTTTACGATCTATGTATATCTTAGTTAACCAGAGCTCGCTGAAGCTCCTTAATTATTTCTTCCGATCAACGCAGTGCGAGCTAACAGTATCTTGAAGTTCTCAGTCACCAGACGAAACAAAACGAAATTTACGCCGGTTTTCTGTGAGGTCGTGGTATTTACCCGAACGTACCTGCCCATTCGTGCAACAGTGAACACTGATGCGTGGTCCTACCACAGAACTTCTTGATTAAATGAAAATAGTTTAAGGATTTTATCGCGTTTTAATTTTGTTTCTAAAATTCCCGACGTTTCGAACGGGACAGAGTCTGGCCCGTGACCATGCAAGCTGGAAAGAGTTCAAAACGTCGGGAATATCAAAACCAAAATTATAACGCGATGTTGGTTTCATTTAATAGGAGAGGATACTGTTATTCTACAGTAAAGGGGCAATGTTTTCGAAAATTCTTCAATGTTCTGCAATAGATCTTTTAGATCGCAATTCGCAGTGGTCTTTGGGACTTACTATCCAACCCCTTCCACACAAAATCCAAATGGGTGGCGGTGATCACTTTACACAAGTCAGTTCGGAAGTCTAACCTTCACCACTTCTTGCATTAAAAAAAATCAACAGATGCTTGATTCTTCAAATACCTTTAAACAAGCTTAAATTGAATAGAATATTTGTACGGAGTTTGCCTTAGATAAACTGCAATCGAATTATAAACGCGAAATCTCAAAGATTTCAATTTATGATTGGCCGCCATGGGTTATGGACTTTACAGGTTTAGTTCAATTTCCATAGGCAGGTGGCCAACGAGCCACCGGTTTCTACGTCTGATATATATCGCCTCTCGAAAGCCCTGACCTCTAGCAGACATACAATACGACACGTGGCCATGTCAGTGCACAACTGGTCAAATTTAAATTTATAATCGGCATCGATATTCATGAATAAAACCGTCGATGTCGACGGTTTTATTCATGAATTTTTACACTCGGTGCATTCGCGCCCTCCAGCCGTTGCTGAATTTGGCATCTTAAAAACGAAAAAAAGATATGTGCACCCGCCTCATATGGCATACAATTGCAACACCCGTAGGGTTGCAGTCGCTTTGCCAAATTTTAATAAGGCCCTGGCTACCTCACTCGACAGACGAAATGCACAAGTATGATATAAAGTTGTGAGGTTGTGGTACTTACCCGGATGGACCTGCCCATTTGTGCAACAGTCGAAGCTTTTGCGTGGCCGTTATTATAATGCAATCAACATAATAAATTCGTTAGATCCTAAACTTTAGGCTTTTGAGACTTTAGTTTCGGCGGAAAGGCTATAGAATACAATGACTGAAAAGTGATTTTCACTTTGCACTTTTATCTTGTATTCTGAACCAGAAGAGGGTAATTAGTTGGTCAAAAATATGTTGAATAGGGATTCTCACATTTGCAACGTATTGAGTGTACGATAAAGAAAAAAATAAAAAAATCAAACATTGATGCCTTCAATTTTAAGTTCAACAAATTATGATTAAAAGTATTACATATTTACAAATTAGTTGAAACATTTATAGGCTTGTAATACTAAACATATAGTTTATAATTGACAAATATTTTGACCTTAAATTTAATGATAAAACTTATTTCCCCTAAAGTCTCTAGAACTCATAGAGGCTGAATTGGTATGACATCATTGATAACATTAACACAAGCAGTTTTGATAATAAAAGGGTAAATTCCAAATGCTAGTAATATCTTACATTTTTAAAATTTCCAAATATATATATACATAATTATTGTTGTTTTCTATCATCTGTTATGTTACAACATAAAAATTAAATGAATAATTAAATGAATAGATAATATAAAAAAAAAATAAAAAAAGTTTTATTTTAAGGCAATATGAACTTTTAATCTGAACGTTTAACCTGTCTTGAGCACTATTCATTGTCTTAGGCCAATAGCTTAGGAACGACGCCACAAGTTATTATATACACCAAACAACACCCAATATTTTTGTTATTAACTTTAATATGTTTTTCCTTTGCTACTTGCTCAAGGGAGTTAATAATGCAAAGAATAAATTTCTTAAATTTTATGAAACATAATTTTACATTTTATTGCTAAATCCTATTAAGTGTATTCTGTATCATGATTTTAATCTGAACATTAAGTCTAAAAAATTATAAATTATATAAACAAAAGAAATGACATATTTTTACTTGTTAATTTCTTCATACTATAAAGTTTTACTGAATTTTATTGTTAGTATTGTACTACGTATGCATTAATTCTTTAAAACTAAACCATGAAAATAAATAAAGATGTAATAATTATTAAACATAAAAAAAATAATGTGACATAACATAATAATTATCAAAATCAATTTAATTTCAAAATAAATATTACATGTTTTAAATTGACTATTAATATTTAATAGTCAATTGAGCATTAGTTTGAATAAACTACAAGATCATAAATGTCCTACAAAATTAGGTTTAATTGACAAAAATGCATAATTTTATTGAATGAAAGAACAACAAAAACAAACCCAACTAAATAAAAAATCTATTCCTATATTTTATTTTTCTATGCGACTCCCGTAACTAAATCTGTTGACACCTCATATGTTGAAATCCATCAAAGGTTTAAAGGTTAACCAGATTTCTTTCTTCTGCAGCTGTGTTAGCAACTTTTCTTTTTAGACTTTTTCAATCACTTAGGAACATAATACTAATTGATACCTGTCTAAAAGACCATAAACGGAATATTGAAAGACCAAAAGCTCATTTTCTTCTTACTTAATGTCTGCTAAGTTAATTTGAAAAAAAAAAAAACAAAATTACAGCCGCTGTGAAGGAAGACCAACCTAAGTATGAAAATATTAACAATCAAAAATTCCAAAAAACATACCTGGTACTTCCAAATTGTCTGGGTCCTCGTCATCATCAAAATCAGAGTCATCAGATGGCGTGGGTGGGTTATCTTCATCATCACCATAGGCTGCACGTTTTGACTAAAAAGTACAGTGGAGTCAACAATCAAATAAAAAAATTTTGTCTACGTTTCGCGTGTAAGTAAAAAGAAACGAAAATTGAAATTTTACTTAAGGCGCAGAAAAAAAAAATGTTCACACAACATTTCATCAGTTGCAAAGTTTTCAAATTTATTGATGTAATTATATAACTGATAAGAAATCTATTAAAATCGCGAGTTTACGAGCCATGAAAATCTCCGAGGCGGTTTAATGCTCAACAATATTTCACGTACTTTCAAACTCATATTGCACCAACAATTTAAGAGGAATCACGATGTTATAATTATCTTCATACGTTAATTATGATTTAAACCTTAGAAAATCAATTGCTTTCTCAATACTTTAACGGTGATTGCGATATAATTAACAAAACACGAGAAACGCACCGCATTGCACTAGTGTGCTCTGCATACACTTAGTGCAGTTATTAGGATGTATCTTAAGACTACACCTAGAACCTTCTAAGAAAATCAATACAGCCACACCCTACTTGCATAATTAACAACTGTATAACATAAAAGCTTTCAGAATTGTAGCCAAAAATTCATGCCAGTTATCACATGTGAGAATGCGATCAGCTCATGACAGTTTTTTTTGGTTAGAAAACTTGAAAACAAAGGAAAAAATGCTGAAAAATAAGAATTTTATGAAACTTTTTATAAAAGCGCACTCATTTGTATTTATTCTGCACTGAATTTTGAGAAAATACTGTGACAATCCGCCGAAAACACTGTGTTCAACAAAGTAAAGTTTGTAAAAAAGTATCAAAACAAAAAACTATCATTACCATTTTTAAGCCTGAACAAACAGTTTTTGTGGCTTTAAACTAATAATTCAGTATTCAATTTACGTAAACAACAGCAAACGTTATGTTACCATTACACACACGTATATATTGCGTAAAATTCTTAAATAATGTTTTGGAAAAATTAAGACAGCCCGACGGCGGTCAATGCTTCCGCCATATTAAAAATAATGTAATACTCAAGAACTTAATTTACCAAAGAGAAAAGAATGCACGTTTTACGTTCGGATAATACTATCAATATAGTTTTTGTACATATACATAATACCTTTAAAAACATCACAAGAATTTTTAAACTAGGAAATCTCATTAATTCGTTTTCATGTGGACATTTCATTTTTTTTAAATCTAGACTTGATCAATTTATTTCATGGTTTTGACAAGTATCCGAATGGTAGATCTCGGCCATGTCCAATGGTCTTTTTTATTTACTGTATAAATAATGTTATCTCCTCGTAAAACCTGTTAGTGTCAGGTGAATTTGTCAGAAAGTGGCAGATTGCGGTAAAACCTTAGAAGAGTAAGGCACAATAAATCTACCAATAATCATCTGTCAAATGGCTTCAATTAGCGTTTTCATAATGTCTTCATAATGATTGATATTCCGTATTTTGAAACCGGGCGTCCTGGTAAATTAGCGTTTTCATGTCTAAATTTAGTATTTTTCCTGGTAATTTAGCATTAATAAATTATTTTTTAGCAATATTTTAAACATTTTACCAGTGCAACGCAGTATCAAGCGTTTTATTTTTTTATTTACTCGAGCCTGACAAATAAACAATTTCCGAACACAAACAAATGTGCAGTCCTTAACGCTATCGTTGAGGCAGGGGAATCCCGCCAAAAGTTGTTAATTCAGAGAATTTAATAAAGATGCAACAGGAATTGATAAACTTACATCAAAGTGACGAAAAATTGTTTTTATATCATGGCAGTGTACTTCCATTGTGAAATGTTGTTGTGAAGTTCTGATTGCAAGAAAATGACTGAATTTGCAGAAATGTTATTAACAATACCACATTAAAATGCTGTAAAATGTAAGGGGCCCATTCACTATCCGGCCTGGAAGTCCGCCGTGCCATCCACCGCTTTATGCAGGATTGTGAATTGTGTCGCAGCCTGCACGGTGTCCGGCAACACCAAGAAGGATGCGCCTTTCATCCTGCAAGCGATCAGCAAGCTCCGCCCACCCACCGCTTGCAGTCCGCCGCGCAGGAGTGTCAGTGGCACAGAGTACTTGTATATATTGGTATACTTGTAGACATCTGATCGGTGGTTTCTCTGATGTCTTTGTGTAATAGCAGTGTTACCATATGAAGAAAAAAGGGTGCACTAAGCCCTTATCAAAATTAATCAAGTAAATTCAAACTCTCCGATCATTATAATGTCATCGATCATTATATCCGACCGCAAATTTATATCCGATCATCAGCTACTCTTTTATTATTTTTATCTAATAACAAAATAAAAAAAAACAGCAGAATTTCAATTTTCCTTTTTTTTCCGAAATATTACAAAAATACCTAATTACAAGAACACCGACACTATTGAGAAACGAAACAGTACTGATGATGGACGGCTAAGAACAATGTGTGAACTACATCCTGCTTCGAAGTCCTGCACGGCGGACTGCCAGGTAGAATAGTGAATGGGCCTCTTTTATTTTCAAACACAGTTGGAATTTTAAAAAAACGTTATGAAATATATGCGCGTTGACCATTTTTAGATTTTTTATCTAGTAGTAGATAAAGATTATAGAAAATTTATCTAAGCCTTTCCTAACTGTACTGTGTGTAGTCAAAACATTTTATTTAGTTAAATTGTCTTTCTTTCTGTATTGGCATATTTTTAGCAATCATCGCAAAGAACGATCAAATTTTATTGGAGCTAACCCTGACTTTTATTTTCGGTGTCCAGAACTTAACTATAACGAAATTTGAATAATTTTACATCTTAAATACTATCCTGTTCGAAAATAATATTATAGTTACACTATTTTAGTAACAGAAAAATTACGTTCGAGCATTTTTTCAAAAGCATAAAAAATATTTTTAGAGCTGGCAGCATTGTCACGAATCCGCCTCCGCCATATTGGTTAAATTGTCATGTTAAAGTCAGCACTGAAATAATTTTGCTTGTTGCTTCGATTTTCATGCAGATTGAACGTAAAAATAAACGTACTTTTTATTAATGTTGAAGATTTAATTAAGGCTGCGATGGATTCTCTTGTTGGTTATGGAAGTGACGATGACAACGAGACCGAGCGATTCAGCCATCACAGTTCGGTGAGTAATCACGGCCTTGAATTTATTATGATTTACTTAAAATTATATTTGTACGACATATTTAGAAAATTGTATGGAACATTCTGTACTTTATGCCGAAGTGCAAATTTGTGCGTCAGTTAGATTCAGTTCAAAATTTTGGTAATTTTGATTTACCACAATGTATCTACATTGTAGTCAAATATTTGTTTTAATTACACACACGTTCCCGATATCCAATTAAGATAATTGTTTCCAATAGCGGCAAGAGCGTTTTCTATTTAGTGTTAGATAACTTTTGTAATGTTTAATCAATAACGAAGCTACAATTTTGAGGTATGCTATTCATCATCAAGTTTTTAAACAAGATTACAACAGTTATCTGGTCAAATTTTATGTCGCAAACGTTGGACGTTTTGCTGGTAAGATTGGTAGTTGCTGGGTAATAGTAGTCACCTCCTAAATTACACACCTTGACTTTGGCTCAAATCTAATATAACTAATGTATGACTCTCAAGCATTGATACTTATGGAGCAATTTGTTGTATTCTAAAAAAGCCCTAGGAGCTTTTAAAATGTGTGAAATATCCAGGGTTAGTTATGGAAGCTAGAAAGTTATGAGTGCCATAGTTTGAAAACCCAGCTTTATGCCATGAATGCTCATAGCATAATCATAGCTGTCAAATTTTTAAGTTACTTTTGTAGACACTTCAATAATTTGTACATTTGTTTTTTAATTTAAAATATAGCATTATTGAATTTATGAAATACACATAATTTCATTGCAGTACATTAATAATTGTAGTGCACAAAATATGAGGCAGAAAGTGCCATATCATATGGAATCAAATTAATTTCTATTAGCATTGTCTGTAGAAAGTTTTCTAAGTTAAGATCCTAAGTTGATGCAAAATCAATTTATGTGGCTATCTATAAATGTAAATGTTTTTTACATAATATTTCTCATGTTTTAGATGTAAGAATGAATTTACCCAGATTGGGAACAAATGTTGGTCACACAAATACTTGCCCCAGATGGGAACAAAACACAAACTGCTGTACTGTAGTCTATTGCTTAGCTCCTGAGCCTACTTAGTCATCAAAATATTTGTTAATTGCATTGATTTAAATCTGTAATTTATCACTGAATTAGGTGTAACATAGCATACCTTATTTATGAGGGTTATTATATATTCATGATTAATATATAATAAATATACAATGGTATTTACGGAAATGTATCCTCTTATACAGCGTGTCGTTACCATCGCGACAATAAATGAACACACGTCTAACACTTCTTGCCAATAATCATAAAAAAATATTAACGTTAAACAAAATCCATAATTAAAAAAAATATATTTTTCAAACAAACTAATTAAGTAAAAAAGAAACAAAATTTGTAACATCCTATACAACTCGCGCCACAGTGTCGTATTACAAGCCTCTCCTTCTAACACTATGTTTTGTCTCTTTTAAATTCATTCAACCCATTCATATGCTTTGTGACCTTTACAAATGAACTTTAGTTACGCTTTTATAGGTGAGGGTGTTCTAAAATTCTTTGTTTTGGAAAATTTAATAACTCTGTAAATATTGATGTTTAAAGAATTTAAATGTTTAATACAACTTTAAAAAGTTATCCCCTATATGTGTGTTCATTTATTGTCGCGATGGTAACGACACGCTGTATACTTATTACAATTATACATACATTTCTTAAGTGTTCTTTTATTCTTTGATATTAATTAACACAATTCTCTGCTTGACAATAGACTGATATTCTAGGTGGGTCAAGGTACGTGGAGTCATGGTGGAAGTCGACGACGCGACGACGACACCAACTACGACGATGTTAACATGGACCTCAGTGAGGTAATTATTATTTGATAACTATGTATTCCGCTCTTTTGCCTGAACTTATGCCTATATACTTACAATTTAGCAGTTAAACACTTGCTTAGGTAATGTCCCAGGTTGTAATAGAATTGCACTTAACTTGTAATCAAGATATATAACAAATATTTAATTAATCTTCAATGTACATGATTTGTGTGCAATTGTCTAAAAGGTTTCTCTCAAAGTAATATTAAAATTAATTGAAAGAAAAACTTCAAAAGCAAAATGTGTTTAATCATCTAAGTTTTTCATCATAATTTTAACATTGCAAATACAGGAGACTTAAATTAATTTGCGAATAATTAAGATGATACAAAATGAAGATGAATGTATCGAACATTGCCTAGATAACCTATTCGTTGTGCCCTTTTCAACGATGATATTAACACTTTTATTATGTTATATGTTACCCCTTTGTAAATTGACACAAAACAAAAGTCAAATACCCCTCGCGACGTGGCCAAGACGAGCGGCTGTTAGCATCGACCGACTTTGTAGCCCCGACACGTGAGTACATAGCTTTAAGAAAGAATCTATGTGTTGTCGGAAATACATCCAATGCCCTATGATAATAAACATGTCTCCGATGGTTATAAATTTTCAACACTTGAAAGAAACTTTTATCTATAATCATATAATTAGTTGAGCATAACTTTTTTTTATACATATATTTGCTATTTCAAAAATTCCATAATTATCTGCGAAGTAATAAGTGTCACAAAAATACATTGACTTATTTCAAAGTGTGAATTGTATCAGGGAAGTAAATATTAAATATATTTTATATTTGCATCATAAGTTTTTATTAAAATAACTGAGATTTAGAAATTTTTCCATCATTTATTGAATAATTCTTATGTAATGATATTCAACCTTCTCAAAAGTATTCGCCAGCACCAATAACTTAATATGTTTTCTATACTACAGAACGAAATTTATGATGTGGAACCTTACACGATAACGTTTAACTGCTGTGCTTATCAGCGACGTAAATGGATCTCAAACTATTGTACAGTGCCGTATTTCAATTCAATACCCTCAGATGAATATTCAAAAGACCAGTGGAGAAAGGCTTTCTACATATGCCCATACGATTTCAAATTTTTGTCTAGAAACAGGAATAGTTGTTTTAAACGATACCATTATTGGATGATTTTATGTATTACCGCGATTACACATTATTAATGTAACTATTTTTAAATTTTGGTTCCCGACGTCTATTAAACATTTATTTTTTTGCGAGATGACAAGCGAAGCGGCGGTTCATCTGATGTTAAGTGATAAGTACCGATCGAGTTGCAACCATCATTAGCCCCCCCCCCCCCTGTTTTCGCCCCCTTTTTTTTAACGTAAATTTAATTCGACTAAACTTGACCGTTTATTGTTCACGCTGACCTTGTATGGGACCGTATAATTTGGACAATTCTGCATAAAACTATACGGTCTATGCTAACATGATTCGTGATAAACTAGTTATTACGCGGATCCTTAACAAAGCAAAATAGTCGAACTGCTTGCTAATACAAACCTATGGAAAAAACACACAGACCTATGCGCACCATGGAAGTGAAATTAAAAATTTCTCTAATAATTATGGGCTTGTATCGACCTATCGTCGATAGTTACCGGTTACAACTATTTAGTTAATTGTGAACGTTAAAATGTAACCATGGGTAAATTTATTTCTTAATTACTTACGCCCGGTTTCAATGTTCTATCTGTGGATTTGGTTACTGGAGATAGAATTTTGACATATTATGGAGCTAATGTCAAATACGCTAGTAACCAAACCTAGATAGATAGAACTTTGAAACCGCCCGTTATCAGTATTAACGGAGAGAGAGTATGTATCAAATGAAATTAAAATTTTGTTTAAGATCGTAGTAGGGATGTCGAAAAAATATCGATATATTCATATATATTTAATATTTTATTTGGACTAAGGGGTTTCTAGGACCTATATCCGATATTTCTTTTCGATATTGACATTTTTATAAATATCGATACGTCGATATATTTCTTCGCTTTCGACTTCCCTAGACCGAGCACCCGTTCTCCCAGCCCAACGAGTTGTGTGATCTCTAGGAGTATGTGTAAAGGGTGGGCGCCCCGTCGTCTTGCCGCAGGAGTCGGAGCCGGAGCCCGAGCGGCCGCCGGCGGAGCACCCCTTGCGCCGGTGCCCGGAGCGCCCGGAGCGCTTGAAGAGGCCCAGCGCGCAGGAGCGGCCCGAGAACGCGGAGCGCTCCAACTCTGGTACGACATTAAGATGTATTACATTTTTTGTGGAAGGGGTTGGGTGGCAAGTGCCAACGACCACACTGATCTATTTAACTTTTTTTTTAATAATAAATATTTTAGGACAAATTATTACACAACGTTCACTAGTCACAAACTAAGCAACGCTTGTACCTACTATGGGTACTAGAAAACTGATAAACATACTTAAACATACTTTTCTTTTATAAATAAACAAACATTATAAATATATAAACACCCAGACACTAGAAAAACACTATGCACATCACACAATATTTTTCCAGTAGTGGGGATCGAATCCACACCCTCTAGCGCAGGAGGCAGGTACACTACCCACCACGCCATAGGGATCGTCTACTCTTGATCTATTGTAGTCTTCTCTTCGAAAACGTTTCACCCTCACTTAGGTTTACAAAATGTTACGGTCAGAGGTAGCGAAAGCCGCATTGCTTGTTTCCCTGTGGCAGATAAGCGTTTACACAACAATCCCTACTGCACCTCGACCGGGGAAGTACCGCGGCCTCTTAGAAGAAGACGTGAAGTAAATGAATTTATACTTTTGCGTTACGTTTCGTAGTTGGCAACACACACGCAACCTCAACGCCCTCTGTTGAGTCTTGCAACTGTCTCACGTATGGTAACTGCGCAAACTGTTCACCTGATGATATGTAATCATCGCCCATCATGGAAGTCGGAAGACGCACTTCTCCATAAGAGAGAGAGGCACTTCTCCATAAGGGGACTGCCCATCGTAAAACGACGAAAACCATCGTAAAAAATGTTGATCATTATCTGTCTCTGTCTGCCCCGCTGTATTAACGCGCGGGAGGGAGAAGACCGTATCGTAACCCGTTGCGTTGAACGAAACAGACGACAGCCGCGAGCGCAACCGCGACCGAGACCGAGACCACGAGCGCAGAGACCGGCGGCGCGAGTCCCCGCCCCGGTCGCGACCGGACCGCGATCGCGGAGACCGAGGCGACCGGGAGAAGGAGCGTCGCTCGCCGCGCAGAGACAGGGACGATCGCAACAGCAGGTGAGTCTTTAGTAGTTTAACTGTGGAAGTTGTTGAGTTGTACAAGTGTAACGCTAGGTTTCTTAAACACTGATCATTGTAGAAGTCAACTTATCAGCTGTCAAATAGCTTTTCAAATGTTGAGTTGCCAAAAAGATTGTTAAACTCTTTGGATTGATCATCCTGATTATTAAGAAGATCATTCTGATTCTTACTTTACTCTTAAAATTGTGTAGGAACGACAGATCGGAACGCAGCCGCGGGTCCACTGAGGGTACAACAACCCGTCGCGGTCTACTGGGCGATAGGCCCGAAGAGAGGAGCAACGATGTCAAGGTGGGTTACTACAGCCACGTTATTATAGCAGAAGATGGTAAACAGGCTGCATGATGACTCCGTGGCTTAGTTGCCAAGGTATTGACTTCGGCGTTGGGGGTCGTGGAGTTGGAATCCCACATGGGACAACGATTTGTGTGACCCACAGATTGTTGTTTCGAATCTGGGTGTTTGTCCACGTGAAATGTATGTTTGTAAAACGTCATTACAACACAGGATAACCTTATCCTAAAGTAAGGGCAATGCTTAAAAAAAAAATAAAAGCACGAAAACATCAGAAGGGTGCACATATGGCACCAGAATTTGTCACCCTGATCACTTACCCTTTGCCTACATTTCCAAAAAAGAAAAAAAAAGAGTAAAGTTAAAATAAATTACCACATAAACACTCATTTTACAATGACGATCACTTGTTATATCATAGTTATGACGAGGAATGGTTATTATTGTAAGTTTTTATAGTGGTAGTAATCAGTAAGTTATGCCCTGCAGCAAGTTCCCGCGCTAATGGACCTTAAACCTTTCGGGGGAGAACCGCCACCGGGATATGGGAGGTCTCAAGACGCCCGTGATGCCGTATCGCCCAGGTAATGTCCCATTCATAAAGAGGCAGACATGAGTGAACTGAATTAACCAGTTTGACACATCTGATATTGAATGAACATCTTTCTCCAGAATAAGAAACAATGTGCCCGCTCTAATGTTACACATAAATAATTAATATTAAAATTCCGTCAACGGAATTCCATCAAAAAACGGGAGTCAAATTGATACCTTGAGTTTGAAGCGTTGCAGAACTTTATTTCTGAAATCCACTCAGAAGCAACCTGCGTGTGGTTGGCGATTCTACTACCGCTTGATAAATATGTACCCTATACCTAAAAGTTTATGTTCACATAACAATTGTGGATGGAAGTAGTGCTAGGTGACACACTTCCAAGTCGTAGGTTCAGTTTCAGCTTGCGTTTTGTATTCCCTTTTTCGGCTATTATTTGCGTTTTTTAATCGTTTACATCAATGGATTACTTTACCTTACAGAAATAGAAGTATTTTTTAATAAGAAGTGAATCAATAAAGTTATTATTATTATTAAAAATAATTAGAGAACATTGTGAATCTCCTAAGATGATTGTTCTAAAAAACATAGCCAATATCACTTAGGACATGAACCACATGTTGTGCTGACCCCGCCTACTTGGGATAAGGGCAGGAGTATGATGAGAAAAAGTTAATTAATACATTTAACAGTTAACTCGCTTGGTTTCAGATTTGTGGAGCGAGAGCGTCGCGACCGGGACAAGGACCGGGAGCGCGATAGGGAGAGGCACAGCCGGCGCTCAGAGGAACGAAGGTGGGGCTCTGAGCATTGCTCAGTTTGTTTTTAATTCTATATCAGATGGGGTGGATAAATGTGGATGTTGCATGTGTAGATTCCACCAGTTAACTCTCTGTGTGTGTGTGTGTGTGTGTGTGTGTGTGTGTGTGTGTGTGTGTGTGTGTGTGTGTGTGTGTGTGTGTGTGTGTGTGTGCGCGCGTGTGTGTGCGCGTGTGTGCGCGTGGTCATGTGAGAGTTTGGTTTGTAATAATCTACATTTAAAAGTAAAAAGTAAAGTAACAGCCTATACATGTCCCACTGCTGGGCAAAGGCCTCCTCTATAAAAATATGCAGGTTTCCTCACGATGTTGTCCTTCACCGCGGAGCACGTGATAAGTCAGCACTTAAAGTTAAAAACTTCATTGGTGCCGGCACCGGGGATCGAACTTAGGTTGCTCGAGTATATTAAATTAAAGGCGAGCGCCCGGACACTGAGCTATCACGGCTCAATCTACATTTGCCATCAGAGAATTGGGATGACTATTAGCTCTCTAGAAGAACCACTTTTTTTTAATATTACCCTTACTTTAGAATATCGTTATCCTGTTTTGTAAGGACGTTTTACGAACATAAATTTGACCCGGACAAACACTCAGATCCGAAATAACTATCTGTGTATCACACAAATAGTTGTTCCTTGTGGGGATTGAACCTACGACCCTCGACGCCGAGGCCAATACCTTGGCAACTGCGCCATGGTGTCATGAAATTTATATTTTTCTTAGGTGTATTGTATGTAGGCTTTATGCGACAAGAGTTTACGTCTCGAGACCGTTTTCAGTCCTAGGTCTAGGATATGTTTATAAATCTAGATTTATAAGCCGCTAAGAATATCGGACAAAGTTATTATGTATCGTTTATTTGTTGGCAGATCATCCAGCAGTCGCCACAGAGAGCACAGGTCCAGATCTCGTGGTGCCGCTTACCCGCCACCCCAATCGCAACCATCAAGGTACCAAATACAATATCATCTACTTGCACTATTCCAAGTGAAAAAGTTGTAATGTGATCCATTTAAGAAAAGTGATCCGCGTAAATATTAAAATATGAAACTAGCTTAAACTACCAGTGCCATTCTCAAATTAGTACGTTGCCCAACCGGATCCTCATGGTAGAGATAATGTTGAGTAATTCGGAAACATTACTGTCACCAGTTCAAACGAGAGACGCGGCTCGCCCTCGTCTAATGACTACAGGCCCTCGTCATATAAAGTCAACAAGAAGTTGGAGGTTATGGAGAAAATGGGTATGTAGATTATACTGTAAAATTAAATAATATGTAGATGTATATAATACCACAGTCCGAGATATCTCTTGATGTCCTTAAGTTAAGGTGTAGTTTTATTTGTATAACAATAAAACAATTGATCTGTTAAAGAAAATATACATATTGCTTTTGCTTCTTTGTCAGTTTGTTGAGAACTGAAGCACGCAGTCAGTTTGTTGCGAGACTGAGGCACACATATATTTTTATTTGTTTAATGTGAAAAGTTGCTAAACGAGCAGACGGTTCACCTGATGGTGAGTGAATACCGCCGCCCATGGACATCTGTTACACCCAAGGGCTACAGATGCGTTGACAACCTTTTGAATATTGGGCTCCGGCTACCTCACTCACCAGACGAAACGCGAAAGTATTTATCATACTTCCACTTTATGCTGGTCTTCTGAGAGGTCGTGGTATTTACCCGTACGGGCCTGCCCGTTCGTGCAACAGCCGATGCTGCTGCGTGGCCCTACCACCGTAAAAATAACGTCAATTGGTATAATTATATTGCAATTCTCTTTCCGTATCATACGTTCATATGATCATCATCTGCCACATTCACTTATATATGTCATATAATGTAAAGTAGAATAATTTTTTAAACGCCGCTCAGTATGAAATGTGCCATCTTTATTGGATAAATCATTCTATGTGCAGGTCTACAGATCAAGACGCCAGATGGTTCTATGGCGACCGCTCAGCAACTACGCGCGGCTGCTAGCGAGACCCCGGCTAATAGCGGTCTGCCTGCTTATTTCAATCCGGGCTCTCTCAGTACAAACAAAATTATGGATCAGGTATGTGGCGACATACTCCTACCACTGGTTAAACTGCCAACACAAGTGTTTTGTCCCGTGACCATGAATGCTGTAAGGTGTTACGTTGATGAGTAAAAATATAAATACTTCACTATTTATTTTTCTATTTTTACTTTATATTAATTTTAATACTGCAAAATAATTTTAGCAATGTTCATATTTGTTTTGAAAAGATAATGATATCAATTATGATTTGATGAACCGGTGGACTTAACAAGTTGAAATTTACACCAGATACTGAGGTTGTTATTTCTGTGTTATAACATTGTTCCTAATTGCATGTTTTCTTTTATTTTTTTCAAGGTTCAAAAACGCAAACTGTTGTGGTCAAACAAGAACAAGTCTGAGGCGGAGGAGGCCGCAAAGTGGAGTGGCACGCGCTTCGCGCAGGACTCCGACGGGAAACAAGTGTCCAAATTCATGAGGCTTATGGGTATTAAAGAACCAGGTATATAAGTTCGTTAATTTGCTTACTAAGTGTTACCCTTTTAATCTTAGCTTTACACTAATTGGAAATCAGGGAGTTGCCTCACTGCCGCAGTGGAAGGCGTGAAATAGAAGTGTTATACTTCCAATTCACGCCGGTTTTCCGTGAGCTTGTGGTACAGTTAATTATGGGGCTTGTTTCCTTTTTTTATGATATATCACTACTTAATATAAAGCAAAGTCATCCTGCTGTCTGTATGTCCCTATGAATGCTTAGATCCTTAAAACTACGCAACGGATCTTGATGCGGTTTTTTTAATAGATAGAGTGATTCAAGTGGAAGGTTTATATGTATAATATACATGGACATTGTACCCGAAACCGGGGCGGGTCGCTAGTAATGACTAAATTATAGTTTATTGCCAGTTTGTTAATCTGAAATTTTTTGTTACAGCCGCGATCAAGCCCACAGCGCCCGACGCCACTGCGGACCCCAACAAGAAACAGGAGGAGCTGTTCCAGGCGATGCAGGCGCAGTACGAAGTGGCGAGGGCGACTACGCACACGATGCGCGGCGTGGGGTTAGGCTTCCAGCGGGGCCAATTCTAACGATGCCCGTTCTGGGCCCTATGATGGCGGAATAATAGAATTCACATTCAAACCGTCGCTTCATTTCGTTCACCACTGGCTTCCAGGGGCGAAATCAAATTCGGGAGCTTCTTGCGTGACCTTGATGTGAAACCGCGGTGTTAATGAATGTTCTGAATGGATATTTCGAGCGGTCTGAATTGTTATTGGAGATGAGTGGAACTAGTTTTTGTTAATTATTTCTGCGTAGAAATGTGATTGTTTAATGGTGTTTTAAATTAAAATTGAAACTTTGCAAACTCGCGGCGTGACTACATAGTAGGATTCATATAGATGATTGAACTAGAGATATTTCAAGTATATTATATAGGAGCTGGCAAACATTATCTCCAGAATTCAAATAATTTCTCTAGGTGAGAAATATTTATTTCTTATGGGCCAAATGTAAATCTCACCAGAAATTAAAAAAGATTAGAAAGATGTTGGTCTTGGTCACCAATTTACTAATGTGTATACAGCGTGTCGTTACCATCGCGACAATAAAAGAACACACGTCTAACGCTACTTGCCAATAATCATAAAAAAATATTAACATTAAACAAAATCCATAATTAAAAAAAATATTTTTCAAACAAACTAATTAAGTAAAAAAGAAACAAAACTTGTAACATCCTATACAACTCGCGTCATAGCGTCGCATTACAAGCCTCTCCTTCTAACAGTATGTTTTGTCTCTTTTAAATTCATTCAACCCATTCATATGCTTTGTTACCTTTACAAATGAACTTTACGTTACGCTTTTATAGGTGAGGGTGTTCTAAAATTCTTTGTTTTGGAAAATTTAATAACTCTGTAAATATTGATGTTTAAAGAATTTAAATGCTTAATACAACTTTAAAAAGTTATCCCCTATATGTGTGTTCATTTATTGTCGCGATGGTAACGACACGCTGTATAATAATACTATTGTGATTGCATTTAGTGTTTAATAATTTTATTGCGAGACAGAGACTCTTTGTTTGTGTGATATAGTTCAGTGAAAGTAAGATATATTGTGTTTGTTACTTTTATAACTAATATCCTTGTTTTAGGTTTGTAACTATTGTCTGATATTTTTCTTCAATAGTTATAAATTTTAATTTAGTTCATAAATAATTAAGAATTGAATGCCTTGTCTTATTTCACCCACAAAGTCAACATCCATATGGTTCAGCAATTAAACTAAAGCTAGGATTTGTGTTTTGCGTACAGAAGTGTCTGTACATAAAGTTATTAAGGTGGTTGAGTGACATACCTTTCACTGCTACTGAATGTGGCTGCTTAATCTGGAGAAGTACTTACGGAAATTGTACACCCTGCTAGGTGAGTCAGTTTGCTGGAGGCCCTAGACCCTAGACATGCACAAGTCGAGTGGTCCCAAATAATAAAAGGACGTAAGCTTTCAAGAACTTGTTAATAACCCGATCTCTATTTTTTTTATATAGAGAAGGCGACAATTGGGCATGTGAACCACCTGATGGTAAGTGTCCGCCGCCACTGAACACCACTTGTCACAAATACTTTATCGGTCTTTAAGGAAGGAATAGGCTCCCTTCTTGCAGGTCAATAAGTCCGGTTCAGAAATACCGTTGACAACTTAGTTCCCCAAATTAGTTACTCTATTTCAGGGCAATTACCCTCACCCCTTTGTTCTATTAAATTATGCAATCCGTGACTGTAAAGAGCACTAGCTGATCAGCGATCGACAGTCAGCGGTCGATATGGTTTGTCGGGTACGTTATGGTTTTAGTGTACATGATTCATTGATGGCGGAAGCAGTTGAGAGTAAGGGGGTGGCAATAGTTTGGACGTGGCGAAAATTAAAAAACAATTGAAAATATACGATATTAAGATTTTTAATATTGGGGTGCTATCTTCATTTTTGCGTAACAATGACTTCTCCTGATTTGATTGATTGAAGTCGGAGTTTTATTACACAAAATCATGGAACGAGGTTGACTTGATTTACTCCAATTTAACACTAAGAAAACAAGTTTGCACGTTCACCATTTTTTTTAAACATTGCCCTCCCTTTAGGATAACATTATCCTGTGTTGTAAGGACGTTTTACAAACATAAATTGCACGAGGACAAACACCCAGATGCGAAACAATTATCTGTGGGTCGCAGAAACAGTTGTCCAGTGGGGGAATCGAACCCACGACACCCGACGCCGAAGCTAATACCTTGGTATGGTAGGGTGCACTGTGTCGGTCGTTGAAGGTTTTATAATCAAGGCACGTTTATGGGCAATATACGTCAATGTGTTTTTAAGATACCTAGTTTGTTTGTATGTTTACCGACTACGATTCAAGTCCGATTTACATTGGTCAAGTATTTAGTGAAGTACATAATACGGTGAGTAAGTACAGTGCTGTATAATTTCGGACTATAGGGAGTCAACTTGGCTTACAACTAGACCCGTATAGAAATGCTTTCTATTTTATGTTTGCAAGAGCATCCCACGCGTGCCCGCTTCACTCCCCGTGGGGCACTTGACTCGTCACTTTATATTATATTAATAGTCAAATTTATATAGTGGCCGGCAATAGGTAACAATATTGCACATTTTTTTTGATGTTCATCGTCCATTTCGACATGGAAATGCTCCTGGATTTGTTGTAGTGCAAATAGTCACTTGTTCGGTTTCCACAACTGGCCACTGTACTTGTACTCGCTACGCGCCACTGTACTTGACCAATTTAAATCGGGCTTTATGGAACTATAAGAGAAGAGCCTATTCCTTCCATAATAGGCCGGCAACGCATTTATAACTGTTCTGGTCTTGCAAGTGTCAAAAAATATAATTCTTTTAAGTGCTGGCTACATTTATAAAATGTCAATTATTGTCATTTGTCATTACGGGATTAACCGAATTATGGCCGTAATTTGTAAAGGAAAACGATAATTGATTACCTTAGTGAACAGAAGTGAACAAATACTCTTGTCTGGTGCCAATTATCATGTCCTTTTGAAAATATAAATGAGTATCATGACGGTGTGCTCAACTTAACCCTGTTCTATTTTCCGTATGTTATTATAGGTAAAATATCGCCTTAAGTTAATAAATCCTTGCAAATGGATGAAGCGGAGACTAAAACATGTCAAAACTGGTAAGTAGGGATCACAGTATAAAGGTGGTTGATGTTATGTCAATATTTATCCTATTTATATCTTTGTATGCTCTTGATTTATTTTTAGATAATTGGAACAGATTTTACATCTGTTGCACGCTAATCTATTAACGGGTTGTTTACCTTATCCCAAATTGTTTTTGTACGATTATTTAATCCTTCAAATTACAGAGAATAAGTGAATATCGTTTATATGTAGAATAATAGGCACTAGACTTGCTTTTAAATTACTTTTCATTTAAATTAAGACATTTTTATACTTATGGACACTTTATTTTTAAAATATATTTACTTGATTACACTAAAATTGTACACACTTTACAATTGTACCTTGAGGGAGTAAGAAATTTTTAATTTCCTTTTTGTGTTCCATGGGGTAGAATCTATACTTATAGTATTATAAAAAAGAGTGAGTTTTTTGAGTATACATTTATTTGGAACTGCAGCACTAGTTCAGAAATTGTACATCAATTAAACATGATTTCTGATATGGGCTAATACCATATAATTTACTAACATTAATCTTACTTATTTTGATCAGATATGTATTATTTGTGTATTTTTTATTCCAAATGCTGTTATGTGAATAAAGTTATATGTGGCCATCACTACATGCATTTGGCGAATTAGCAGTAAAAATTCAATTGCACTTCAACATAGCCAAAGCTAGGGTTTCTAGCAATTAATAAAATGGATGTTTTATTGATCTGATTAATGGTAAATGAATTAATGGTAAACAATGTATTTTACCAGTATATATGTATTTCGACCAGACAAGAAAATACATCACTCGCTAATAACTTGGCAAATACAACACGTTAGAATCTTCATTTCTTATAACTTTAATAACTTTACATTGAATGAAGATATCACAATTTCATTTGTATATAAGAGCCAAGTGTCTTAAGAAATAAAACTTAGCAAAGTTCATGGAAATCTATCCAGTGGTTTTCATAATGCGGTAGACCTCTACCATTTCATTCATGTAAAGTTACTGTGGTAGGGCCATGCAGCAGCCATCGCCGTGGCACAAATGGGCGGGTCCGTCCGGGGAAGTACCACAACCTTACAGAAGACCCCCGTGAAGTGGAAGTGTTATACATTTGCAATCCGTCTCGCGAGTGATTTAACTGCGGCCCATTTCATTGAAAGGTGGCAACGCATATGTAACCCTACAGTCGTTGTAAAATATCGATAGGCGACGACTATCGCCTTCAATCAGGCGTACCGCCAGCTCGTTTACAATCTTCTTACATGAAATAAAACCGTTTAAAAACTTTTAAGTTAAACTTTTTTTTTAATTTAATTTTTCTAAGTTTAATTTTCTTTTTGTGCACTGAAAACTACAATATTGTATTGTCATCTAAATTAAATGTGTGTACCAAATTTCAGATCAATCTGACAACGGGAAGGTGTTTAAATTTCAATTTCTAATTTTGACCCAAATAAACAAATTCCGTACGTGTCGAGCTAAATAAAACCGTTTAAAAACCAGATATATACTCGCGTAGTTCTTTATCATCTAGCGAGCATAACATGTTCTGGGTATCGAGTGTAACATGTTCTTGGTATTAAGTGCGACGTGTTCCGGGTATTAAGTGTCCATCGACGGTTGCAGCAAACGCGAGATACCGGCGGTGAACTTCACTACCCACTCGGTCCACTGCGCTCGCAACATCCGCGTATGTCCCGTGTGCAAGGAGCCCACGCCGCTGGCGGAGCTGGACGCCCACCATGAGAAGCTGCACAGGCTGTGTGAGTCGAAACGATCTTCGCGTTTACATTAATATTTTCGGGACATACTTTTACACAAACACTAGATATTATTACGGTTAACACTATTACGGTGGTAGGGCCACGCAGCAGCCTCGGCTGTTGCACGAATGGGCAGGCCCGTCCGGGTAAGTACCACGACCTCACAGAAGACCGGCGTAAAGTGGAAGTATGACAAATACTTTCGCGTTTCGTCTGGTGAGTGAGGTAGCCGGAGCCCAATTTTCAAAAGGTTGTCAACGCATCTGTAACCCTCGAGTGTAGCAGATGTCCATGGGCGGCGGTATTCACTTAACATCAGGTGAACCGTCTGCTCGTTTGACAACTTTTCGCATAAAAAAAAAAAAAAAATATATTTTACTAGCTGTTCCCGCGACTTCGTCCGCCGTGGAATTATAATATGTACAGCGTGTCGTTACCATCGCGACAATAAATGAACACACGTCTAACGCTACTTGCCAATAATCATAAAAAAAATATTAACGTTAAACTAAATCCATAATTAAAAAAAAATATTTTTCAAACAAAGTAATTAAGTAAAAAAGAAACAAAATTTGTAACATCCTATACAACTCGCGTCACAGCGTCGTATTACAAGCCTTTCCTTCTAACAGTGTTTTGTCTCTTTTAAATTCATTCAACCCATTCATATGCTTTGTGACAAATGAACTTTACGTTACTCTTTTATAGGTAAGGATGTTCTAAAATTCTTTGTTTTGGAAAATTTAATAACTCTGTAAATATTGATGTTTAAAGAATTTAAATGTTTAATACAACTTTAAAAAGTTATCCTCTATATGCGTGTTCATTTATTGTCGCGATGGTAACGACACGCTGTATATATATATATATATATATATATATATATACGTAGGCGGGATGATAAGTGACTAGCCATTGCTATTTAAAAAGTTAAAATTAAAAAAATATATATGTCATTTTTAAATTCGTATCTCTGGCCACCTGTGTTCTAAATTTGAATTTGGTGGCGTGAAAATTTTACTGTTTTTTTGTCATTTGAAAAAATATTTCGTCAACTGTTTTCAAAATGGATAAAATTGAACAAAGAGCGGTGATGAACTTTCTTCATATGAAGGGGCTGAAGGCGAAAGATATCTATGACGAGTTAAAGAATGTTTTGAGTGAACGTGCTCTTTCTTATGCCACGGTAAAAAACTGGGTGGCTGAGTTTAAACGCGGTCGTACATGTGTCCACGATGAAGCCCGCCCTGGACGTCCAAGAAGCGTCACCACTCCGGAAATGTGTCACGGTCGTGAAAGTACATGATATGGTTTTAGCAGAGCTACGATTGAAGTTATTTGAAATAGCTGACACTACAGGTATCTCAAAAGAACGGGTACATCATATCCTAAGTGAGGAATTAAATATGAAAAATTTTTCGGCCCGTTGGGTGCCGCGATTGCTTACGCACGATCAAAAAAGAATTCGGGTGCAAAACTCAAAAGAATGTCTGGACCGTTTTCAGAGTAATAAGGCCGATTTTTACGTCGATTTGTAACAACAGATGCAACATGGGTTCATCATTACACGCCAGAATCAAAAATTCAATCAAAACAGTGGACTCAATCGGGATGCCCGGCTCCAAAAAAAGCCATGGCTGTAAAGTCGGCTGGAAAAGTGATGGCTTCCGTCTTTTGGGATGCAGATGGGATTTTGACGATAGATTACCTTGCTAAAGGTCTAACAATTAATGGTGAATACTACGCTAATCTTCTTGATAAGCTTCATCAATGTATTCAGCAAAAACGACCAGGTTTGGCGAAAAAAAAATCATCTCCCACCAAGACAACCCTAGGGTTCACACATGTGTTAAAGCTATGGCAAAATTCAACGAATTGAAGTATGGTTTGCTGTCCCACCCACCTTATTCTTCGCCTGATCTAGCGCCATCAGACTTCCACTTATTCCCTCAGCTCAAAACTTTTTTGGGCGGACAGAAATTTGCCACAAATAATGAAGTCATAGCCGCCGTAGAGGAGTATTTTGCAGGCCTCGAAAGAAATCATTTTCTGGAAGGCATTACTGCTTTAGAAAGAAGATGGAATAAGTGTGTAGCGGTTCACGGAGACTATGTCGAAAAATAAAATTAATTTTATCACGGAAAGTTAAGTGTTTTCTTATTAGGCTAGTTACTTATCATCCCGCCCTCGTATTAATAAAAATAAATAAAATATCTAAAATAAACATAGCCTAAGTTACTCCTTATTACATCAGCCAGTGAAAGTCCCGTCAAAATTGGTCCAGCCGTTTCAGAGATTAGCCGAAATAAACAGACAGACAGAAAAAATTGTTATTTTGGTATATGTACCGTGTACACATCCATATTCATTTTGTAAAAAGCGGTTATTTGAATACAAACAGACACTCCAATTTTATTTGTCTGTATAGATTAGTTTTTATACATTAAAATACCATCTTTTGATGTCGTACATTGTCGGAGAAAGCCGCTTTTTTTGTCAACATTTGTATGACATAAAGGAAGCATATGACATTTTTCATAGAAACGAAGGAATGGCGTCTCTTTATAAGCAAAATTCGTTTTAACTTCCTTATTAATCACTTGTTTGTTCACATTTCATTAAAGTTTATACGTTTTCCACAGAAAATAATACCCTCCTACGATCCAATGATTTATAAATTTCGTTGTCATATACCATTCGCTTCCCTTGAACGTTTCACTACCAGAATCGTAATTTCGTATTGTAATTTGATACAATATCCTCGTGGCGGAATCACTTTGTGTGATATTTCCGTCGGTTACAATGTATAATGTATTCGCATGAAAAACGGGGCGGAAAGAATACATTTGAATGTTAGGACCGATGAACGTTAAAGTTTTTTGTCGCGTTCTCTTACGAGTCTAGACAGTAGTAGATGTCTTACTGTCGTCTCGAGGTATTCAGCGTCGTTAGATATTTTCACAGAAAGTTACTTTTTACGAATAGATAGACTGTGGTAGGGGCACGCAATAGTCTTCGCTGTTGCACGAATGGGCAGTTTCGTCCGGGTAAGTACCACGACCTCACAGAAGACCGGCGAGAATTGGAGTGTATACTTCAGCGTTTCGTCTGGTGATTGAGGTAGCAGGAGCAGACTTTATTAAAAGGTGGCAAGGCATCTGCAATCTGCAATACTACGGGTGTTGCAAATGTCAATTGGCGGTGGTTATCACTTAACATAAGTACTTAACATAACCTCCAGCTTATCTGCCACCTCGCATAAAAAAAAAGACTAGGTCTTGGCTACAAGGTGTAGTAGGCGATTTCTTCGAAACTGCAGTAGAGTTTAAAACTCTTCTTTTGTGAACAGAGCCATTGTTCTAAAGAATTTCTGCGAATGTTTATCATAGCCTGTTTCAAGACTTTTTCCACGATTTCTTCTGTAACAGTATCTTTACTGTCAGAAATATCCTATCCGTAGACCTTCAATGCCGTCTTACGGTTTCAATATTCTATCTACAGGTAGATTTGGTTACTAGCGATATATATTTGACTTTAGTTCCATAATACTTAATTCAAAAATTTTATCTCTAGTAATAATAAGTAACAATGTCTGTAGATAGAATATGAAAACTGGCCGTTAATCTCTCAGATTCAATGGACCAATTTCATAAAAACACTTTCTACTGAATAATTTTTAATAATTTACAGCGCGGTGTTTAATTCTATATAACATATATCTATATAACATTGTCATATTATGAGTTTCCTTTACCGTCGATTTAATACAAGGAATTATCGTAGGATATATTTTCATTGTATATCGATTCATTTCAGAGTATCAGATATATTTTTTCGACAGTGCCCTGCAAGCAGTGCGGCGAGAAGATCTGCGGAACGGATATGGAGGATCACATAAGGGACTCCTGCGCTCACACCATCAAGTCTTGCAGGTACTGTGAATATATGGCACATATGGCCATCCAAATGCGATGATCTTCTGTGTGATGATCGTGTCACTTACCCGGACGAGCATTCATGGAGCCTGCCCATTCATAACACACACGCTCCTGCGTAGCCCTGCCGCAGTTAATCATTGTCAATTTACAACTAGTTGTCCGTGGTCTTAGATGCCGCCTTTTAATCCGAAAAGTTGCAAAAGAGCAAGCGATTCCCCTGATGCTTAAAGCATACAGTCGCCCACGGACATTTACAGCACCTGAAAGGTTGAAGACGCGTTGTCAATCTTTAAACAGCGCGCCCCGGTCACCTATCATAAAACGCAATACGGACGCTTGTGTGAGCTAGTGGTACTTACCCGATTTCGCCAGCCACATTCGTGCAACAGCAAAGCGTCTGCAAGGACCTACCACAAGTGCAACGTATACGTCTCTAGAAAATAATAAAAATATATGCGTGTATTCATGTACGCACGTAGGAAGTTTAGGTTTTCAACGTAACAAAAGAAAAAATAACTAAAAACTTTATCCCCCGTGCCAGTACTCTTTGTTTGTGAAAAAGACATTAAAAGCAATATATAACGGTATTATTAATTAACTTGGAATTATAGGTAAATGTCAAGTTGTTATTGGTTGCCATGGTAATAACGTGAAGTTGTCCGCGCGCGCATCGCATAAATTTTACTCATAATTGTTCCAAACGCGCCAAAACAAGTAACTTCAATCATCAAATTTTTTTTACGCGCGAAGATGGTAAGCGAGCCGCGGCGGCTCACCCGATTCTAAGCGATAACCGACGCCCGTGGACATTTGCAACACCCATGGGGTTGCCACCTTATAATAAAGTGGGCCCACCCGTAGGGTTGTACACGCGTTTCCAACTTACAATAAAGTGGGCTTCGGCTAACGAAAGGAGCTCCGGGCGCCATAAAGACGTTAGCTTCACTTGTCGGCAGGTTCTGCGAGCTGGAGGTGTCCCGTCGCGAACTGCCACACCACGAGGGCTACTGCGGCGCCCGAACAGAGCAGTGCGCCGACTGCAAGGAGTGGGTGATGATGAAGTACCGCCAGCTCCACCTGGACTCCAACCACGGTTTCCTGCGTCTAGACGACGGTAATGTTGCGTTTCGAATTTATTGCATTTACACATGTATTTATTTGACATTATTTGACCAGAAACATGTTTACAACGTATTAAAGTCCACTTGAAATAGCCTGGAGGGATCAATTAATTTCCAGGGCCCTTCAGGGTGCTTAATCATTTAAATTATTGATAATCAAAACGCTACCACGAATTCGGGAAAGAAAAGCCCCTGACTTGAGAAGAACCGGCGAAAGAAACACAGCCGGTAATTTTTTTACCATTATTTGACAAGAAACATGTTTACAACGTATTAAAGTCCCACTTGAAAGAGCCTGGAGCGATCAATTAATTTCCTGGGTGCGCCATTAAAAAACCAGTTACATACCATTTCAGATCCCGTACCGACGCCCAGAACTGGCGGTGCGACGTTCACGCACTTCCCGAAGCTGGGGGACTGGCCCAAGCCGGCCCAGCCAGCCACCGGTTTCAACAGACCCCTCCCGTCGAGCAGCGGTGTAGGCGCCGAGAGGCCCTCCATCAATGGCCACCAGAGCACCAACTTTTCCCAAGCGCGGCCCCGAACGGAGATACGATACTTCAACAACACCGCGGCGCTGGGAACCCCCGCGCCGGCGACTTCCGCTGCGGGCGACGGCGCGGGGAATCCCATCGCGAACGTTCTCAGGCCCCTGGACAATTTGAACCTGAAACCTCTGCCGAAGAGGAACAACCAGCCCCAAGCGTTTACCACAGCGCAGGACGACGTGAACAAGTAAGCGGTCTGCGCTCGCCGTTGACGCTTTGGTTGTAAGCCGAGCCGTAGTACTTACTAAGTAGTTTCGTACAAATATTGGCAGAATGGACGTCGTTTTATTAAACTTGGGACAATTTTTATTCGACAGCCTGGTCGACTGGCCCCCGTGGATGCTGCCGACCCAAAATAGTAGGTATTATGGAAGGAAGACTTTGATATCTTTCCCATTCCTCCGTGGCGCGGTCGTCAAGGCATTCGCTTTAACGGCGGGGGCTTTTATTCGTGGTTTCAATTCCCACACGAGAGAAGCATTTGTGTGACCCACGGATAATTGTTTCCGTTCTGGGTGTTTGTCCACGTGAAATTTATGTTTGTAAAAAGTCCTTACAACACATATGTATATATATAACAAAAATATGTTTAATATTTTGATGTTCTTAGACTATACCCAAACTTACCATTGATGTAAGATAGTACCATTGACGTAGGATAATGTTATCCTACAGTAAGGGCAATATTTAAAAAACGTACCAAATTGTGTTGGTTTCACAAATAACATAAATATATTGTACTACCTTTGCACAGCATCAATGGTAAGTTTGGGTATAGTCTAAGAACATCAAAATATTAAACATATTTTTTTTTAGAAATAGCTCAGGAGCTGTCACATCTCCCAGGGGACGGTTTTCTTCAGTAATTTTCTTAAACCTATTTACGTAAAATTATTGGGTTTTGCGTTTTTATTTTAATTTTTTTCAAAAGCACATACACTGCCCCATGATCGAGTTACTTACTCTATGGAGACTACTAAATGAATGTGCCTATGTGTGCAGGTCGATTTCCCGTGGCGCGGTGAAGAAGCGTCTAGCGCCGAAGCCGCCTGTCTCTGCTTCCTCACCAGCTACCTCCAGTACGGCACCTGCCAGGGCTGCCACATCAACAGCGTCTGCGTCAGCAAAGCCCGGCCGCTCGTCGCCAGTTAGCAGCCCTGATGACTCGCCGACGAACATCCTAGAGCGCAAGCTGACCCTCGAAGACCATCGGAAGGCGCACAACTCTAGCCCTGCCGATTGTAAGAGTTTCTATATTTGTGTGCGAGCGGGCGGTTCACCTGATGTTGGATACAGCGGCCCATTGACATCTATAAAACCTTTTAAGAAGCTGGCCCCGGTTACCTCCTCACTCGCCAGACAAAACGCAAAAGTATAATACTTCCACCTGCACATTGAAGCAATAGTCGAGATTCACCTAATATTAAGTGATTAACACCACCCATCTTCTTCGACACCAGATGTATATATTATTTTATTAAATGTAACTGATAAGATGTCGAGATTTTCGCGTAGTGAGGATACCAACTGCTTAGCTTAGTATATAGTTGCATTTGCATATTCACACTATGTATATAGTAATCCCCGTAATGTTGTCATTTGTTCGCAAACGCAAAACGACATCACTACATAGTATATAAGTCGTTCCACTGTCTGTCTGTCCCTATGTATGCTTAGATCTTTAAGACTACGCAACGGATCTTAGTGCGTTGTATTTACTAGATAGAGTGATTTAAGAGGAAGGATTATATGCATAATATAGTAGAGAAACATAGTAGTGTATATTTAGTATCAGCATTGCACCCGTGCGAAGTTGGGGCGGGTCGCTAGTCCTTGAATGAAGGCGGTATCTTTATTAGTATCACCTTACAGGTCAGCCGTACTCCGTCAAGCCGGCGGAGAAGTTGGAGAAGCTCTGGCAGACGGAGTTCCAGCACTCCCGCCGCTCGCCCGAGGTCCGGGGCGATCTGCAGGCCTGGCCCGCGCCAGGATATGCGCATAGGAGCCAGAGGATCGAAATGGACAGGAGGAGGAACGATCTGAGGAACCTCAAGCCGATGACGGCTGAGCAGTTCGCGAACCGGTTCAAGGAGTTGCGGCTGGTGAAGGAACCGGCGGGGGCGGCTGAGAGGAGGGAGGTGCCAGAGTCGGGTGACAGGTTCAGCGAGATCAAGTCCTCGCTGAAGCAGCTGAGGCGCGGCTTGAACGAGGTATTACTTTTATTCTATAAGTCAACCAAGGGCAACGGTTTCACTGTGGTTGGGCCACGCAACAGTGTTCGCTGTTGCACGAATGGGCAGGTCCGTCTGGGTTAGTACCACGACCTAATAGAAGACCGGCGTGAAGTGGAAGTGTTGCACTTCTGCGTTTCCTCTGTTGAGTGAGGTAGCCGGGGCCCACTTTATCAAGAGTTGGGAACACATCTGCAACCCCTGCGGGTGTTGCAAATGTCCATGGGCAGGCGGTTATCACTTAACATCAGGTAAATCCCCAGCTTGTTTGCCATTTACTCACATAAAACAAGGGGGAATTAACAATGTGTTTTTTATTATATGTACACCAGAATATCTTGCACATGGCTGAATTTTTTCCGGCTTACTTGATATTTATGGTTACATTATGGACAATTCACACAATGATCTTTGTAAATTAAAGCCTATGTTTTATTCTGATGTATAAGTCATACTATTTTAAAGTTTCATTAAAATCCATTCAGTAGGTTTTGTGTGAAAGAGTAACAAACATACATACATACAAATTTTTGTTGACGAGCCTATTGGCCTAACACGTAGTGACCCAGCCTCTTGCGCCAGAGGGTGTGGGTTCGATCCCCAGTACTGAAAAAATATTGTGTGATGAACATTGTGTTTTTCCAGTGTCTGGGTGTTTATATATTTATAAAATGTATTTATTTACAAAAGTATGTTTATCACTTATCTAGTATTTATTATTTATTTGTATTTTGTGACCATTGCGACCTAGAAGATCTATTGTGGTCTTCCCTTCGTAAACTAATTTTAGGGTCCATCTTCTTGTTTCAATTTCACCGACACCAAGAATCCTCAGTAAAAAATGTTTGTAATTGTTGGCTATAGTATAATTTATTGCTGTATATTTAATTTCTTTAGTCACATCAATTAAAGAAAATATAATAGTCGAAAATGAAAATATGTTTGAGATTTGGAAAGAGTAATTAATCAATTTAGTCTATGATGCAGCATTAAATGAAATGAAATGAAATGAAATGCGGCATACAAAACAGATATCGTTTTGTATGAAACTTAATTAAGTTTTTTTTTATTTGATTGACATCATCGTTAATCATTTCTTGGAATTCCAATACAAGTAAGATTCCAATAGAACTGCAAGTAAACAAATTGTTATAATAATACTTTAACAAATTTCTACTACATGTATATTGTTAAATGAATATAACGACTAATTTCTAATCTAAAATACTTACGAATTTTGTATTATAATTATCACAAGTTCCTTCACGACATCAGTTTCCTTTCACATGTTAGAACTTCGGTCGGATATTTACTAAGACTGAGTAAATGAAAACTGTGATGATGCACTTGACGTTAAATTTGTGATTTTCTTTCATAGGTGATAGCACCCTACAATATGAACACGAACAACAACAATATCAAGTGAGTACAATACAATATGTATAACAATATTGATCGTTCGCTCTCTTTTACTCGTAGAACACACGCTCTCTGTCTCCGTCGCGAAGATGCGTTCGGAAACGTGTTGAACCTTTATCATAGTGGCATTTTCGCAGCCAACCCTTTTTTTTTGTATCAGGGGGGAAATCTTCAAAAGATACCCTGTCACCTTACATGACAGGGTTATGTGGGGTTCTTACCCACTAAAACCCCCTCTGTGGCCAACTACTGTACGTTTGGAGGGACCCCGGGATCTCCTACGGAACGCACCAGTGCCACCCTCGGTACTAGGCGTGAGCACGCCTCGGAGAAGGGTAAACCTTCCCCGATTCCCTCGCCTTCTTGTAGCAACTCGAGGCCACTTCGATCTGCCGCCAATCCGTGTCCCCTTTTAGTCGCCTTTTACGACAGGCAGGAGATACCTTAGTCCTATTCTATGAGCCCGGAACTACTGGGCTCCCGCAGCCAACCCCAAGTCCATTGATGACGGGGCCCATTGGTGTGACTTGACTACAGTTTCCTTTTAAACTGTCGCCCTGAACGTCGTTACTTGCGGCAGCGCGGAAGAGCGCGCGGACAACTGGCGGCCGGGGGGGCGTGACGGCGCGGAGGGGGCCGGCGGCGGGGGCGATGGCGAGGGCGAGCGGGAGGGCGACGAGGAGGGGGCTGTGGCGGCGGCGGGGGCGGGGGGCGTGGGCGACGGGCTGCAGGGGGTGCGGCTGCCGTGCGAGTTCTGCGGCGCCCCAGTGCCCGCCGGCGAGCTGGTGCTGCACCAGGTGAGCTGGTCACTGGCCCCGATCGACCGGACCGACCATAGGACAGTCCAACTGAATTATATGTCCATAGACAACTGAAGTCTTCTTTCTCCTGCCCTTATCCCACAATACGGGTGTAATTTGTTTATTATTACGGGGTGTATCTTGTTTATTATTACGGGTGTATTTTGTTTATTATTACGGGTGTAATTTGTTTATTATTACGGGTGTATTTTGTTTATTATTACGGGTGTATCTTGTTTATTATTACGGGTGTATTTTGTTTATTATTACGGGTGTAATTTGTTTATTATTACGGGTGTATTTTGTATATTATTACGGGTGTATCTTGTTTATTATTACGGGTGTATTTTGTTTATTATTACGGGTGTAATTTGTTTATTATTACGGGTGTATTTTGTTTATTATTACGGGTGTTAGGCAGCCCTAGTATAAGGAATCTGCTGCGTTGCAACGGCATCGGACTCCAACGCGATGGCACGAGGCACCGACTCAGCACAACGCATTTGCGTCATAAATTCTTTACCTTATTTCGAAATTGTAATCGATCCTCATTTTAATTCACACATCGAATTAGAGTCACCTTTATTAGCTATAATTTTATTGTAATATTTTAAAGTAAAATAAATGATATTTTATAACAATTGCTTTTTTTTGCAACCTCTGGCTGGAGCCCACGTAATTCGGGTGTATTTTGTTTATTATTACGGGTGTAATTTGTTTATTATTACGGGTGTAATTTGTTTATTATTTCTACATTTTTTATTATTACCGGTGTAATTTGTTTATTATTACCGGTGTAATTTGTCTATATTATTACGGGTGTAATTTTTTTATTACTACGGGTTTAATTTGTCCCGTTCGCAGACGGGCTGTCGGCCGAACCTGGCGCGGTTCGCGGGCGGCGGCCGCTCCCCGCCGCTGGACAACGCGCGCGCCGAGCCCGTCATCCCGTGCGAGTTCTGCGCAGAGTCGCTGCCGCTCTACCTCATCAGCGAGCACCAGGTGGGCGAGAGGGAAAGAAGAGAGAAACACCACACGCCGTAGTCAGAGAGGGGAGGGAAAACGAGACGAAAGAGTGACGCAACGAAGTGTGAGAGGGAGAGGCATATTTTAAGAGGGAAACATATATATGACTTAGATAAAGACCGAATTTATGAATTAGAAATGATGTATGGCAAAATATATTTTTATTACATTGCACGATTTATAACTTTGACGCCATTAAACGTAAAATTTTGGCGAGAATAGCAATGTAAGCATATATGTTTGTATATTAAACAAATATACAAACATACAGCGTGTCGTTACCATCGCGACAATAAATGAATACACGTCTAACGCTACTTGCCAATAATCATAAAAAAATATTAACGTTAAAAAATCCATAATTTAAAAAAATATATTTTTCAAACAAACTAATTAAGTAGAAAAGAAACAAAATTTGTAACATCGTATACAACTAAGACTGACTGATTCATACATTCAGAGAGGTTTTCATTCGTTGTCACAGCGTCGCATTACAAGCCTCTCCTTCTAACAGTATGTTTTGTTTCTTTTAAATTCATTCAACCCATTCATATGCTTTGTGACCTTTACAAATGAACTTTACGTTACAGTTTTATACGTAAGGATGTTCTGAAAATTCTTTGTTTTGGAAAATTTAATAACTCTGTAAATATTGATGTTTAAAGAAAGTAAATGTTTAATACAATTTTAAAAAGTTATCCTCTATATGTGTGTTCATTTATTGTCGCGATGGTAAAGACACGCTGTATATGCTTAAAAAAAATTAAAATCGACGTTTTGTATTCCAGGAACGCTGCGGCCGGGAGGCCAATCTTCTTTTTCCAGACTGAATCTCGTCTTCCTCTGATATCCTAAGCATGAGAGATATATTTTTCTAATTAGCGTTACCTATTTCGTGTCATGATGCTAAAATTTAGTCTCTCTAGTTAAGTTCCAGTGCTCAATACTTACGATAGCCGTTCTATTTCCAGCCAGTCTGATTGTGCTACTGTATTGATTAGTATTTTTTTTTACTTTGACATTTACTTTTGTCGCCAAAAATGGAAAGGAATGGATAGATAACTAAAAATATTGTCCTTAAAACGCCAAAGTTTTCTTTCACCTTCTTTAAGTTATATTCGAATAGTTTGAGATCGGTTAAAATTTGTTTTTATGTATTTTTTTATTAAATTAAGATTTAGTCTCGTCCCCAGGGCGTTGTTGTGTAACTTCATAAAATATCACTTCATAAAATATTTATCGATATGTTTGTAACGTATTTAATCATAGCATGTAATGCAAACGTAATTAGTCTATCGGTGTATATTGTCGGAATATCAGGGATTTTCGCTTAAATAATGTATGGCGTGGGGGGGAGGGTTCGTTTTGCGCGGTTTTTTAATGGGGTTTTCGGGAATAGTTCAAAAGAAAAAAAACATTATAAAATTAACTCTTTGGTCGAAAAGAAATTTTACATAAAAAAAAGAACTTCACTCAAATCAATCTGATGTGAAAATTACAGGCCTCTTTTATTCCCTCGACAGATATTTCCAAACCATACAGTTCGTCCGCCATTTTTGAATCACTGATATGTTAGTCGTTAAGGTTATTCATAAAACTTTGTCTATGTATTTTAATGACAACATTGTCCAATGCTAAATGCAAGATCGTGCCAAAGTCGAATAAATATCTCTTATAAATTAACTATAAATAATTTAATTTTCAACAAAAAAAACTTTAATTAGTTTTTTTTGTTGAAAATTAAATTATTTATAGTTTAAACTAATTAGAAGATTATTTTTATATATCATGTTAATTTAATTCGGTAGACGGTCACGTCCAGCAATCATTTGTTAATTGTTTACTATAAGGATATCTTTAATCACTAAATGTGAGTATTGTGTAGTTGCTTTTGAACTATATCTTGCCACTGCAGGTCAGTTCAGTAGTCTTTAACTTTCATTTTATATTAAGTTAGAAAAGACATGAAATAATACCATTTCATGGTTTTGCCACCTTCGATTGTTTTAAATTTCGTGACAATAAATTACATTGCGTTTGGCTAAGCGCCGATTGTCTTTGGGAAATGTCAAAAATGTGACTGAGTAACGTTTAAAACGTCACATTGTGAAAATAATGAACTAAATACTTCCTCAGAAACGCCTATGTGTGGGTTGTAAATTTTGCACAAATAATACTGAAATTTGAAAAGGTCTACTTTCTAAGAAATCCTTGATTATTGTTAAAAAAAATGAGATTGGGGCAGGGGTTGAGCCAAATCTCACGAAATCTCATCAGGGGGGGGGGGGGGGGGGGGGGGGGGGGTGGCTTTAAAAATCTTTAAAATCACCTCACGTAATTGACTTATATATTTAGAAGAGAAGAACGTTAAGAAACGAAGAAGAGTAGAAACGTTGTGCTATACGCGTTTCGTTTATCGCCGATGTTTAGTGTTAAGACTTATCTCGAATAATATCGTGTAATCTTCGGTGTCTATGTATTGTATATAAATACAACTTTAGTCTTCGTAGCGAGTTCAATAAGGACTTGATGGGGTTACTTCATATTTGCCATTAGATCTCACTCGATCTTTAATTATAGATGTTAATAATACGTACATTATCCCGCCTCATCCCACAGATAGTAATATCGTATTATGCCATAGATCATAAAAAGTTTTCGACTTCGATTTTAGTGTGTTCTCGTTGGTATGATTTTGCAAATGGGACTTGTATACGCCTAGATTGAAAATCGACTGCCTCACTTGATTTTTTACGTTTTATTTTCTTACAAAAATGCCAAATAAAATTTTCAAACTATCCATCTGTTTTCTTTTTATTTATGACCTTATAAATTTAATATTAGTTTTAAATTATCATTTATTATTTGCCATATAAACAGAATTTTCTAATTCTCTTTTTTTAGATAATAATAAATGTTTATCTATGATTAATTTTAAGTGCCGATCTGTGCACTCAAAATAAAACTTAAAATGAGAGTTATGTGTGCGTAAACGGACAAAAACTTATTGCTGCGGGATTCGAATTTTTTAGGTGTTAATGTTATGATTTCAATTTCACTAGCGTATTTCAAGGTTATCGTGTACTTACAAAAACTCAGATCTGTTTAAAATGTTTAATAATTGCACATAAATTATAAAAATCTATACACACGAAAAATCTCCCAAGTTCGTGATTCACATTCGCACAGCACAGCTATTCGCTCTTGCACATTACCATGTATTATAATTATATCTACAGTATGTCTACTGACTTGAATCATATTTACATCAGAAGCCTTTACGTATGGGCAGTACGCGATTGTTCTAGAAACAACACAGAAAGTATTCGTCGGGACATCTGGGAACCGATATCTGCAACTTGGGACAGTTCCAGATCTTTTCGCATCGACATTTAGATCGGAATTTTCTACCTAACGACTTTTGAACTGTCCTCCTCGAATTCTCCTTCTTACCGATGTTGGCACGATTAGGTTTGAACCCGTATCTTTTTGGTTTGAATTCTATGCTATTGGGTTTTATTTCGACGCTACCCTTGTCAATCTCGACGCTATAAGGTTCAACTTCTACGCTATTCTTTACAATGTCGACGTTACTTGGCTTGATTTCGACGATACTCGGTTTGATTTCGACGCTACTCTGTGTAGTTTGGACGCTACTTGATGTGATCGCAACGTTGTTTATTTTATCATCGATAAATTGAACTGTATCGTTTATGTGACTCTCATTGTCGAGCCTCGTCGTAGTCGGTTGGATTTCAACAGCATTCAATTTCTCTTCATCTTTGTTAGTTACTCCGACGTATCTCGTTGGGTCGTAAATGTCGCTCAAACTGTCCGCTACGAGCTGTGGCTTAAGGAAGTAGCCGAGTTTGGAGTAGAACTTCTTCTTGTCGGTCCCGTAGTCGTATTCCAATGGGATTCCGGTGACTGTGTCGTAATTTTCCGTCGCGGTGACGTCACCGTACCTCGCCAGTTCTGCGTCGCGATTCTCAGTTGTGATTTCGTATGCGTAATCGTCCGAACCCGTGTACTGTCCGACTTCACTAATGACACTAGGCTCTTCAATCGAAGCGGCAGGCGAGTCGTAGATAGAGAACGGCAAGTCAAACGTGGTAGGTTTCACTTCGGCAACAGTCTCTATACTACTCTGTTGCGGCGCTGCAGACGAAATACCCATGCACGTGGACACGAAAAGTACTATTCTGAAACATAAAGAGACGATAATTAACTTTTGAGCTCCAAATTTTCTTCGTTAACGACAACTCTCATTACATCTGCGAATGAACACAGGCTTCTAGTGATTATTTACAAGATCTAGTTAAAAAAAATTATCACATACTCATAGACAATAAAACTCTAAGATTTATTTTATTTTACGAATATTAATGAGAACTAATTATAAATAATTAGCAGTTAAGGTGCAGTTAGGATTAATCGTCGCACTTATGTTTTCGGAATAATAATTATAGAAATATAATTTTTGATTATAGCAACATAATCCTATGTTTAAAAAGTGATTTTTATAGTCTTTTATTTATTTAAAACTAGCTTTCGCCCGCGGCTTCACTTGCGTTGAAGCGCTTAAGTAAATATCTTTCTTTAAATAGTTTTTCCAATTAAAAAATAGCATGTGTTCTTTCTCAGGCTCTAGACTATCAGTCACCAAATTTCATTTAAATCGGTTCAGTAGTTTTGCGGTGAAAGCGAGATAGACAGACAGAGTTACTTTCGCATTTATAATATTAGTATGTATTACTTTATAAAAAGTGTTATGAATATTTTTTTGAATAATTCTGCAAAAGTACATACGAGAATACTACCTACTACCCGTATACTCTACAGTAATTATGTAATTTCATGACATGTTGGACAGAGATTTGTGTGACCTAAAAATTAAAAAGTTGATGCTACTTGGTACCGCGCCATAGTTATAAGATGCGGAAGTTTATTAAATAATTTGTCGTATTAGACACATTAAAAGTATGTTTTGCATTATTTACAAATCAAAAATTAAATATCATTAACGTCATGTATTTCGACCTACATCATTACATTATGTAGTCGGTTCAATTTTTAAACATTTGTTGTAGGTCCTTAGTTGATATTTTTAAAGAAAATTAAAGCTTTTATTTTTGTTTCTCGTTGACATAAGCACTTTTTATTTAACCCTATAGAGGTCGACAGGGTTCTGTTTATAATATCTCCATTAAAAAAAATCTAATGCTAGACAGTCTCACCGAATTTATAAGATGTTGCTTGACGTACTTGAGGACACTTTTTATTATACATAAGTGACATAATGTGGGAAGAAAAAACCTCATCATGTCTATGACACTATTTTCATTTTTAAGAAAAACGTGTAAGCCGTGTTTGATGGCGGGAAATTCGAAGTAAGTAACATGATCTGTTATAAGTAACATGATGTGTAAATAAATATTGGAGGAGTGTGCCACAGCGTCGTTATTTGCCTCCTTAGCTTTCTCAACCAATATCGATGTACCGATATCGATATATGTTTTAAGTAAATTTGGTTATTTAATACCTAGGCCGTAGCATAATAAACTATTTGTTAAGTAACTATAGGTTGCCTAGCAACCATTACCTGGCAATGTATGGGAGCCACCTTATATATTTTTTTTATTTTATTCTGTTTCTTTGTATTATTTGTTACAGCGGCAACAGAAATACATCATTTGTGAAAATTTACCTGTTTAACTATCACGGTTCATGAGATACAGACTGATGACAGACGGATACCAGTCAGACAGACAGCGGAGTCTTAGTAATAGTAATGGGTCCCTTTGGGTGCGGAACCCTAAAAATATTTTGTAGTGGAGCGAATTGTGAATCTAAGCCATTCTGGAATCCACCTTGAACACACAAAAAATTCATCAAAATCGGTCCAGCTGTTTAGGAGTTAAGCCAAATATACACGCACTGAATAATTATACAGTATAATATATAAATATTTATTTCGTGCACTGATGAATTTCGTTGTGAAATTATAGTTCACTGCAAATCGTTTTATATAATAAATGTATTATATAAATAAGTTTATATAATTTGAATATGTTATGTAAGTTATTGTGATCATTTCAAATGGTCCATGCCAGCATTTCGTTCTGGTTCATTTAATATTGCGAATACAATCGGTCTTTTATGTTAATTATAAAATTCGCCATATTATGTTACAGGCAAGGATCGTATATAACAAACGGATCACTTTCTGTATGGTAATTTGTAACGAATATTAATGCAGTATTAAAATTTTATTCAATAAAATAAAACGATACAACATATTTTTTATATGAAACACGTACTTTTGGTATGTTTAAAGTTTCTTTAAGAGCGTAAGTACGGAATGGAAGTGTAGAATTAAGACGAAATATTAGGCTAGAATAATGTAAAGAAATGTACATAATTTGTCAAAAGTTATAGCCGTCAATTACATTTTAACCTACATAACATATATCGCTACGAGAAGAACTTGATATTATATACAAATAGATATATTAAAACATCATTGACTTTACTTACTATCAATTGACTTAATACCGAAACAGCGTTGTAATATAAAATGTAGCCTTAACCTCGCCATCTGGTTGTAATACGATTGAGTCATTTGGGAAATTCTCACTATAATCGACCGTAGGTTTCTTTCCGTTAAGTTATCGGATGCGCGTGGAAGCAAAAAAAACGATTACAGAATACGATTTAATTACGACATAACGTGACCACTGTTCTCGTCGGTAATTCGACGGAACTGTCGAATTGTTCAAATTAATAGTGATGAATATTTAAATAAACGGTGGTTGGATTTAATCTGTTTTGTCATATTTCGGTTAATCGATTATTTTCATCAACGTTTCGGCGTACGATATGTTCCGAAAATTGCAAATATTCATCTGGTGAGGGGCTACCTAGCCAGACCCACTTTTTTATTTTGATATGCATCTGCACCCGTCTAGTGTTGTAGAAGTCAATGGGCGGCGGTAATCATCAGGAGAACTGCCTTTAATTACGTGAAAAAGTGGCAAACGAGCTGGCGGTTCACCTGATGATAAGTAAAAACCGTCGCCCATGGACATTTGAAACACCAGTGGGGATGCAAATGCGTTGCGATCTTTAAATAAAAGTAGGCCCCGGCTACCTCACTCACCAGACGAAACGCAGAAGTGTAACACTTGTTTGCCCGCTTGTCAACTTGTCACATGAAAAAGATAATGTCTGTATGGTTGTCTTTTATGCGAAACAACACTACATTAACTTGAGGAATTGAAAGGAAAAATTTAAAAAAAATCTAGGCGAATCCGGAGTGCTTCTCTAGAAATAAATACATATTCAAATGATCAAAAAAATGTAACTTATCAACGCCGCGATGTAACGTCATGCTCAGAAATTAGTTTATTTATATACTTAATTTATGTAAATACACGCTGGTTATATCTTAATTCTTTCACGAAGCTGTCACTTACACTTTTAGACTATTATATAAAGATATTGCTACCAAGATCTACCGAATATTAAGGTAAGGTTAGGTTTTTAAGCGAAATTATTGTCATGATATTCCTATATATGTCGCCTATGCGTTTCATTTCAAAACAAAATTGAAACAAGTTCAAACATAATAAAAGACAAAACGTTAATCGTGTCAAATGGGAATTATATTTACGCTAATAAAATGCCTTTATTATATGAAGCTACTGTTTATCAGCTACATAATGAAATTAAGCGGCTCCCTAGCCCGTGAGAAGGATTGGTTAGATACAAAGCGACTGGTCGGACATTGTTAGCTACAATGTCAAGTTTTGCGATGAATACCTACTTACGTTAGTTGTTAGACAATAGTGCAATTCTCTTTCTACGTAACCTTTACGCTGTCGACCATGGCGACCTCTGTTAGCCGCCGGGAGCAGTTCACGGCGTGTTAGTAAGAGTATTAGAGTAGCTTATAGTAATTGTTTCTTTTTTTTCCAAATACTGTCGCGCTCTTGGTCAGTTTCCCGCCCGATGGTAGGTAGTGTAGTGTTGTAGCCGTTGGTGGGTAACGGTTGTTAACTACTGATTAACGGTTGCCGGTAAACGACACTAATATATTGTGATAGCAAAATAGACGCAGATTATTCAATTCTCTTCTAGTACGCTATAAACGAATTTATAATACGATGTAAGCAGTTTTGTTTCCTTATGTTATTGTTTCGTCTGGTCACTAGAGGGTCGGTTGATTATCCACTCAAAGTTAAGTTTTAGGTTAAGTTTAGTATATAAATATTCAGTCAGGAAACACAGTTGGCGTTCTTTGCACCATAATTATTGAAGTTTATTGTAAAAATGAATTAATTAGATAAATATTTTAATTAACATACGTTAACGTAAACTTCTTTGTGCGTCTGTTCCGATTCGTTAATTTTTTCCCACTGATTGTATTCGAGCATCAAAATTTATTAGTGAGTGTCCATGTGATTATAATTACGAAAAAAGTATAAAAATTTTAATAATTATGATGGTATTAATAATATACAGCGTGTCATTACCACCGCGACAATAAATGAACACACGTCTAACGCTACTTGCCAATAATCATAAAAAATATTAATAAAAATATTAAAAAATCCATAATAAAAAAAAATATTTTTCAAACAAACTAATTAAGTAAAAAAGAAACAAAATTTGTAACACGTATACAACTCGATCCACAGCGTCACATTACAAGCCTCTCCTTCTAACAGTATGTTTTGTCTCGTTTAAATTCATTTAACCCATTCATATGCTTTGTGACCTTTACAAATGAATTTTACATTAAAGTTTTATAAGTACGGGATGTTCTAAATTTCTTTGTTTTGGAAAATTTGATAACTCGTTAAATATTTATGTTTAAAGAATGTGAATCTTTAACACAATTTTAAAAAGTTATCCTCTATATGTGTGTTCATTTATTGTCGCGATGGTAAAGACACGCTGTATACACATTGGTCTCGTCTCGGCAAAAAACTTTCTTCTGTCTTATAACTTTACAAGAGCTCGAATGAAATAAAAACAATTTACTTAATCTTAAATAATATTTTCGCACAGTAAAGTTAAAGCAAAGTAATAAAAGTTAATCACGCGACCTACCGCGTATCTAGGTCTGTTAAGACGAATCTTCGAAAAAATAACTCTTTTTGCATTATTTCGAAAAAATCGAGGTTTCCTCATGCCCTGG